GTTTTTCAAACTGTTCTTCTTGATCTCCAATTCTCTTGGATTCTGAATCTTTATAAGATCTATAAAATACAGAGCGAAAGAAACCTCTTTCTACAGCACTAGCATTTAAGATAACACTATCTTCTTGATTATAACCAGTATAACATAATATAGCAACTATACTGTTAATTCCAGCTGGCAGTTCACGAAATCTAAGATATTCCATAGATCTTGTTGTCACTAAAGGTTTATGAGGGTAATATAGAACATGAGCTAAAGTATCCATTCGAACATGAAAATTTGTAATATATACTCCCATAGCTTGTTTACCCATAGCACTTTGATAAGTATTTCTTGGACTTTGATTGTGATCAGGAAATGGAATAATTGAAGCACACACTCCTAGTATCATTGCTGGATGAATTTCACAGTGTGTATACGTTGTACAATATGCATATTCTTTTTCTTGTCTCAAATCTTCAGGTGACATTGCAATCATAACAGTTTCCTCTTCTAAAGTATCAATATACTCAACAACTCCACTACCAACTAATTCTTGCCAGCCATCATTATTGTAATCCCTTTCCTTCAACATATCAATATGTCTCTTCTTTAATAATAGATTTTGTCCTTCAACAATTAATAAAGGTCTACTAATTCTTCCTGCATCTGTATATATTCTAATTTCACGATCTCTAATATCTCTTATCATAGAAACTTCTGATACAATGATATCCATTTGCCTTCTTAATTTACGCAAAGTGGCCATTAATTGATCTGGATCTCTATGAATACCAACCCAACAACCATTTACGAATATTTTTGTTGCATCAGCTATTGCACTTGGTGCAATTTCTTCTAAATTTTCCATAGACCATTCCTCTAAGAATTCAAGAATTGGTGATGGTTGAGATCCAACACTAATATAAGCCATTAATGCTAAATTTTTTACTAAACCAACAGCAGCACCTTCAGGAGTTTCTGCAGGACATAACATACCCCATAAAGTATTATGTAACTGACGAGGTTTGGCCAATTTTCCATCTCTTCCAATTGGGGAATTTACTCTTCGTAGATGTGATAATGTTGATGCAAATGTTAACCTATTTAATACTTGTGATACACCAGCTCTAGCCTGATGAGCTTTCTTTTGATCTCCCCAATTACCTGTAGCAAGTGAGTACCTCAAACCATCAGTGATAATTTTAGTTTTTATAGCAAGTTCAAGGTTAAAATCTTTTCCTCTATCTATGAATTTTTGTGCATACAATCGCACTTCTTTCATTAAATTTTTAAATAGTCCTCTGAATAAGAATGCCAATAATGGACCAGCTAAATCTAATCTTTTATTACCATAGTGATCGCGATCATCCAATTCTCTTCGACCTAAAGAAGCTGATAATAACCGATGTACCATATAACCAAGGAAATAAGCTTTTTTGGTTTCACAAAAGTCACTTATACCTACATGAGGAAGCATTTCCTTTTGTAAAATTTCCCTAGCATATTTAATACGTTTTTCTTTAGTTACTCCAGGTCTTGCACCTCTAGTACCAATAAAGTTTAAAGCAACATTTTGTTCTTGTATTACAAATGCTTCATCTAAAGAAGGTTTTACCATTTCCATCATTTCAGGATCATCAAAATCATATATGATATGTTCCAAAATGTCACGATCAGCTACAAATCCAAGTGCACGAAATACAATCATGATAGGAATTTCTTGTTTAATATATGGGATAATTGCAATAATACGTTGACCTATAGCAGATTTTTTAATACTAGCTCCACTCTTTGCCATCATATTAATCCATAATGTAGATGTAGGTCGTGAACTATGTTCTAAGCAAGATCGAATTTCTGATTTATATGCATATTTACCATCTTTCATACTAAAGACATAAACTGTATTTGTTGCCATTTTTTCTTGTGCAATAAGCACTTTCTCTGATCCATTAATGATAAAATATCCACCAGGATCTAATGGACATTCATTTAATTCTGTTAAATCACGATCAGATAAACCAGCTAGTAAGCAATATTTTGATCTTAACATAATTGGAATTTTTCCTATAAATGTTTTTTGGTGTTGTGTTTCAACAGGATCTTCTCCATCTTTTACAATTGTTTTAGTTATATCTACATACAATGGTGCAGAATATGTCAAATTTCTAAGTCTTGCCTCATTAGGCATCATTGGGGATGGAGCTCCATCTTTTTCCCAGTGAGTAGGTTTAGATAAATAAATTTGTTCAAATTTCAATAAGTGCCTAACTGGATTTTCGATTTCACCTGAAGTATGTTGTGCTTCTGCTTGTAAATCAATTTGTGGCGAATCTTCAACAATTCTTTGAACTGACATTTCAATAAATTCATCAAAACTATCAAGTTGTTGTCGTACAAGACCTTTTTCATCAAAATATGCATTAATAACAATCCAACATGCTTCTTGCCAAAGTTTTGATGATATTTCTTCTGCATCTTCATCATCATATTGATCTAAATAAAAATATATTTAAACAACATTATAAGTAATTATCAAAATAAATGATTTTATAATTTATAAAACAATGTATATTGAAAAAATAAAGTAAAAAAAAAAATATATAAAATGGATGAATAAAAAATATATTAAGGTTATTTTAAGGTTAAATCACTATTATACGATAGTTTAGAAAACTATTATACGATAAGGATATATTAAATATAACAATTTATTAAATATTAACATAAATATTAGTAATTCGTATATTCTTTCATATAAACATAAATATAAATTCTTACCATCCTCAAGCGAATACATATTTCTACTATGATAATTTTACAATATAAATAAAATAGTAGTACCAAAGCAATAAGCTTGACTTTGTAGAATATAAATGTTTTTAGTGTTACATCATGAACTACTTCTTATATGAATAGACAACTTCTTAGAAGTTGTGTATGCAAGGTCACCATTGCTTACTACAAAATATGTAGTACGAAAGTAAAAGTTACTATACTTTGGATACTGTGTTTTATTCTCATCATGATATAAGCAAAGGTTAACTAGTTCTAAGATATCTGTTTCAACTTTAGAAAGTTTAGTTCATGCATGTAATGATAATTTTATCGTTAATTAAATTAATGAAATAATATTTAGAAGTAAATAAATAGTATTTAGTAAGTATATAGAAATTTATATAGAAGTAAGTGCATTTTCTTTTCATTAAAGTTTATTTTATTTTTCAAGATAGTAAAAAAATTTATTTAAAAATAATCGTTTAATGTTTTGATATTTTATATAGCTTTTGAATATTTAATAATGCTTATGCATGTGCAATGAATATATGATAAAAATATTTTACGTCAATCTTGAATATTTAAATATGTTCATGCATGTGTAATGAACATGTAATAAAAATATTTTTAAAATTTGTATAAATGTGTCAGTGAATGTGTATAATATATTATTATATATTTAAAAATCAAAATTTTTACAATTAAATTGTTTTACAACTTAAAGGAAAAGAATAGAGAAGAATAGATAATAAAAAATATATTATACATTTTAATTATGTTGTGAAATAAAAGAATAATTATAAATTATTTTATAAATCATTTATTATATGTACAATTGATATTTGAATTTATAAAATTTAAGCCATATTATATTAATTTAATAATAATATATAAAGTAGCAACAAAAATAAATTTTGGATATAATAATGGAGATATATTTCGAAGTAAGAAATTAAAACCTGAAAATATTTAAATATTTGTTATTTTCAAAAATAAGTTGTTATAATTATTTTTTGTAAAATATAAATTATTACTTTTATCATTTGGATCTTGATTTCCACATTGTCGATAACCTAAAGTTGCTTTTCGTTTTGTAGGAACATATCCTGGAATATATAAACTAGGTGTATCTAATCGTCCAATTGATATAAGTTTATTGAAATCTTGTTCCAAGTTGTTAGCAATTGGACCTAAATATATAATTATAGAATAATTATTATATTCAATAAATTTATATAAATTGCATATATTTTAAATTACCTTTAAAGTGTAATAAAAATTGAATGCATGCTCCATTATGCAAAATTTTAGTTTTTCTTGTATCTATAGATAACATCCATTCTGGAATACCCATAATCTTTCTTACATCTTCTAAAAATTGTGCCCTGTAATAATAAATTAGAAAAATTTTTGCAATTAAAAATTATAATAAAATAATGTTGAATATGTACTCACAGTACAAAACGAGGTGGTTTTCTTATATTTGTATATTTTACAATATCATTATCAGCTTCAATATTGGCACATGCATATCTATTATTTCCAAAATCTTTGTCAAAAATTATAATAGATCTCCCCATTGCAGACACTGGTCCTGCTAATGGAAAATTTGAATCTGTAAAAACTTGTCTTTTTAATCCTATATCAATGGGGCCTAATCGACCTGATATATCTCCTACATAACATCTAAGGGGTAAATCAGGACCACATTCTTGTTTGTATAGATCATCCTGTAAAATAAAATTACTTTTATCAAAGCAAACAGCATTACTTTGAAGCAGAAATTGTATATAGTTTTGAATAATATTACATTTAAAGGATCAGCTAATTGTGTAAAATATGGATTCCACATATATCCACCAGCTACACATCTAGTATCCTTTACTTTCACAGCTGCATCTACGCCAACTGGATTTACATATATTGCCCAATTGTGGTTTTTCGTCTAAAATAAATTATTTTTGTATAATTTAAAACTTATTACAATATTCTGTTGAACATTTTTATTTAATATTTTATGTACTTACAATATTACGATCATGTTTTCCTGGATGTCGTAATTTTACTTCAATTATTGTTTCACTCTGACTACCATCTTGGTGAATAAGTTGCGTCTGTAATCATTAGTGTTAAATCATATTTCATACCTTAATACTATTTTAATTTATAATACCATTCTTATGTAGCCATATGCAAAACCTTGTGGATGATGAAAAGAAGCAATTGCTCTCAATTCTGTAGCTTCAGATGGTGAATATCCCCTTTCTATAGTTGAACAAGCCCATCTTAAATGAAAAAATGATTAGAAGTAATATACATACTATTTAAATATTAATATTAATATAACTACCTCAAATTTTTTTCTTTCTTATGAATTACAATACTTCGACCTAGTATGCTTGTTGCTCCAAATAGAGGAAGTATTGTATCATTGAATGTTCTCATATATCTTTTTCTATTTTCTAAAGTACCAAACTTTCCACTAAGGTCACCCATTTCATACTGGTCAGTTGTTCCCTCTCCTGGAAATGGTGTATTACTTACATTGACATTATATGGATTCCAATGTTCATACAAAGATGTACTTTCACATGGAAATTCTAAGTCTTGTTCTACTGGAGTCTAAAACACATATACTTTTATTAAAATAAATAAAAGGGTAATTTTACTACATTCATGTTACCATGTGTATGTGATATCCACTCATTTTTCCATCTAGATTATCAAGATTTAGTTCTACATTTGTAACATCGTATTCATTTTGTTGCATAAATTCTAATTTTCCTCTTAGTAAAATAAGTTCTCCATTTCCAAACCAATCCTTTGCTACAGCTTTACGACGGTATGTTTCACCAATTCTATATAAAAATATTGATATTTCATTTTCTTAACAACAAAACTTGTTGATAAAAATATTTCTTATTAAATCTCTATATTTTATTCAATATGTTAATTACATTGAACATGCTAATCTTTCTCCTCTTGCACGAGGTCCATTATCATCATATATCACTAAACTTTTACCCAATATACTATTGGGACCTGATAGAGCTAACATTGTATCTGTGAAGAGTTTTCGTGTTACTAGAGTTCCATACTGTTTTTTACCAGCAATATCAATTGTACCATGTCTTGTTAAGTCACCTACACGGCATAGTGATACTTCTAATATGGAACAATATTCTGTAGGATTAGAATTCCATTCTACCTAGTAAATTAAAGGGTAATATTAAAAAAAAAAAAAAGTAATAATTACATTATAAAAAGGAAATAAGTGTAATTAGTGTTATTAATTACTGTACTTTGTAAGGATTATAAGGTTCACCAGTACTTAAACATCTGCCTGTCCAGTTATAATAATCTTTACCTGGTGGATTTTCATGAATCATCCATCTAAATATTTATAATTAAATTAAACAACTTTATTATAATAATTTTTAATAGTAAATACTTTGAAAAGTTATACCTATGATTTTCTGAATTATTTAAAGCATTACCATCCGCATGAATTAAATTTTCAATTATAATAGTAGTATCCATTTGAGGATCATTTTTGGCTTGACGAAAAATTATTCTTCCAACAATAGGATATCTATATATTATTTCTGCAGTTAGCATTGGTATTTGTCCAGTATTATCTGGTAAATAGAGATTCAAAGTACCACAAATCCATGGTATGATACTCTTATTGTCAGTTTCATTGTACCTAGTAAAAAGTTTGTATTATTAATTAAATATATTTTAGAAGTTTTGAAGTAATAGTATGAGAATGAAACAATAATTATAGAAAATTTATATCAATAATTACTTGTGAAGAATGAGGCTTCGATGAATAACACTGTGTATTCCTGAAAGCGGAAGGTATGTATCCCAATAAATTCCATTAAGTTTTGCACTTCCTGGTAAAATATCATAATGGTATGACCCTTCTTTGCGACCTTGTAGTTTCCCAGAAAGATCACCAATAGCATATTGATCTTGAGTTCCAAATCCTGATTTACACAATTATGTAATCATCTTAAGTTGAATAAGTAAACTGATCTAGAGTAATAGTTTAATTTGTTTACCTGCTGGTGGTGTAGTCATTACATCAATATTACTTGGATTATACATTTTTTTAGTTGTTTTACACACTTCTGCAGTTTTATTTGAAATAGTTGTTGGATCTGGGGGTAGTTCATGAATACTATATGACTTTATTTTAGTAGCATAACGCAATCTTGTTTCAAGGTCATTAATTGGTGTTAATGATATGTTAACCCATGTTGGATCAAATGGAGTTACTTGAGTTAGCGATATTTCTCCTTTGATACCATTGGAATTAATTAAAGTTCTAAATAGTTCAAATATGAAAAAAATTCATTAAAATGATCACAGAAGAAAGTAAGATATTATTAAAAAACTATATAATATAAAGTTTTTATTAAATTAAAATATTTGTTAATATATTATGGTGTGTTAATATTGTATTAGTATCTCATAAAAATATATTTTTAAAAATTGACTATTTGATTCATTAAAGTTTATGTATTTATGCATTATTATTAAAGTTATTATAAAATTTTATTTATAAGTATAAATATAAAATATAAAAAAATAAAAACTTTTATAATATAAGTTACACTTACTTGGTAAAGATAGGTTTTCTGTGATTAATTTTACTGCAAAGTAAAAAGGAATCGTCATGTCTTGGATGAAAGATGACTAAATATAACTGACGGTGAGGTGTAAGTAAATCAGCAGGTAGCAGAGATAATTTTGAATCTTTGTATGAAGTTTTATATCTATTATCATGATTTACAGCTACCTTTATTTTGCCTAAACGCATATCAATATCACCAATTGCTCTACCATTACCTGCATTATCAGGATCAAAGACAGTTTGCAAAATATTGCAACTTGACTTGTCTGTAAAATAAATATTAAATAAAAGTATTTTATGAAAATGTATTACTGATTTATAAATTATTAAATTATGAATCAAATATATTTTATGAAAAAAAAAAATTATACCTTTACTGATATCAAAGATGTCTGTTACATAAATCTTCCAATAATGTTCTGTGTAGTTTGTACCTCGTAATTTCTTATTATTAACATGATATAAATCTACATAAATTATTGTATCGCTAGTATCGTCACCAGCATGACCACCTAACCATCGAAACCAAATATTTCCCGCTATATTTTCGTGAAAACGTGCCTCCGCAAATTTTTCTACATTCTTTTCTAATACCTAAACGTTATCAGATAATTTGTAACTTCATATGCATACATATATGTATCATTTAGAATTATAACTTTTACTTCGGAAATGAATTTTATATTTTGTATTTTGAAAGTTACCGTTATTGAAGCACAAATAATTCTAGCTGAGTATGTGTCTTGAAGAATTAATCCTTTGCCCCATAAACCCATTTCTCCAGTTAAACTTATATTTGAAATTTCCACTGAACCTGTTTCATTTCCAGGCATATCCAATGGTCCAACGAGGTTCGTTAAGTCAATAATACTTCACGTTTAAAGTGATGATTTTGTAAGAAAGATGAATAATATTAATATATCAAAAATTAATTTTTCACAGAAAAACAAGAAAAATACCTATTTCCGATATATTGTCTAGTGCATCTATTATTTATAATTGTGTAATCAACAGGGAATTGAGTAACAGACCAAAGCCATTGTTGATCTGGATATTGGAGAGTAGTTTGAAGTGAAAATCGAACTCTTACGGATGTCTCTGTGGCTTTTTCAAATCGAATTTCTCCATGAAGCCCGCCAGAAGAAATATATGCGGCAAGACGTAATGAACATCCAATAGTAACTATAAAAGGTAAGAATATTCATATATGTTAATGCAATTTAGAATAAAATTTTCGAACATAAAGAAATTTATTTTTAAATAATTAAAAAAAATTTTTTATTCATGTGAAAGTATTAGAAAGAATTTAGAAAAAAGTTAATTTAAGTTATTCAATTGTGATTATCATTGTTAATGATAATTAATAATAATAACAACAACTATTTGAATATTTTGCAAATTTTGTTTACCATAAAGTGAATGAATTTATTTTTCTATATGAATAATATTCAACAATATCTAAAAAGACACGAATTGTTGTACTATTTTTTTATATTCAAATTTTGTGTTCTTCAGTTAAGAGTATTGTACACTCAAATGTTTAAGAAATATTAAACAATAAATAGTAAAATTGAAAATTGACGATATGTTACTCTTATATATATTTTTACTCACCATAGTTTAATAAAAAAAACCACCACATTTTGTTGTGCTATTGTATAAAATTTAAATCATTTTTTTGAAAGTGATTTGTGCCTTAATTTTCGATTTAATACCAACAATTTGTGTCTTAAACCATACTACGTTAAGTTGTTACCTTACAATGGAAACCAGTCAAGGCAACGCTGTCTGTACTTTCTTATTTCTCCGAACGGTGTGGTGGGAGTATCAAGTAGAGCTAAAGAAAAATGGTAACTTTCCCATCGAGGAAGTATGTGAAGTCAGGTGAAGTAAGGTGATAGCTGCTTATAACGTTAAAAAAAAAAAAGATATATATACACATTACGGGTCTTGTTACGATTATTCTAAATAATTAATAACATTTCTCTAAAATAGAAATATTATTTAATTTATTCTGTTGAATAAACATATATTGATGAAAATGCTTTTCAAAATAGTTACGAAGAATTATTTTTATTTTATTCATTACAATATTTTCAACGTTTAAAAAAATGTTGAAAATTTTAAATAGATTGCAAATATTTTTAATTTGGTGTATTGTTCTTAACTTGATATCGTTTTTCGAAGAATAATCTTTGAAAAACGATATCAATTACCAGGTATTATCATAAGGAAGTAACTATGGGTCGAGATCCTGGTCTATAGGTCAAAAATCAACCAACCTCCTTTACATATGTTTTCTTATTCAAGCTGTTGCCAACGAGAATACCGAGTTCTGACCCTACTTGGCACGTAGGCCCACGTAAAGGGAGATAGGCTATAGATCGTCTATGGCTCATATCATTGTTAATGATAATTAATAATAATAACAACAACTATTTGAATATTTTGCAAATTTTGTTTACCATAAAGTGAATGAATTTATTTTTCTATATGAATAATATTCAACAATATCTAAAAAGACACGAATTGTTGTACTATTTTTTTATATTCAAATTTTGTGTTCTTCAGTTAAGAGTATTGTACACTCAAATGTTTAAGAAATATTAAACAATAAATAGTAAAATTGAAAATTGACGATATGTTACTCTTATATATATTTTTACTCACCATAGTTTAATAAAAAAAACCACCACATTTTGTTGTGCTATTGTATAAAATTTAAATCATTTTTTTGAAAGTGATTTGTGCCTTAATTTTCGATTTAATACCAACAATTTGTGTCTTAAACCATACTACGTTAAGTTGTTACCTTACAATGGAAACCAGTCAAGGCAACGCTGTCTGTACTTTCTTATTTCTCCGAACGGTGTGGTGGGAGTATCAAGTAGAGCTAAAGAAAAATGGTAACTTTCCCATCGAGGAAGTATGTGAAGTCAGGTGAAGTAAGGTGATAGCTGCTTATAACGTTAAAAAAAAAAAAGATATATATACACATTACGGGTCTTGTTACGATTATTCTAAATAATTAATAACATTTCTCTAAAATAGAAATATTATTTAATTTATTCTGTTGAATAAACATATATTGATGAAAATGCTTTTCAAAATAGTTACGAAGAATTATTTTTATTTTATTCATTACAATATTTTCAACGTTTAAAAAAATGTTGAAAATTTTAAATAGATTGCAAATATTTTTAATTTGGTGTATTGTTCTTAACTTGATATCGTTTTTCGAAGAATAATCTTTGAAAAACGATATCAATTACCAGGTATTATCATAAGGAAGTAACTATGGGTCGAGATCCTGGTCTATAGGTCAAAAATCAACCAACCTCCTTTACATATGTTTTCTTATTCAAGCTGTTGCCAACGAGAATACCGAGTTCTGACCCTACTTGGCACGTAGGCCCACGTAAAGGGAGATAGGCTATAGATCGTCTATGGCTCTATAATGGGTTTTTACAAAGGATTCTTCGATGACATGGGTCATAGTGGCACCAGTGACGATCACTTTTTTCTTTACATGTGTAAAATATGACTTTTTCTCTCACACCCAACGTTCAGAAGAGTTATGAACTTAACCTAGGTATCTATGTATCTTATAATTAGTTAAAACTGGATATCCATATCCAACGATGCTCAACGATGTGTCATGTTTGAGATATTTGAAGGAGAAGGGAATGCATGAAATGAATATAAAACGAATACAAAAGAAAAATAAAGGGAGAAAAATCCAAAGTAGTCAAAACATCGACCGAATGAACTGAAACAGAATTAAATTCAAATCTAATAGGGCAACGAAAAATGATATGAAGTCTATACCAATAAAATTGGAAAATAAAATTCCAAATTCAGAAATTTAGCAGAAAGTGGAAACAAATTTCATTATATGTTTTATCTTTAAAGAAATGTATACAAGTCAGCTAATGGTTTCTTTATTGCTTTGTATATACTACCTTATTAGTAATAAGTTATTACTTCTCTTATTCTTAAATTAATATCAAATTCAAAATTAAATTTTTGGGAAGTTCAATGCACTTTTAAATTATATACATTAATTTATTAAACAATTAAAATATTATTATTAAATTATGTAAGAGAATGATACGTGGGTAGAGTGGACCACAATCGACAAGAACTAATTAATACTTGGTATTGGTTGATGATTACTGCTTGCTCTATTCACATCTTTGACCTAGTTCAATTAAAATTTCAATCTGTTCTATTCGAAGTCAAATCGGTAAGTGAGCTCTACCTGCTATGTCACAGTCTTCATATAACCAACACTGGTTGTCAAACGATGGCCAAGAAGTTTCGACCCTTACCGATTTCACTAGTTACACTATTCAACACGAATTTTAATCTGTAATATCGATCAGGTAATTCTTGTAGAGTTTACTTTCCTGAACATGAATCCGTAATTGAAATTACTCATTCACTCTCAGTTTTAGAAAATTGTGAGTTTTTCTAAAAGCATACGATTTTTGGCTAAAATGGAGTATTACATAAAAAGTGAAAACGTTAGAAAGTTCATTCTTATCTTGAAAGTCAGGTTAGAGTATCCCGAGTTTATCAATGTATAACTGGTTATAAAAATTTAGAAGTAAGTTGCCGAGTATACTTTCTACGTACTATTCTTGCGTTTTTACAAAAAATTCTTTATCTGACATGAATTCGATACGGTATCGTATTCTGTACGCTTGTATGAAGAAGAAGCTATGGAACCATATTGTCGAAATCGCCACGCATCATTGCTTGCTTCTCTAGTCTCGACAGTGCCGTAGCTATGCGTAATCCCAAGACTAAGTACAATGGAGCAAACATAACAGCCTCCAAAAAAAAAATAAAAAAAATAAAAAAAAGAAAAATAATAATAATATAAATAACAATACAAATAAGTTCAAAGGAAACTTTGAAAATTAATAATAGATAGAAAATATCTTAAACTTATTACTGACTTATATGTAATATATAATCAACTTCTAATTAATATGTCAATTTTGATGCGTAGTTCTTAGCTTGGTATTGTTTCCCAAAAATTGTTCTTTGGAAAACAATACCAATTACCAGGTCTCATCACATGGAGGTGGTTACGCATCGGAACACGGATCTTCCTTTCCATGCACTAACAAAGAGAGTGCAAGTCCTTCGGGTCACCGATTGCAGGTTTGTAGGTATCGTCATGCAGTTTGAGAAAATATATTATTATAGCCGCAACTACACAATATTTTTTAACATATTTATGATTAAAGTTTTATTACTTACCAATTATAGCTTTATTTTCAACAGCTTACAATTGGATTTGTAGCGTAACAGTGATAGTCGAGAATTTCTATGCTCGAGGACCGGGTTCGATTCCAATTCATAAGTCAGTAGTTTTTTCAATCTATTTTTTATTTTGTATTCATTTTCCGCCTATAAAAACATTGTAAATAAACAATTGTAAATAAAATTTCTTAATAAAAAAATTTATTTTTTACGCTTTCTTATGCTAGTATATATTTATTACAAAATAATAAGAATATTATGCAAGAAACTATTATGCGGAGCACATAACCAGAGTTAGTAAACTGACATCAGAGCCATCTATGATTTTAGACTCGAAGCGCGGGTTCCGCAACGAGAACATAAATGGCTCTGATGTCAGTTTACTAACTCTGGTTATGTGCTCCGCATATATTTTAATAAATCAAATCGGCAGTGGAAAATTCACTAATTACTCAATATCTGTTATTCATTTATGAACTTCTATAATTGTATCGTAAAGATAGATCCTTCAAGAACTTTCCAATATAACTTTCGATATAAATTTGTCCCTAATTAATTAATTATTAATAATTATTCTGCGCCGTGTTTGAATTGTTGTCGAAGACGCCATTGGTTTTTCATTAATTACTATCCTCTGCGTAATTAATTTATGAAACTTCATGCACACATTATAAAGACAATGTTCTTGCGAATCTTCTCATATAACTTTTGTTCATATTTTGATTCTAGTTTCGTTTAGTATTAAATATTTTCACGGAAGATCGTGATGGTCGTCGCTACGAAATCATAGACGCCATCAAACGATAATTAATAATTAATAATTTAGAGTTAAATTCTTTACGAAAGTTATATAGGAATGTTGCCTGAAGTTCCAACTTTACAATGAAATTATAAAAGGTCATGAATTAATTACCGAAATTGAGTAATTTATTAACTTTTCACTTTCGGCGCCCTTCCGTTCTTTTCTATCCCCTCTCTGTCCTTGTCTGTCACGTGACGAGCTCTTCGACGACCTCCTTGCTTATTCTGTATTCCTATTACTTTTCTGACTATTTGGTACAAAATCATAGATGGGGCTGATCGCAGGCGGTAAAATTTATATTTATTCGGTAATAGAAAAGTAATAAATTTCCAAGTTTTTGTAATTAATTCATCAACATTTATAACTACATAGCAAAGTTGGAATTATAGGCAACATTTTTATACAATGTTTAATTTAATAATTGGTTACCAGTAAATAAGATTGCTATAAAAATGTGTTTTTCTTGCATAATATTCTTATTAATTAGTAATAAATATATATTAGCATAAGAAAGGGCAAAAGATAAATTTTTTTATTAAGAAATTTTATTTATAATCTCATAGGCGAAAAATGAATACAAAATAATAAATAGATTGAAGAAAATCTACTAACTCATGAACCGGAATCGAACCCGGTCCTGCAATATAGGAATTCTCGACCATCGCCGTTCGGTTACGTCTTCAATCATAAGGTGTTAAAAATAAATGTATAATTATCGAAGTAATAAAGCTTTAATCACAAATATCTCAAAAACTACTGAGTAGTTGCCCCTATAATGGTATAATTTCTTAAACTGCATGACAAGATCTATAAACCTGCAAAATTTGTACCAAATGGGTGACCCGGTGGACTTGACTGTCCTTGTAACAAAATTTTGATATATTACTTCCGAGGGCAAACCGATAAATGACTGGAACATTGGCGCGTCGCTCATTATATAGCCCCTGATCGGCCGAAAATCTACGGAAATTTCCGAACTTTACCGATTCCATTAATTATTACTTTTCCGCTGTAATAGCCAATAACTTATTAATTTTTGTTAATAATAAAGTAATAAATTTATCAATTTGTTATTAACAACATTTTTAATAATTTATACATTTTTTGCAAATTTTAGTAACATTTACACTCTCGGTATGTAAGTTTCCATAATACATTTATGTTTAGATATTCTTATTAACCTCTGAAGGTAAGAATGTATAAATGATATGGTAAATAATTTTTCATTAACGTTAGCACATCTACTTTATCGGTTGCGAGCGTTACGGTAAGTTGATTTTATAATAGTTTCAAACTTTTACTCACAGATGGAACCGATGTACATTTCCTTTATCTTGATTTATAACCAAACAATTGAGTGTCTAACGTTAAATAGCTGTGTAGAATTATAATACATATATACATTTACATTTAATGATCAATAGAATGCTCTCTAAATAAATAATTCAAACGTATATAATTTTATAAATCAAAATAACATTTATTTTCGTCTGCCATGTTTCTATGGTCATAAATGGACTTGTCAGTGGATTATTGTTCCTTATACATGAACTATGTCACATATACATACATCATTTCCTAATACTCAAAATATAATCTTTACACAAATTATTTTCTGAAACTAATAATCATTCGCATAAACACTTAAATACTGTATCCTCCTGATATAAACTCCCATATAAATAATATTTAAAAATCATATGTAAAATTATTATTAAAATAATTGTATCAGCTTTGTTTCTTGGAGTTCCTTTATTACTGCTACTTTTGTTTCATTTTAATTTGTAACGATATAATATAATTATATTTTGTATTAAATTATTATTATTAAATTATCAATATAAGTTAATTATATTTTATAATTTCACATTTTTATATAATTAATTTTACTCAATTCTTCGTGTTATTATTCGTACTTTAGGTAAAAAATTCTTTTATAAAAATATTTATTAATTGTTTATGATTTTAAATAAAGGAAATTCGAAAATTTTCAGTTAAAAATATCCTTGAAATTCTTCAAACATTTTCGATTAAAACGAAAAGTCATATTTATATTATTAATAAGTGCAAAGATAACAATTTGTTCATTCTAATGAAATGTTTAAGAATTGTCTCGAATAATCAATTTTTATTCACGACGGTTATATATATTTTGATATTCGTCAAATATTTGCGGAAGTGGGTGAGCTTCGTTGTGGGTCAGCCTGTATAGTGATCTTCAGCCAGGTTCTAATATTAAATCGAGCCGTGTAAATAATTAATGATTAATTCTATTGTACTATTTATTATTAGAAGTACTTGCACATACTCTTTACAGACAGTAGGCGAATATTTTTCTCTTCGTGAACGATCAACTGTATTCCCTGAATTGTCAAAAGTACTAATTTCTTGTGATATTGCATTTTAGTATTACCATACTTTCTCATCATTTTGTTATTCCTTAATTTTTCTTTTTATTTTTCTATTATTTATTTCTTTTTATTCCAATTTTGAGAAGTTTCAAGACAACGCGAAAGGAATATTTAATACAAAATAAAAGAGTATTGTTACTGGTCCTAAATTAAAAATTAAGAATTAAAAATTCGTCTGGAAGTAATTTCGAAAAATTATTATTAAGAGGCAGGAAAGAAGCGAAAAATGTCACGAACCAATATGGCAGCCAGGAATGCGACGTATACTGCATTATTTCAGTTGAACGAACATTATAAATGCAGGAAATACCGATTACGTAAATTTGTCTAATATGCGACAGAGACAATAATAAAATATATCGAGTATCTGATAAGGTGTATAGAATACACTGATGTTTTCTGTTCTCAAATATCGGACAGTTATATTTAGTAACCACGTGCTTTAGTCGTTTCGGTGCACAAACCGGAAATTCAAGTTAGATCTAAACCGAATAATAATTATTTCCCGATTTCCCATTATAATTCGCCACTGTGATGCAATTTTTCTGTACAACTTTCCTCAGAATTTTTACTATTTTACATTATTTTTCCACACATGACACAGACACGCTGTTTGTCACTACGTTATACCTAAGCCGAGCGAAATCTCGCATTAACCTATATACCATAATAAAAATATTCAGAAGCAACCTCTGGATATCGTACAATTTTAAATTTCGAAGATTCGAATTTTACAGAAATTATTTCCACACTTCGATCCGACCATTTCCTTAATTCCGAAGTTACGTTCGAAATTCTAAGTCCCCGGAAACATTCCACTCGCGGGGCAATTTTTGGACGTGGACTTAGGTAGAATCGTTATACGCGCGTCACGCTCGTAGTTCAGACGTTTTTCAAAAATCGTATCGTACCTGAATCATATTCCGAATCGACGGAAATCCAATGGTCGTGGAGAAATGTTCGTGAAAGGTAGGAGGATTTCGTTGAGTCGTATCGCAGCGCTATCTCGGAGGAATTAGGACAGTGTATCTCGTCTGTAGCGATGACCGCAAATGGTGACGGAAGGAGACATGTCCGTTTGCTGAGGTATCGGGGTTACAGGAAGCGCAAGGCCGGGAGCAACGTAATCGAGGATCCCTGAGTCATATTTTCGACTTTGTAAAGGAAAGTCCGAGGTGCGAAAAAGGGCTGCGAGTGTTGGTTATTCGCACGATCCTCGGCAAACTGTTTTAGTTGAAACATCGAAAGGGTTGCTATTTTGAGGCGGCTCGCACTAAATATGGTCAGATAGGCGTTGGCGTTATACCCGGGCAAGGCACCCCTGCTCAGGCACCGGGCATGTAGTGGGGGAGATCCACCAAAGTTACTTAGACAAGTTCACTTCTATGATTCGGACAGTTGGTTCGTTGGGACCATCTCGTACCATCCTCTAACAAACCAACTGTAGACATGGTAAGTAAGCGACGAGCACGCACCATGATACGATTCCGTGATCTCGGCACTCGGATGATCAGGATACACGCGAAACCGTTGAATTTCGGCTAAACAGTGGGATATGTCGACAAATGAGAGGGAACTTTGAGCATCATGCACGTGACTAGTGGTGGAAACATGTTCGACCTGATGTACGATGGTAAATCTCGGGGAGGTCGATGAATTGCATAGACTGTGTCGAGGTTGTACGCCGAGTGACGAATTCGTCGGAGTGCAAGGCTTGCACCGAAAATCGCGAATCTGTGTTGATGAAGTGTAAACAGTGATCTGCGTTAGATTTTTGGCTGTTGGCCATTTCGTAGTTGGACCTTATTTGCTTTGCTTCACTCTGTGCTCCTAAGTAGTTTACGTACCCCTGGATGTTAACGTTAGAGCTACCTGTAACGCGTACTTCAGTATAGTATACGTAGATAATGATAATTCGAGTGAAATAGATTACGTTTCTATTTGAACGAAAGTTGACGTAAGTCCTGGCTAAAGTAGCTACATATTTCTCTTGAGTAAAATGACGAGAATCGCGAGGCGGCCATTTTGACTGGTCCGGTAGTTCCAGCGTTGATGCACTCTCGTAAACGTATGATCTATGGAATTCTTTAAGCTATCAGTTTGGCTGATGTTTTCACTCGATCGAGGGTATTTATGTTATTTAATGAATTTATCTTTGACGCAGTTTATCTTGATATTTATTTTTGTCCCCAAAAAAGGAAAAAGGAAATATATGTGTGTCATAGAATTTTGTTTGATATTTCACTTATAGATAGTTTACGCTTCCTGTTGTATTCGTTGGATATATCGTAAAAATAAAAGAATTACGTAACTGTAAGTAACTCGAGAGGCTGTACGGAATAAACGGTCTATATTTGTCTTGGCTTCTTTTCAACTATACTATGGATGATAGAACGATACTATTTTTAACCCTAACGAGCAACGCCTTCCGAATTTTCTTCCAAGTTATCCAAGCTAGCCTACTGCCAACTAAATATTAGATAATAATTGGTAATTTATCCCGTTATTATGTAACTATTAACAATTCTAACTTCCTTTATGTGGGTTTAAAATTTCATCAAATTTTCATCTATTTTTATTATTATTCTCTTCTTACGAGGAATTTCTCTTCAATTTTTCATCCATCGATTCTTCCACTCGTTCGAAATATTTATTTCTATAATCTATCCTTATTTCAACAGTTGGAATAATAAGAGAAAGGGGAATTAGAATATTTTCTGTAACTTACGAATCTTATCGAAAATTTTCGAAATATATTTTCACAAATTTGATGTTCGATTTATTACGTATTAATTAAATGTGTGTGCATTTTGAAGAAATGCCGTTTTTATTTCCCAAGGAATTATACCAGGCTACATCAGAGATTGATCAATCTTGTTTAATCAATTAATTGAGAAAGAATTTTATAATTTTTCCAATAATTATCTTGCAAAACACCGTAAAGATCGTTCATAAAGTTGAACATCGACCCAAAACGGAGTAGGAGAATTGAACGAAAAATTTTTAAGGAAACCGAATTTCTCCAGGAATTATTAGTTATCTCCGATTTCCATGTTACGTTATAATTACACGGTATTCTAATTATGTTGTATTATAATTACGACGAATTTCAGGCGGATAAAGAGAAGAAGAAGAAGACCAAAAAGAAGGAGGAGCCAGCGCCTCCTCCTCCGGAACCGGAACCAGCACCTCCGGCGGAAGAGAAGCCACCAACTCCTACCGGCACACCCAAAGAATCTGGCTCAACTAGAGCAAGTAGTCGAGGTAGCCGCAAAGCTAAACGCACTGGATCCAGTGTGTTTTCTATGTTTACTCAGAAACAGGTTGCCGAATTTAAAGAGGTACGCTCGAAGTGCGAGAAGCCATTTGAAAAATCGAAGAAATCGCTCGATAAAGATATAAATGGGACAAATTGATACGTGGATCGAGAGAAACTGAATGAATTTTCGAGATGTCCGATTTGGTAGCTTCGGTTGCGACTGGAGAAGAATAATTTATCTAGTTTATACTTATTGCAGGCATTCCAGCTTATGGATCACGACAAGGATGGTGTAATCGGGAAGAACGACCTTCGTGCCACTTTCGACAATGTTGGTCGTTTAGTAACTGATAAAGAACTCGACGAAATGCTAAACGAAGCTCCTGCTCCTATCAACTTCACTCAATTATTGAACTTGTTTGCAACTCGCATGTCGGGATCAGGTAACGACATATGTTCTCACGGGATAATAATTTGATTTTATAAATGCACATGTCTTGAACAATTCTCAGATATCTCGATTTTGTTTTATATTCGATTTTGCTAACACGTTATTCGGATAAGTGAGCTTCGAACGAATCTGCTTGTGTCAACTACGACTCATCCTCATCTCTGGCGGTCATTACTCTTATGAACTTACGGTGCGCTCTTGGATGCTTCAACTTTACCCATAAAATTCGTAATAGTTCATTTTTAGTCGATTTGTGAGATTCTGTTGCAGAGCAATTCGCTGTTCAGTGTTCACTTGCATTAAAGTGGTATCGTATGTTCAAAATTCGCTGAATATCGAAGTCATTCGAGTTTAGAAATTTGGATTTTCTACGTTCCTTTCTAAATCTTTCTGAAATTATTACCGATGAATCATTGAGATTTTCTTGGGGAGTCGTCATCGGGTTAAATTCTTGAGTTATCAGGTAAATTATTAAATTCAATTATTCCTTGTGTGTAGCATGCGAGATGGCTGGAAATCGTCGGTAACAGAGTCATGAAAATCTAGTAAAATATAAAAATAAAAATTTCTATGGTTGAATGCACTGTAAGATGTTGGTAATTGTCAATTTTGAGAAAACGTGTTCACTTATCCGGAGCTTGTGTTATTCCATAAGATAAATGTGCATATGTAAACTTCGAATAATTTCCTTTGATTTACTCAATATTGTATAATGCGTTAAGTTAAACCTAATTCTTTTGATTTTAGGTACCGATGACGATGAAACCGTAATTGCTGCCTTCAGTACCTTCGATGATAACGGGAAAATTGATGGTGAAAGGTAAGCAATATAGCTGTCATTGTAATATTGTTATTAATTTTTCGAAGGAAAAAGGATGTAAGTTTTCAAAATTTCCTTAAAAGAATTGGAATTCTGTTTATGTCTATGATGAATGTATTCGTACGATCTAAGTCTGATATATTTTGCTGACAGTTTTCTCTGAGATTCAAGTTGAAATCTTTATGCGCATATCTGAGAAAATAATTTGAATACTGTTATACAACGAAAAATTATTTCCTTTGCTGCAGATTGAGGCACGCTTTAATGACATATGGTGACAAGTTTTCTGCGAAGGAGGTCGATGACGCCTATGACAATATGTACATCGATGATAAAGGATTTATCGATACGCAAAGCCTTATCGCGATGTTAACTGGTACGGGAGATGATGAAGAGGAATAATTTTAAGTGATTTTCAGCATTAAAAATTTTTGTTGAAACTCTGTTCATTAAAAACGAAGTCCCGTATTAACGCTAGGTCCGCTTGATCCGTTTCCAATTGACGAATAGTAACTGAAAAGCAGGCACAGTTGTTTCCTTTTTTATTATTCCTCGACGATACACTTCTGTGAAGGAAGACTTTTTAAAAATAAGCTGCAAGAATTGTGTAAAATGTCAGGATAGGTTCTTGGAAGTGGAAACAGCGCATCTATCGAGAAACGAGGCTTTGAATCTCTCCATATTATTGTTCATATAATAAAATTATTTTAAAACTTTGAAATGATTTTTCTAATTTTGATCCGTCACACACATCGATAAAGAATATATTTTATTTGATTTCTACGTGCCATTTCGACGCGTATATAATTTTAAATATTATTTATCTGTCGGCGATCGTGCAATTTTTCATTCTAAAGTTTTACAAAATTTAACAACTTCAAATGAAAAATGTTTCTGTGTGATTTATTGATTTAGAAAACAATTCAATAATATATTTTTATATAAGCATATATATATATATATATATCAAGTACTGCCTTCTTTGAATTTTGTATATTTGTAAAAAAGAATAAAACAATGTTTATTACTAATGCATATTGGGTAAGATATAAACACTTATTAATTTATGTATGAAAATTTATACTACTTGCATAAAATACAGTACTAAAAATTTTATTTGTTATCCTTTCTTAACGTATCATGTGTTATGCAATTACGTATTATGCAATATCGTGACACAGTCCAAAATTAATTTTTCAATCCTATAGTAGGTAATGAAAACCTATCTCGAATGGTGTTTCTGAACGCCCTTTCGCTTTAATTTTGGCACTGTATCAAATTATGCGGCGATGATAGTCGACTAAATATAGCTTATAACCATACGCTTGGTGCACAAACAATGGAATCTGCCACAAGTTGTATGTCGAGGTATGTAACACGATGACGAATAAAAATCAAATAATATTTAAGCTTAAAAGATTATAAAAAAATTGAAGTAATTCGAAAATTTCGATTTCTATAAATTCTGCAAGTTTGATAGAAATCCCAAAAATAGATCATATTATAAGGCATATTTTTCTTTTTATTTTTTGATATTTCTGTTTGTCAGAGAAAATTCAAACTTAAAGTTGCATTTCCAAATGAAGGCATGTTATTATAGTCATATATACGTATTTGTTGTGTTTATTCAATTTCGTTATTATTCTTATTACTTTCAAGCATTATCAATTATACAAATGCACTGTAATTATATGATGCATTTTCGGTTATGTAATATCCGCCGAATTTAAGTAGATTTATTTCCTTCAAGAGTAATAACGATGAAAGGAAAATGTAAAAGTTCCTGTTACTTCAAATTAATAAAAGTTACTAATCTTTCAGTCATATCACCAGTTCCAAACTTTGTACGACATAAAAATTTGAGGAACTACTTACGTATCAGCTATGTCCATGATACGTTGTTTCAATAGGGTGAAATACGACATAGCAGTACTGATGATCTGCAATATAAAACTATAATTGATAATAAAGAAATTTACTCGGAATATTCTAGATATTAAGTCCAAAATAATACATAGCATGTTAAATGATCTCTGTCAAAGATAATAAATAAATAATCAAGAAATTTACTAGATATCCTAGACATAGTTATCTAGAATATATCATGATCGAGATTTCATACTGATCGTAATTCCAATGCAAAATGTTTTTCTGCATGTATTCGATTAAACCAAGAAACTTGTCTTTATGTATAAATAGGATGAAAATTTTTAATAAATCTATGACCAGTCCCATACCATTGCACATGATATAAATACTGACCTGAAACATCAAAACAGAAAAACTAATAATGTGTCAAGTAAATAAAATTATCGATTCGAAATAAAAAAAGAAGCTAACATTTATTTAACTTAATACTGGTTCTTTTCACAATACAAAATGAAAATTCTCTTAAATTTAATAATTTAAATAGAGAGGTAAAGATTACTTGAATTTATTTATTTTAAAAGTATAACAAATTCAAGGAAAGAAATTTCAAATATCATAAATTAAAACAAGAAAAAGTATTGTTTCTCTTATTTTTTGGTCTATGGCATGATTTAAAATCGATATGGATAATTTTAATAACGAACAAAGTATACAAGAGCAATGAGAAAATTAATAAAAGCAAAGTATTTTATTCGCAATTAGAAAATTTATAAATATACACAATTAATCGGAATATAAAAATGGCTACAATTTTTAAAGAACGTAAAATGAAACTTGTCTGTCTACGAATATTTTTCTTTATTCGTATGCATTCCAATTACATGAAATTATCTAAGGATTAGATTAAAATTATCTAAGCATCTAAGAATTAAAAAAAAGGAAAAATATTGAATAATTAATGACAAGCTTAACAAACAGTTCAAAGTATACACATATACGTATATTACCATGTTATCAATTCGAAGACACATATAAGACGACAGAATTTTGTTATACTTACGACGACATCTCCCCAAGAGAAATAAAGAGCCCTGAACTATATCAACATAGAGAGGACGAGTGTGATGATGGTATACACTATAGTAGCGTTCATGAACCATGCCTCAGAGGGACTAGCGGATAACCAAAAGCCAACGACCCTCATAGAGAAAGCTGTTACAATGAAAGAAATGTCTCTAGAATACTTGAAACTCATATTGAATTTAAAACGATCAGTTGCATCGATTCAGAATTACCACATTATTAATTATCGAAAGGCAACGGAAGCAATTGATTCTCTTTACAAATCACTTACAAATCATACTCTATTATTCGTTCGTACACGTTGTATTCTTAGGTTTCCTATTATTTTATTTCGTGGTAAGAAGAAATTATTACGATGTATCTATTCGTGCAGTTATCACTGTGTATGTTAGACGTAATGCATGTGATAAACGTGTTATAAATCATTCGGGAATGGATGCAGGAAAACCCCCATATGAGAATGAGTGGTAGCGAACAGTCTAATGTGGTAATGTGAAAGATAAAGACTGGTTTAGTTAAAACTTTTGAACCTTTCGTGCTCTGAAAAGATAAGGTACAGTACAGAATTAATTAAACGTTTAATCGCGTATACTGGTGACAGTGAAGAATCTGTGAATGCTCATATTCAGTTGTGAAATACAAATGATTATATAGACACTTGTATATATATATTTATTTTCAACAACTATGAAATTAATTTAACTTTCCATTTTATCGCAATGACAACCTTCTATGAATTGCAAATGGTGGTACGTGTTGAAAGATCAATTAAAAATTCTATAATTCCATATAATTCTATATAGAAATTCTATATAATTCAGACCGGAAAATTCATAAAAATTTGTTCCATGACTTTGATTAAGCTTTTTATTAAATATCTCCTCAGATGTGTTATTGATTATTTGCCATATTGTAAATATCCGCAGCACAAAAACTGGAGGAATTACGTATCTGTTACGTCCATGCTATTCTGTTTTAGTACGGTGAAATATGACATCGCTGTACTTATGATCTGCAATGAGAGAATAGTAAATCTTACAATAACTATTAGTTTTTTCATAATTATAAAATGATAAAAGCGAATTCTAAAACTGTTCGAAGAAGGATACCGGAGGGGATAAATTTGTATGAATTTTTTCTATTTCATGTTAATAGAAAGGTGTTTACCTTGGTACAAGTCTCAAGGGATATAGGAAAGAAGCCGTAGGCGGTCAAGCAACACGCACGTAGCGACCTCATGGTAACGAGTTGCAAATCTTTTCGTATCATTTTTCCATATTTATCCATTGATAAGTTTATCCACGGGGTCGCGTAAACGGCCGATACGATGTTAGCGCTCTCTTGCATTATGGAATTGCAACTGTACGTGAACATCCATAGTTGACATATGTTGTTTAATAGGAAACATATGAAAGAAATTCTCCATGAAAGTGACAGGTTCGCCTGTATTTTCCAATATATCGCGAGTGTAAATAAATTGTGCAACAGTTCAATACCCAAAAGACGAATTTAATCTTTATACGCAGAGGTTATGATGCATACTAACCAAAATTACTTGATATCCGATGAAACAAATCAATATGCTAAATATTGACACTTGTCCGAGTATAATTACTGCGAATACTTCTTCGAGCTTAGCACAAACATCGATGAGAGACTGATGCTGTTGAATGCAACTTCTAAACGTATTGTAATATTTGCTTGAAGGACATGTGTTTACATTTTCGTCGAGATTCACTCTAACCTTCAAATTTGGCATTTCGACTATTCTGTATCGTAATATACGAAACTGGCTAGCTAAGTGTTTGCACATAATGAAAAATATATTGTCGAAAGAAATATAACATATTCCAGCCTGGTACAAAGATAAAGCCTGCACGAATGTAACAAAAATTATATATCAGTACATAAAATCATCTATGGTTTCTGGGTTTAGTAATAATATGCTTTCATGAGAGTTAGGATTAAATTTAACGCAGAATTACATTTGATTTGATTTTAAAATGAAGTATCTTCATCTTCTTTTACTAATGACTCTAGGTAATGTAGATAAAATTTTTATACTCCGGAGCGGAAAAATATTTAAGAGTATGTAAATCGATAAAAAAATTAGTGAATAATTTCAGTTACACATCAGTGAAAAATTATTTAATGAAACCTAAAATAGAATATTTTTTACATAATTTAAACTATATCATGTGCTACAAAAAGTACTAGGAAAATTTAGAAATACTTTATATTACTATCGAATAGAAATATTATTTTCTTACAGAAAATAGTACCTGTATTAAATAAATAATTTCATAATATGGTGATATATATATTGGCATATCGATATACATATTAAATATGAATATCCTATCTGTTTCGTTTTTTCCAATATTTGCTGAAATAAAATTATTTCATAGTTCATATTTTTATCTGAGAAAAATTTTAGGCACTGCTAGAACTATTATAGTTTGCATTATATAGGGTGTCGCAACAACGGTAGTATAACTGGAAAGGGGCAATTTTACATGCAGAAACGAATCGAAGAAAAAAAGAATAAAATTTTTTGATTCAAAGCTTCGTTGTCAAAAAAATCGAATTTCAATATCCATCAAATACGCGTACACCTAGCTACGATTTAGATGAATAAATCATCGATACATTAGCATCGATGATATAACCGATGAGAGAGTGATTCTGGATGAAAAAACAAATTGAAAATAAAAAATAAAATTTTTTCATTCGAAGCTTTGCTGTCAAGAAAATCGACTTTCAAATCACTCCCTTCTCGATTGTACCATCGATATTCATGTATTGATGATTTATCCATATAAACCATAGCTAAATGCACGCGAATATTCCAAGTCGATATTCTCAAAAACGAAATATCAAATCCAAAAATTGTATTCTTCTTTTTCGATTCGTTTCAGCATCTAGGATCACCCCCTTCCCGGTTATACTACCTTGATGATTTCCTACAAAAGACTTGTAATATTATATTAAAATTGAATAAATATAATCGAGGACGAATTGGCCTTTATCTAAATTACGTAAATTGTAAACCATGATATTTAAAAATTACGCGTGTTTATGAAATGCGGTAATTGCTGTTTAAAAGTTGACCCCTATTATCATTTAATTTCTTGAGATATAAATTGGTAATCTTACATAAAAGTGGTCTTATTATGTAGGAAAAGATTGTAATTTGAGAAAAAAATGATTGAACGCCGACAAAATAAATGCATATGTGCTTCGCATTTTCTATAATAGATTTTTCGTACTCATCGTAATTTAAATGCCAAAAATTTGTTTGCATGTACGTGATTAAACTGAGAAACTTTTTCTTATATAGAAGTATCACAAGGAATTTGAAAATATCCATAATCAGTCCCACGCTATTAGACGAAATGTATGAGAAGACCTAAAATGATAAAATATCAAAATTATGTAAATGATAAGCGTAATCTTCGAACTTATTAATATCCGGAGATCAGTCACGTTTAATTTGTTTATTTCCAATATATACAAAGTCCAAAATTAGTACAGTATAAAAGTTCAAAATGATACAATACAAAATTGCGAAAATGGAACAAAAATTTTTGTTCCTTCCATAACGCGATACTTTTCGTAATTTATATAGCCTAATAATTAAATTTATATACATTATCACAAGTTAATTTAAGCAACGAACAACGATAAATACAAAACGAATAAAACAAAGAAAGTAAGACAAATGAAAAAGTATTTCATATACAAGTATTATGTACAAGATGTCCATTTTCAATTTCTCATATATAAATTTTATATAAGTAAACGTTTCACACTAATATAAAAATAGTTATATGAGATTTTCAAGCACATATAATATTATTGAATTAGAACAAGAATACAGATATCAGTTAAATTATTTTTGTTAAAAGTAACAAACAGTCTGAAGTAATGTTACCAATCTCAGGAGATACTCGAAGTAACAAAAATTTTCTACATTCACCTTAAAGTCATCCCAGGAGAAATAAAGGCCCCATAAATGAATACACAAACAGATAGCGAGCATAGAAATGGTATACACCACCATAACATTTCTAAACCATTGTTCAAAGTAACTATTAGATAACCAAACGCCAATTATCTTTAGAGAGAAAGACGCCATACTGAGAGAAAGGTCCCTGGGGTATTTTAACCTCATATCGAATTTCGAACGGTCAGATGTACCGATTTGGAATTAATAAAAGAGCCAACCTATTATTTGTTGAGAGGTATCTCAAGCAATTGATTCGACGTAGCGTGCCTTTGATCTCTAAATCAACCTCTAATGTTCGATCGTGCATGTTTTATTTTTTTTTAATGATACCAGTGCATGACTTTATGATAAGAAAAAGCTATTATGATATATCTATTTGCAACCATGCAATTGCTGTAATGTATGTAATCGATGAGTTACGCATGATTCAGGGAACAGAATTGCAAATCCCTCTTTAGAATTGAATGAGGGACAGCAGTTGAAAGTAGGGATGCAGAAAGAGAAGATTAATCTGTCGAATGAACGTAATATGTTCTGTGCTCTGTAAATTAGATGTTTGATTATTGACGTTAGTGATACTGAGAAACCTGTGAGTATCCAAACGTTATTCGCGAAATATAAATGTTCATATATATATATATACAGTACTTGTGTACATATATAATTGCAAACAGAATATTGATAAAATAAAATTCATCCTTCATCGTCAATCTTGTGGTGTCAGAAGCATTAATTTTTTATTGTGTCAGCACACTTAACAAGTTCTACAAGTAAAATTTCTTTCTAAAAAGTAATACTATCGTTGGCATGACAGATTATGTACAAGCAGAACGTGAAAAGCTGGAGAAATTAATTCTCTTCTGCATCCATGTTAGTTTGCCTCAGTATGGTGAAATATGATACTGCTGTACTCATGATCTGTAATGAAAATAGAAACTATTATAATAACCATGAAAATTATGTTAATTATAAATTTATTTATAAATTCGTATATTTTTAAATCTTTCAAGTAAAGGTGATGGAGAAGATAAGTTTCTACGAAAATATGGGATTTCATGTTGGTAGAAAAGTGATTACCCTAATATAAGTCTCAAGGGATATAGGAAAGAAACCACAGGCGGTCAAACAACACGCCCGTCGGGACCGCGTGATAACGAATTGAAAATCTCTTCGTATCATTTTTCCATATTTATCCATTGGTAGATCTGTCCACGGTATTGTGTAAATGGCCGACGAAACATTCATGCTTTCTTGCGTTACGAAATCGCAACTATACGTGAACATGAATAGTTGACACATGATGCAGAGGATGAAAGCTACGAAGCCATTTTTATACGAATCAACCAGGTCCACCTACATGTCAAGATATACTGTGAATGTAATTGAGTCGTGCAACGTGCAAATAATACTTGATTCTCGTTTATACATATATAATTATTTACATTGAGTGATTATGCAGCATACTAACCAAAACCAATTGAAATCCGATGAAACAAATTAATATGCCAAATATGATCACTTGTTCCAATACAATTTCAGTAAATATTACTTCGAGCGTGTCACAAAAGACAATGAGGGCCTTATGCTGTTCAATACAATTTTTGAATATCGCATAATATTTGTCCGAGGTATACGTGTTTTTATCTCCGTTAAAATTTCTTTCCTTCTCCAGACTTAACATTTTGTTTATTCTATACTGTAATACACGAAATTGCCCGCCCACGTGAAAGCACATAATGCAGAACATATTATCGAAGCAAAGATAACATACTCCGCATTGATATAGACCCAAAGCCTGCGGAAATGTAACAAAAATTACATGCCAATACATAAAGCTATCTTCGACTTTGAATTTCAATTTGACCTTCGGGTAATGCATCTTTATGATAATTTATTAATAATATTAAGAGATTACAGAATACCTGTGAAGTGAACAGAATTTCAAAATATGGTGACATAGACAATGGAAAGTCCACCCACAAATTAAATAGCAATTCCCTGTCTGATTCGTTCCTTCCAAAATTTTCTAAAATAAAAATTCTATATTTCGTGTTTTTATTATAAATCAATTAATTTGACCGTTTCACGAGTACAAGGTTAGCATAAGATTGTGTGAGTAAAATTACAAAATATTTAATTGATAAATAATTAAATACTTGGTAGCGCCAGTGAGTTAAATAGGAAGCTGACAACTGACAGCTTGTGACTGATAACAACTAAAACGCTAACTCGTGAAAGGTTTAAGACACTATAAAAATTATATTTTCCATTACATATAAATATTTTTAGTGCTTGCAATAAGCACTACCTACAAAGGACTTAAGAAATTGGTTAGAAATCCAATAAGTAATATTCAATGCAATTAAAGATAAATTGGCATTAATTTGAAATATATAAATATTAAGTTACGGTATGAAGAATTATGCCTGTTTTTGAAGCTTCATAATTATTACTTGGAAATCTTTCTTTAACGGTGTTTTGTTGCTTAATTTTTCGAATATAAATTGATAATTTTACCTACTATTGGTGATATGATACAGGAGAAAATCGTACATTGATTAGTAAATGTGAACGCACAAACGAAGTAAATGCATATATGTTTTGCATTTGCTATAATCTCGTGTTCGTTCTGTTCGTAATTTGAATGCCAAAAATTCTCCTTCATATATGCGATTAAACTAAGAAACTTCTTCTTATGTATAAATACTAAGATGACTTTAGATAAATTCAAGAACATTCCCACACAGTTGTATACGATGTATATAGAAGCCTAGAATGTTGAAACTATGGAAATTATAAGCATCACATAAAATTATTGATTTAAAACACAGAAATTAAAGGAACATTACAAATTTTTCAGTGCTAATAAATCGGTCACTATTAATTTGCATTATTTCTGAAAATTCTAAAAGTCACTTCATATTCTAAACGCATAAATTTGTGTAAAGATATAATATTAAAATTGTTATATTAATATACATCATATTCTACCAAAATAATTAAAATAAATTATATCAAAATGAGTATATGGGGTCGATATGAAACACAAGAAATAGTCCAAGCCAAATATTACGTCTCAATCTGAAGGAACATTTGAAGAAATGAAAATTTCATTGTACTCACGACATAGTCTTCGAAAGAGAAGTAGAGATCCCTCACTTCAGTCCCCAAGATGTAGGCGACAAGGATGGCGGTATATAAAATAGTAGCGTTCCTGAACAATTGTTCTCTACGACTAGTGGCTAACCAAAAACCTGTGGTTCTTAGATAGAAGGATGCTATATTGACAGAAAGGTCCTTATGATAAGTCAACCTCATATTGGATTTCGAACTATCGGGTTCACCGTCTAAGGCTTTATAGAAAGGCTAACCTATTAATTTTCGAAAAGTATCTGAACCAATCGATTCGGCACAGCTTGCCTTTGATGTGCACATCGTGCCCTATTATTCGTTCGTTCATATCATATTTGCTATTGGTAATATGCATTCGCGATTCTGTGATAAGGAAAAAAGTTATTATGATATATCTATTTGCGACCATGCAATTGCTGTAATGTATGTAATCGATGAGTTATGCATGATTGAGGGAACAGAATTGCAAAGCCCTCTTTAGAATTGAATGAGGGATGGCGGTTGAAAGTAGGGATGCAGAAAGAGAAGATTAATCTGTCGAATGAACGTAATATATTCTGTGCTCTCACAATTAGATGTTTGATCATTGATGTTAGTGATATTGAGAAACCTGTGAGTGTCCGGAACGTTATTCGTGAAATATAAATGTTCATATATATATATATATATACAGTACTTGTGTACATATATAATTGCAAACAGAATATTGATAAAATAAAATTCATCCTTCATCGTCAATCTTGTGGTGTCAGAAGCATTAATTTTTTATTGTGTCAGCACACTTAACAAGTTCTACAAGTAAAATTTCTTTCTAAAAAGTAATACTATCGTTGGCATGACAGATTATGTACAAGCAGAACGTGAAAAGCTGGAGAAATTAATTCTCTTCTGCATCCATGTTAGTTTGCCTCAGTATGGTGAAATATGATACTGCTGTACTCATGATCTGCAATGAAAATAGAAAATATTATAATAACCATGAAAACTATATTAATTATAAATTTATTTATAAATTCGTAAATTCCTAAATCTTTGAAGTAAAAGTGAAGGAGAAGATAAGTTTCTACGAAATTATGGTATTTCACGATGGCAGAAAAGTGATTACCCTAATATAAGTCTCAAGGGATATAGGAAAGAAACCACAGGCGGTCAAACAGCACGCCCGTCGGGACCTCGTGATAACGAATTGAAAATCTCTTCGTATCATTTTTCCATATTTATCCATTGGCAGATCTGTCCACGGTATTGTGTAAATGGCTGACGAAACATTCATGCTTTCTTGCGTTACGTAATCGCAACTATACGTGAACATGAATAGTTGACACATGATGCAGAGCATGAAAGCTACGAAGCCATTTTTAAACGAATCAGCCATGTCCACCTACATGTCAAGATATACTGTGAATGTAATTGAGTCGTGCAACGTGGAAATAACACTTGATTCTCGTTTATACAGATATAATTATTTACATTGAGTGATTATGCAGCATACTAACCGAAACCAATTGATATCCGATGAAACAAATTAATATGCCAAATATGATCACTTCTACCAATACAATTTCTCTAAATATTACTTCGAGCGTGTCACAAAAGTTAATGAGAGCCTTATGCTGTTCAATACAATTTTTGAATATCGCACAATATTTGTCCGAGGTATACGTGTTGTTATCTCCGTTCAAATTTCTTTCCTTCTCCAAACTTAACATATTGCTTATTCTATACTGTAATATACGAAATTGCCCGCCTACGTGAAAGCACATAATGCAGAACATATTATCGAAGCAAAGATAACATACTCCACATTGGTATCCGGACAAAACCTGCAGAAATGTAACGAAAATTACGTGCCAATACATAAAGCTATCTTCGATTTTGAATTTCAATTTGATCTTCGGGTAATGTATCTATATGATAATTTATTAATAATATTAAGAGATTACAGAATACCTGTGAAGTGAACACAATTTCAAAATATGGTGACATAGACAATGGAAAGTCCACCCACAAATTAAATAGCAATTCCCTGTCTGATTCGTTCCTTCCAAAATTTTCTAAAATAAAAATTCTATATTTCGTGTTTTTATTATAAATCAATTAATTTGACCGTTTCACGAGTACAAGGTTAGCATAAGATTGTGTGAGTAAAATTACAAAATATTTAATTGATAAATAATTAAATACTTGGTAGCGCCAGTGAGTTAAATAGGAAGCTGACAACTGACAGCTTGTGACTGATAACAACTAAAACGCTAACTCGTGAAAGGTTTAAGACACTATTAAAATTATATTTTCCATTACATATAAATATTTTTAGTGCTTGCAATAAGCACTACCTACAAAGGACTTAAGAAATTGGTTAGAAATCCAATAAGTAATATTCAATGCAATTAAAGATAAATTGGCATTAATTTGAAATATATAAATATTAAGTTACGGTATGAAGAATTATGCCTGTTTTTGAAGCTTCATAATTATTACTTGGAAATCTTTCTTTAACGGTGTTTTGTTGCTTAATTTTTCGAATATAAATTGATAATTTTACCTACTATTGGTGATATGATACAGGAGAAAATCGTACATTGATTAGTAAATGTGAACGCACAAACGAAGTAAATGCATATATGTTTTGCATTTGCTATAATCTCGTGTTCGTTCTGTTCGTAATTTGAATGCCAAAAATTCTCCTTCATATATGCGATTAAACTAAGAAACTTCTTCTTATGTATAAATACTAAGATGACTTTAGATAAATTCAAGAACATTCCCACACAGTTGTATACGATGTATATAGAAGCCTAGAATGTTGAAACTATGGAAATTATAAGCATCACATAAAATTATTGATTTAAAACACAGAAATTAAAGGAACATTACAAATTTTTCAGTGCTAATAAATCGGTCACTATTAATTTGCATTATTTCTGAAAATTCTAAAAGTCACTTCATATTCTAAACGCATAAATTTGTGTAAAGATATAATATTAAAATTGTTATATTAATATACATCATATTCTACCAAAATAATTAAAATAAATTATATCAAAATGAGTATATGGGGTCGATATGAAACACAAGAAATAGTCCAAGCCAAATATTACGTCTCAATCTGAAGGAACATTTGAAGAAATGAAAATTTCATTGTACTCACGACATAGTCTTCGAAAGAGAAGTAGAGATCCCTCACTTCAGTCCCCAAGATGTAGGCGACAAGGATGGCGGTATATAAAATAGTAGCGTTCCTGAACAATTGTTCTCTACGACTAGTGGCTAACCAAAAACCTGTGGTTCTTAGATAGAAGGATGCTATATTGACAGAAAGGTCCTTATGATAAGTCAACCTCATATTGGATTTCGAACTATCGGGTTCACCGTCTAAGGCTTTATAGAAAGGCTAACCTATTAATTTTCGAAAAGTATCTGAACCAATCGATTCGGCACAGCTTGCCTTTGATGTGCACATCGTGCCCTATTATTCGTTCGTTCATATCATATTTGCTATTGGTAATATGCATTCGCGATTCTGTGATAAGGAAAAAAGTTATTATGATATATCTATTTGCGACCATGCAATTGCTGTAATGTATGTAATCGATGAGTTATGCATGATTGAGGGAACAGAATTGCAAAGCCCTCTTTAGAATTGAATGAGGGATGGCGGTTGAAAGTAGGGATGCAGAAAGAGAAGATTAATCTGTCGAATGAACGTAATATATTCTGTGCTCTCACAATTAGATGTTTGATCATTGATGTTAGTGATATTGAGAAACCTGTGAGTGTCCGGAACGTTATTCGTGAAATATAAATGTTCATATATATATATATATATATATATACAGTACTTGTGTACATATATAATTGCAAACAGAATATTGATAAAATAAAATTCATCCTTCATCGTCAATCTTGTGGTGTCAGAAGCATTAATTTTTTATTGTGTCAGCACACTTAACAAGTTCTACAAGTAAAATTTCTTTCTAAAAAGTAATACTATCGTTGGCATGACAGATTATGTACAAGCAGAACGTGAAAAGCTGGAGAAATTAATTCTCTTCTGCATCCATGTTAGTTTGCCTCAGTATGGTGAAATATGATACTGCTGTACTCATGATCTGCAATGAAAATAGAAAATATTATAATAACCATGAAAACTATATTAATTATAAATTTATTTATAAATTCGTAAATTCCTAAATCTTTGAAGTAAAAGTGAAGGAGAAGATAAGTTTCTACGAAATTATGGTATTTCACGATGGCAGAAAAGTGATTACCCTAATATAAGTCTCAAGGGATATAGGAAAGAAACCACAGGCGGTCAAACAGCACGCCCGTCGGGACCTCGTGATAACGAATTGAAAATCTCTTCGTATCATTTTTCCATATTTATCCATTGGCAGATCTGTCCACGGTATTGTGTAAATGGCTGACGAAACATTCATGCTTTCTTGCGTTACGTAATCGCAACTATACGTGAACATGAATAGTTGACACATGATGCAGAGCATGAAAGCTACGAAGCCATTTTTAAACGAATCAGCCATGTCCACCTACATGTCAAGATATACTGTGAATGTAATTGAGTCGTGCAACGTGGAAATAACACTTGATTCTCGTTTATACAGATATAATTATTTACATTGAGTGATTATGCAGCATACTAACCGAAACCAATTGATATCCGATGAAACAAATTAATATGCCAAATATGATCACTTCTACCAATACAATTTCTCTAAATATTACTTCGAGCGTGTCACAAAAGTTAATGAGAGCCTTATGCTGTTCAATACAATTTTTGAATATCGCACAATATTTGTCCGAGGTATACGTGTTGTTATCTCCGTTCAAATTTCTTTCCTTCTCCAAACTTAACATATTGCTTATTCTATACTGTAATATACGAAATTGCCCGCCTACGTGAAAGCACATAATGCAGAACATATTATCGAAGCAAAGATAACATACTCCACATTGGTATCCGGACAAAACCTGCAGAAATGTAACGAAAATTACGTGCCAATACATAAAGCTATCTTCGATTTTGAATTTCAATTTGATCTTCGGGTAATGTATCTATATGATAATTTATTAATAATATTAAGAGATTACAGAATACCTGTGAAGTGAACACAATTTCAAAATATGGTGACATAGACAATGGAAAGTCCACCCACAAATTAAATAGCAATTCCCTGTCTGATTCGTTCCTTCCAAAATTTTCTAAAATAAAAATTCTATATTTCGTGTTTTTATTATAAATCAATTAATTTGACCGTTTCACGAGTACAAGGTTAGCATAAGATTGTGTGAGTAAAATTACAAAATATTTAATTGATAAATAATTAAATACTTGGTAGCGCCAGTGAGTTAAATAGGAAGCTGACAACTGACAGCTTGTGACTGATAACAACTAAAACGCTAACTCGTGAAAGGTTTAAGACACTATAAAAATTATATTTTCCATTACATATAAATATTTTTAGTGCTTGCAATAAGCACTACCTACAAAGGACTTAAGAAATTGGTTAGAAATCCAATAAGTAATATTCAATGCAATTAAAGATAAATTGGCATTAATTTGAAATATATAAATATTAAGTTACGGTATGAAGAATTATGCCTGTTTTTGAAGCTTCATAATTATTACTTGGAAATCTTTCTTTAACGGTGTTTTGTTGCTTAATTTTTCGAATATAAATTGATAATTTTACCTACTATTGGTGATATGATACAGGAGAAAATCGTACATTGATTAGTAAATGTGAACGCACAAACGAAGTAAATGCATATATGTTTTGCATTTGCTATAATCTCGTGTTCGTTCTGTTCGTAATTTGAATGCCAAAAATTCTCCTTCATATATGCGATTAAACTAAGAAACTTCTTCTTATGTATAAATACTAAGATGACTTTAGATAAATTCAAGAACATTCCCACACAGTTGTATACGATGTATATAGAAGCCTAGAATGTTGAAACTATGGAAATTATAAGCATCACATAAAATTATTGATTTAAAACACAGAAATTAAAGGAACATTACAAATTTTTCAGTGCTAATAAATCGGTCACTATTAATTTGCATTATTTCTGAAAATTCTAAAAGTCACTTCATATTCTAAACGCATAAATTTGTGTAAAGATATAATATTAAAATTGTTATATTAATATACATCATATTCTACCAAAATAATTAAAATAAATTATATCAAAATGAGTATATGGGGTCGATATGAAACACAAGAAATAGTCCAAGCCAAATATTACGTCTCAATCTGAAGGAACATTTGAAGAAATGAAAATTTCATTGTACTCACGACATAGTCTTCGAAAGAGAAGTAGAGATCCCTCACTTCAGTCCCCAAGATGTAGGCGACAAGGATGGCGGTATATAAAATAGTAGCGTTCCTGAACAATTGTTCTCTACGACTAGTGGCTAACCAAAAACCTGTGGTTCTTAGATAGAAGGATGCTATATTGACAGAAAGGTCCTTATGATAAGTCAACCTCATATTGGATTTCGAACTATCGGGTTCACCGTCTAAGGCTTTATAGAAAGGCTAACCTATTAATTTTCGAAAAGTATCTGAACCAATCGATTCGGCACAGCTTGCCTTTGATGTGCACATCGTGCCCTATTATTCGTTCGTTCATATCATATTTGCTATTGGTAATATGCATTCGCGATTCTGTGATAAGGAAAAAAGTTATTATGATATATCTATTTGCGACCATGCAATTGCTGTAATGTATGTAATCGATGAGTTATGCATGATTGAGGGAACAGAATTGCAAAGCCCTCTTTAGAATTGAATGAGGGATGGCGGTTGAAAGTAGGGATGCAGAAAGAGAAGATTAATCTGTCGAATGAACGTAATATATTCTGTGCTCTCACAATTAGATGTTTGATCATTGATGTTAGTGATATTGAGAAACCTGTGAGTGTCCGGAACGTTATTCGTGAAATATAAATGTTCATATATATATATATATATATATATACAGTACTTGTGTACATATATAATTGCAAACAGAATATTGATAAAATAAAATTCATCCTTCATCGTCAATCTTGTGGTGTCAGAAGCATTAATTTTTTATTGTGTCAGCACACTTAACAAGTTCTACAAGTAAAATTTCTTTCTAAAAAGTAATACTATCGTTGGCATGACAGATTATGTACAAGCAGAACGTGAAAAGCTGGAGAAATTAATTCTCTTCTGCATCCATGTTAGTTTGCCTCAGTATGGTGAAATATGATACTGCTGTACTCATGATCTGCAATGAAAATAGAAAATATTATAATAACCATGAAAACTATATTAATTATAAATTTATTTATAAATTCGTAAATTCCTAAATCTTTGAAGTAAAAGTGAAGGAGAAGATAAGTTTCTACGAAATTATGGTATTTCACGATGGCAGAAAAGTGATTACCCTAATATAAGTCTCAAGGGATATAGGAAAGAAACCACAGGCGGTCAAACAGCACGCCCGTCGGGACCTCGTGATAACGAATTGAAAATCTCTTCGTATCATTTTTCCATATTTATCCATTGGCAGATCTGTCCACGGTATTGTGTAAATGGCTGACGAAACATTCATGCTTTCTTGCGTTACGTAATCGCAACTATACGTGAACATGAATAGTTGACACATGATGCAGAGCATGAAAGCTACGAAGCCATTTTTAAACGAATCAGCCATGTCCACCTACATGTCAAGATATACTGTGAATGTAATTGAGTCGTGCAACGTGGAAATAACACTTGATTCTCGTTTATACAGATATAATTATTTACATTGAGTGATTATGCAGCATACTAACCGAAACCAATTGATATCCGATGAAACAAATTAATATGCCAAATATGATCACTTCTACCAATACAATTTCTCTAAATATTACTTCGAGCGTGTCACAAAAGTTAATGAGAGCCTTATGCTGTTCAATACAATTTTTGAATATCGCACAATATTTGTCCGAGGTATACGTGTTGTTATCTCCGTTCAAATTTCTTTCCTTCTCCAAACTTAACATATTGCTTATTCTATACTGTAATATACGAAATTGCCCGCCTACGTGAAAGCACATAATGCAGAACATATTATCGAAGCAAAGATAACATACTCCACATTGGTATCCGGACAAAACCTGCAGAAATGTAACGAAAATTACGTGCCAATACATAAAGCTATCTTCGATTTTGAATTTCAATTTGATCTTCGGGTAATGTATCTATATGATAATTTATTAATAATATTAAGAGATTACAGAATACCTGTGAAGTGAACACAATTTCAAAATATGGTGACATAGACAATGGAAAGTCCACCCACAAATTAAATAGCAATTCCCTGTCTGATTCGTTCCTTCCAAAATTTTCTAAAATAAAAATTCTATATTTCGTGTTTTTATTATAAATCAATTAATTTGACCGTTTCACGAGTACAAGGTTAGCATAAGATTGTGTGAGTAAAATTACAAAATATTTAATTGATAAATAATTAAATACTTGGTAGCGCCAGTGAGTTAAATAGGAAGCTGACAACTGACAGCTTGTGACTGATAACAACTAAAACGCTAACTCGTGAAAGGTTTAAGACACTATTAAAATTATATTTTCCATTACATATAAATATTTTTAGTGCTTGCAATAAGCACTACCTACAAAGGACTTAAGAAATTGGTTAGAAATCCAATAAGTAATATTCAATGCAATTAAAGATAAATTGGCATTAATTTGAAATATATAAATATTAAGTTACGGTATGAAGAATTATGCCTGTTTTTGAAGCTTCATAATTATTACTTGGAAATCTTTCTTTAACGGTGTTTTGTTGCTTAATTTTTCGAATATAAATTGATAATTTTACCTACTATTGGTGATATGATACAGGAGAAAATCGTACACTGATTAGTAAATGAGAACGCACAAACGAAGTAAATGCATATACGTTTTGCATTTGCTATAATTTCGTGTTCGTTCTGTTCGTAATTTGTATGCCAAAAATTCTTCTGCATATATGCGATTAAACTAAGGAACTTCTTCTTATGTATAAATACTAAGATGACCTTAGATAAATTCATGAACATTCCCACACAGTTGTATATGATGTACGTAGAAGCCTAGAATGTTGAAACTATGGAAATTATAAGCATCACATAAAATTATTGATTTAAAACAGAAATCAAGGAACATCGACAATTTCACAATTCCGCATTATATTTTCTGGAATGTGATTGTATTTCGCATACTTTTCATATTTTGCATTACTATGCAATCGATCTATTGTGCTAGAAATATTAAAAATTTTTCAGTGCTAATAAATCGGTCACTTTTAATTTGGATTATTTCTGAAAATTCTAAAAACCGTTTCATATTCTAAACGCATAAACTTATGTAAAGATATAATATTAAAATTGTTATATTAATATACATTATATTCTACCAAAATAATTAAAATAAATTATATCAAAATTAGTATATGGAGTTGATATGAAACACAAGAAATAGTCGAAGTCAAATATTACGTCTCAATCTGAAGGAACATTTGAAACAATGGAAACTTCATTGTACTCACGACATAGTCTTCCAAAGAGAAGTAAAGATCCCTTACTTCAGTGCTAAAGGCGTAGGTGACTAGGATGGCTGTATATAAAATAGTAGCGTTCCTGAATAATCGTTCTCCGCGACTAGTGGCTAACCAAAAACCGGAGAATTTTAGATAGTAGGTTGCTACAGTGACAGAAAGGTCCTTTGGCCACGTCAACTTCATATTGGATTTCGAACAATCGGGTTCACTGCCTAGGACTTTATTGAAAAGCCAATCTATTAATTTTCGAAAAGTATCTGAATCAATCGATTCGGTACAGCTTGCTTTTGATGTGCAAATCGTGCCCTATCATTCGTTCGTTATTATTATATATCGTTCGTTCATATCATACCTGCTACTGGTAATATGCATTCGCGATTCTGTGATAAGGAAAAAAGTTATTATGATATATCTATTTGCAACCATGTAGTTGTTGTAATGTATGTAATCAATGAGTTATGCATGATAGAGGATGCAGTGTTGCAGAACCCCTGTGGAATTGAGCGATGGCGCACAGTCGAATGTTGGAGCGCAGAAAGTGGGGATTAGTCTGACAAATGAAATAACGTTTCGTGTGTTTTGTGAAAAAATTGCATTCTCTTCGAAATTCATTTTTCCGAATCGCTTTTCATTGACTGGGATAGTGAAAAATCTGTGAATGTCACTAACGTTTATTGGGAAGTATGAAGATTTATAAATTCTTCATATCATATTTTTATTACGACAGTTTAATTCAAAATTTTTGATATTAAAATTTCTTTCTAAAATGTATTACTATCGTTAATATGAGAAATTGTGTACACGCAGAACGTAGAAAACTGGAGAAATTACGTATCTACTGCATTCACGCTATTCTGCTTCAGTATGGTAAAGTATGACATTGCTGTACTCATGATCTATAATGAAAATAGAGGATAATATAACAAGTATCAAAATTATATTATATATAAATTTATTTCTAAATTTGTAAATTTAAAGATTTTTGAGGTAAAGATGAAGGAGAAGGTAAGTTTCTTCGAAGTTATGGTATTTCATTACCTTGGTATAAGTGTCGAGAGATATAGGAAAGAAGCCACAGGCGGTCAAACAGCACGCACGGCGGGTCCGCATGATAAGGAGTTGACAATCTTTTCGTAACATTTTTCCATGTTTATCCATTGGGAAATCAGTCCACGGTATTGTGTAAATAGCCGACCCAACATTCGCACTCTCTTGCGTTACGAAATCGCAACTATATGTGAACATCCATAGTTGGCACATAGTACACAGTAAAAAAGATACGAAAGCAGTTTTATACGAAACAGACAGATTCACCTACATGTCAAGATATACTGTGAATGTAATTGAGTTGTGTACCGTGGAAATAACACTTTATTCTCATTTATAAATATATATTATTTACATTGAGTGGTTATGAAGCATACTAACCGAAACTAACTGATACCCGATGAAGCAAATTAATATGCTAAATATGATCACTTGGTCCATTGCAATTTCTCTAAATATTACTTCCATCGTATCACAAAACTCAATGAGAGTTTGATGTTGTTCAATACAATTTTTAAATATCGCATAACATTTCTCCGAAGTATACGGGTCTTCATGTTCGTCAAAATTTCTTTTCTTCTGTTGTCTTGACATTTTGCTTATTCTATATTGTAGTACACGGAATTGGCCCCCTACGTGTAAGCACATAATGCAGAATATATTATCGAAGCAAAGATAACATACTCCAGTATGGTAGAGACTCAAAGCCTGCGGAAATGTAACAAAAATTACGTGTCAATATATAAAGTTAACTTTGATTTTAAACTTTAATTTGATTTTAGGGTAATGTGTCCTTGTAATAATTCATTAATAATTATAAGGAATTACAGTTATATGCAAAGAAGTATAAAAATGTTTACCTAAAAGGTTGAGGAAATTTTTAAATTAATGTCGGTTAGAGATACAATGCTTGTTTAAATAGTTAATACCTGTATCGCATATGCAATTTCAAAATATGGCGATATAGACAATGGCAAGTCCAACCACATGTTAAATATAAGCACTCTCTCTGATTCGTTCTTTCCAATATTTTCTAAAATAAAAATTTTGCATCGTACATTTTTATTACAGATCATTTAATTTAATCCTTACACGAGTACAAGATTAGTATAAGATTGTATCAGTAAAATTATAAAATAGATCGACGATATACGTGATATTTATGATAAACATTTATTGCAGATATGAGCCCTGATGGCGCTAGTGAGTTCAATGGAAAACCGCTTTAAGACTACCGAAATGCCAACTCGTGAAAGACTTAAAACACTGTTAAAATTATATTTTCCATTACAAACAAATGTTTTGAATGTTTGTAAGAATCACTACCTAAAAGGTACTAAAAAAATCGAATTGAAATTGAGTAAATAATATCAAATGCAATTAATGATAAATTGGCCTTAATTTGAATTACATAAATATTAAGTTACGGTGTGAAGAATCATGCGTACTTTTGAAACTTCATAATTATTTCTTGCAAATCTTTTTTTAACGGTGTTTTGTTGCTTGATTCTTGGAATATGAATTGATAATTTTACCTAATATCGGTGTTATCATGTAGGAAAAAACGGTACACTGAGAAAAAAATGCGAACACACAAACAAAGTAAATGCACATATATTTTGCATCTGCTATGATCTCGTGTTCGTTTTGATCGTAATTTGAATGCCAAAAATTATTCTGCATATATGCAATTAAATTAAGAAATTTCCTCTTATGTATAAATACGATGATGATTTTGGTTAAATTCAGCACCAGTCCCACGGAGTTGCATATGATGAAAATGCAGGCCTAAAATGTTGAATGTTGCTAAGGAAATTATATAGATTACACAAAATTATTGATTTAAAACACAGAAATCAAAGAACATCGACAATTTCACAATTCCGCATTATATTTTGCATTACTATGCAATCGATCTATTGCGCTAGAAATATTAAAAATTTTCCAGGGCTACTTAAATCTGTATCCCTTAATTTGGATTATTTCCGAAAATTATAAAAAGTTATTTTATATTCTAAGCGCATAAACTTGTGTTAGGATATAATATTAATATCGTTATATTAATATGCAGTACATTCTACTAAAATAATTAAAATAAATTATATCGAAAAGAGTATATGGGGTGATACCAAACACAGGAAATAGTTCAAGCCTAATCCAGTCAAGCTTTTAATCTGAAAGAGGTAATGAAAGTTTTGTTGCTTTAACCACAAAGTCTTCCAAAGAGAAGTAGAGGCCCCTCATCTGAAGCCACAAGAAGAAGATTAATATGATGATGGTATACAAAATAGTAGCGTTCCTGAGCAATTGTTCTCTGCGACTAGTGGCTAACCAAAACCCGGAGAGTCTTAGATAAAAAGACGCCACACTGACAGAAAGATCCTTAGGGCACGTCAACCTCATATTGGACTTCGAACAATCAGGTTTACCGACTCGGAATTTATAGAAAGGCTAATCTATTAATTTTCGAAAAGCATCTGAAGCAATCGATTCGTCATAGCTCGCCTTTGATATGCAAATCGTGCCCTATTATTCGTTCGTTCATGTCGTATTTGCTATTGGTAATATATGTTCGCGATTCTGTGATAAGGAAAAAAGTTAGTATGATATATCTATTTGCAACCATGTAATTGTTGTAATGTATGTAATCAATGAGTTATGCATGATAGAGGAAGCAGTTACAAAATCCTTGTGGAATTGAGTGCTGGCTCGCAGTCGAATGTTGGAGTGCAAAAAGTGAGGATTAGTCTGACAAATGAAATAACATATCGTGTGTTTTGTGAAAAAATTGCATTCTCTTCGAAATTCATTTTTCCGAATCGCTTTGCATTGCCTGGGATAGTGAAAAATCTGTGAATGTCTTCAACGTTAATTACGAAGTATGAACATTAATAAATTCATACGAGTATGTATACAAGTAGAATATTGACGTGAAAAAATTCTTTTGATATTTATTGAAGTTATGGCTGCATCATTCTCACCCTAGATGGACTCAAAGTTCAAGGAAGTTCGAGAATTTCTGCAAATCCGGGGTTCACCCTCTGTCGCGTCGCGTCGCGATCGAAACTCTCGTGTTTCCGACGGGTTGTAAGGCCGTCTCGCGACTACGGCACGTGTTGCCCGCCAAATTATTATTGGGCAACTGTTTAAGTTGCACGAACAGAAAACAGTCGTGTCTACGACGTTCGACGTTTCGTCCGGATACGTGGCGTACTGCTGATTTGAAGAGAACTGTTTCAAGAGAACCGATGTTTCTGATGTTTCGTATGGAAGTGGTTAGAAAGAGCCGGTGTCTTTGAGAGCTCGTACGGAAGTGTTTGGAGAGAACCCGTGTCCCTCAGGGCTCGCACGGAAGTGTTAGGAGAGAACCCGTGTCTCCCTGTTTTTAACCAAGGGCGTTCCCTTGGTTCGCGAATCCGTGACCTTGGAGTGAGGGAAGGTTCCCCCGAAAAACAACGATAGTGGAGGAAACCCTCTCCTCCAAGGTGGGGTACCTGGGGTTCACTCGCGCGCTGGTGAACCCATCGGTCGTTTGTTACCCCTAGCGAGGGCCTGAGGCTTCCAACGTGTGCGGACCACGTGGAGTCCTCAGGCCTATTGTCAGCCAAGTATTAAGAGCCGTCGCCTAATTTCGTTAAATTAGCGATTTCCAGGATTCTCGTGTTCCGCGACACGAGAAGTCAAAGAAAAAAGGTAAAGCATTCAAACATGCTGAAGGCATGGAGCGGAAAATTCCGATGCCAAATTGTTCGACCCTAAGACCTGGCTGTTGGAAGACCGTAACGGGTCTTCCTTGTTCCACGACGGAACACACTCCGTGTTCTATATAGGGTGTCCAAGCAACGGTAGTACCGGGAAGGGGGTGATTCTCCATGCAGAAACGAATCGAGAAAAAAGAATACAATTTTTTTATTTGAAACTACGTTTTTGAGAAAATCGATTTTGAATATTGACCGAGGATACATGTCAATACATCAGCAGCGGTGGCACATCAACCCCTCCTCAATTGTACCGCATACTCATGTATTGATGGTCTATTCATATAAGCTATAGATAAGTACAGTCAGTCAGTGAATATTAAAAGTCGATTTTCTCGAAAACCAAGCTTCGAATCTAAAAATTTTATTCTTTTCTTTCGATTCGTTTCTGAATGTACAACCACCCCGTTCCTGGTTGTACTATTATTGCTGGGACACCCTGTATATAGAATTTTCGAATATTCCAATAGTATTTGTATCTAAAACAGGCTATGCTAGGTAGTCTTACTGATGAGTACCTAGTAGCTACCAGGCCCGTAAGGAAAGGCCCATCCCTCCTTTTCCGTCCGCCTCCTGACCCAACCAGCGCCATGACAGACACGCCACTCGATCGATGCAACAGAATTTCAATAAATTCGGGAGAGAGGGCTTCAGAAGGAAAATAATATGAGATATTGATCGTATTTTTAGTTCCTTACTGATATTCTTTTTGTCACTTTATGTATTAACATTTTTGATGTGTTCAGTCTGTTGAATCGTCAAATTGTAGATTGAATTTAACGCGATGGCTCAATGAGGAATTCATAAAATTAAATTTCTATTATCGAAAATAATGAAATAATTATTTGTACACGGTAATACCAATATACGAGAAATGTAGTGTTTTATGTATCTTCTAAAAAATTTTGAAAATAATTTAGCACAGTTCGATCACGTAATTTAACGAGGATTGACAAGTGATATAATGAAGAATAGTTCTATTTATATAAAGTTACTTTCTCTCTTGTGCTAATAATTTAACAAATGCAAGGAATTTTAATGTAATACAACGAGTTACTTTATGTATACGATATAATATTACATACATTATGTTACACTACGTATTATCACTATAGAAATATGTTAGGGAATAGCCTCGACTGTATACTGCCTTAACAGTGTAAAATACGACGTCGCTGTGCTTAAAACCTGCAATAAACAAAATGGAGGAAAATCTTGCTTTTCTTAAATTTATTTTACTCAAAAGGCATACGAGTTGAATTGAAATTCGATTGCGTTTCATAAATTTTCATGTATCTTTCTCTGTTTCAGAGAATTCGAGATACAATGGCACCAAATTTGCTTTATTTAAATTTGATCCATTACGAGAAGTGGAAACAAAGGTGAGAAATTGTTATTACATTATCAACATGCCATACCTTAATATATAGAAAATAGTACTATACGTTACGTAACTCTTCAATTATGGAATTTTATTTCTGAAATGTTTATCTGGATGCATAATTAAAATCAAGCCACCATGAACTTACTGAGCACGTATAAAACGTAATAGTTTTAAATTTGTATGAAATAACGGTAAATTGTTTGAATTGGATTATTTAAAATATCAATAATTAAAATTGCGCTTACAAAAATAAAAATTTTAGGTAGTTTTGAAATACGTTTCTTACATTGGTATATGTTTTTAGAGATATAGTAAAGAACCCTTTTCCAGTTAAGCAACAGGGCACACCGGATCTCATAATAACAAGTGTCAAGTCCTTTCGCATCATTCTTCCGCTCGTGGTCATTGGCAATAATGACCAAAGTCCTCTGTACGCTGCAGTGGCTATGCTCGTACTTTCATATAGGATGCAGTCGCAGCTGTAGGTAAACATCAGTAACTGGCATAAGCACATTAATATGCGGAAACTGAAGATGAAACGAGTTCTAGTAGGTGCACCTGCCTGTAAAAGGTAACGTGCATTTAATTGTGATTATTTAATATGTAAATAATATAATAAAATATCAGTAATAAATACATCATATACTTATTATTAATAATGATATTCTAATATTGATAATAATTGTATTATATATTAATAATAATTATTATATATTCAATGGTAATTATATAAATGATATAATAAAATATCAGTAATAAATATATTATATAATTATTATTAATAATGATATTCTAATATTGATAATAATTATATTATATATGTAGAGTCACACAGTCTCTACTCGCTGGAGAGTACCTCGGAATACTCAAATTCACTGCGGTCTGTATTTTCTATTCGATTCTCAATAACGTGTAACTCTCGCGATCACAACTCTCGGTCTCGACTCTCTCAAGGACTATCACACTGTCTAATGACTCTCTCGAAACACTCCTCTATCTTCCAGAGCGGGCCCTTTTAAGCCCGTCTGGAAGGCAACAGCCTCCCTCGAAGGAGGAGAAAGCTCCCTCCACGTAACGCTTTGGGGTGGAAAGGATTCCTCCTTCAGGTTAGGCTCTCCGAAGGGTCACCCACGCAGGGACCCTTCCCGAGAGGTGCCCACGGACGCGTCACCCCCGGTTTACAATGGGAAAAACCGGGGTTGAGCGAGGCTACCTCACATGGCCTGGCCCCAACTTCCCCAGGCATCTGGCCGCCAGACGCTAACGGGGCCTCTATACCTGGGGAAGTCAAAAAATATCCTACATATATTAATAATAATTATATATACAAATGCTTATACAATATTGTAGTACTATAATATGATACATAGTATCATTTTCATTAGAATATTATAATAGCATCGTCTCATCTCTTGACAATTTTTTATCTTTTTTACTAAAAATTCTTTAAATTCTTTAACGATTTATTGTGAAGCAGATTTTGGAAAATACGAACGAATTAAGAAATTGAACGAGTGATGTAGTTACAATAAATTTTGGACTTAGTAAATTTGGTTCAACTATTAAATTAACTTAACTTCAAAAAATAGTATGGGTTTTAATTACAGAAATACCTAAGGAAAACGTTAATAATTTATATTGGCATATTATGCTAACCACTAGTATTTGGTATCCGTCCAGACAAATTAACAAACTGAACATTAACACCTGCTGCAGAATGACCAAATTGAACACCTCATCGAGCTTTGCGCAATAAGCTATAAGCATTTGATGCTGTCGAATATGCTTCTTAAAAGTAGCGTAACATTCGTTCACGAAGCACGTGAACGATGAATTTACAATTTGTATGTCATTTTTCTCCCGTTTCTCTTTATTCTTTAAGTCCGTCGTGTTGGCCATTCTGTATTGCAATACCCGAAATTGTCCAGCGACGTGTAGATTTATTATACAAAGGGTATTGTCGAAGCAGAAATAACATATTCCAAGATGATACAAGGCTAAAACCTGTGAAAATATAAATATTTCAATGATCTTCCATTAGATTGTCCAATCAATTAATTTGTGATATTAATATTCATTATATCATACCAATATTGGGTGTCCCAAAAGTAATTTTGACAGAAAACACAGTTTTTTAATTAACAATTGTAAATATTGCTAATTACGGGGAAAGAATTATTTTTTCGTCTAGCGTTCCATTTTTAATAACTCTGAATTGTCATGCTGTTTTTTTCTTCTGTTGGCAACACTTCACCGCACAAATGGTGCAAAATTCAAATCTTGCGTGAATCTTGGGACACTCCATATTAATATTAATATTAATTTGTCTGATATTTAAAATTATATTATCATTCTGTGAGATTTCCCACGAGTTAGGATAATGCTTTAATAGACTGACAAAATAGCAGTACCTGTATAACAAATGATATTTCATAATATGGCGTCATGCTTAATGGTAAGTTAACCCACATGTTGAATGGAAGTATCCTGTCTGATTCGTTTTTTCCAATATTTGCTGAAATAAAAGCGTAGTTATCTTCGTTTCACAAGTTTCCTAAGTTTAAAAATGCATGCATGTAAAATAGCTTACAAATAATCAAGAATATTGCCCATTTTTGAAAAATCCTTTTCTTAAAATACTTTCGAAATTTTCTAATTATTAATTTGAACTCTAAGCTCAAAGAAATTTATTTTATTCGGAAGTTATGTACGTTTCTTTTCCTTTTAAATTCTTTTTCTTTAAACTTGTACGAAATTGTAAATGTTTATTGAAATTAAATAGAGACGACGGTGTCGGTCGTGGATATTAATATTTAAATCAATATATCAAATATTAATGTAACAATATTATTGCACAGGGGAAAAAATTATCGACGAAATATTATAATAATTTATAATTATGTCTACTCTTTTGTACGATACCCGTTCACACGTTTACCCTCAATGAATTCTGAATTGCAACTAACTTATTCAACTACTTTGTTATTTCTTCTTTCATACATTACATAAATATACACAGTCACATTTCATTCATTATACGTATACTCGATTCATTCATTCTTTATTAAAAAAATTACTCACATTTACATTAATATACAAATGATAGTTGCCTGACAGGAAAGTGTAAAGATACAAATAAAGAAGGTACATTTCTGTTTGCAGCCCATAACGATATCTTTTTCATAGTCGTCGTAGTCAGCGTGCAAAAATTTTCGTTTTAAGTACAAGATTGAGCAAAATAAATCCTCCTTATGTACAAATAAAATGAGTACCTTGAAGAAAGATATTGCTATCGACAATACATTGCATGCTATATAAAGACAGGCCTATGAACACGCAAATACCAAATATTAATACATGTATCAATATATCCTAGAATAGAGAGAGTCAGCATTTTGAGAACCTCTGCTCAACAGTGTTAATATTATCCCAAGAATCTTTAACGAAGTAGGATACCTACATCGATTTATTATCAATTCACTTACACCAAAATCACCCCACGAGTGGTACAATTCCATGATCTCTACCCAGATACAGAAGAGGATCGCGGCAAACGTGTAAATCAGCATGATGTGCCTGAGACGTTGCTCAGACCGGTTGGTCGCCATCCATAATCCGACGAGTTTCATAAAAATCGACGTCAGGCTGATGGATACGTCGTCGATCTTAAAACTCATATCGTACTGTTATTAATCGACCTGATACCTTAGGATATTGAACTCGTGCACTCGTGGACGGTTTGTATCGATTATTGCAACGTATCGGCAACGATTAGCCGCTTTGAACTGTCCCTTATTCGCTGATCGGCCACTTTGTAATTATTTTATATTACCATTCGTGCACGACCATTTTCAAGATAAAGAAAGATACGGAAAGGAAAGGAAGAAAATAGTAGGGCTCGATCGCGATACGCTGGAGAACTGTTCCTCGTTCCAGCCGAGCGATTCGTGGGTAGGATCGATAGGTTATACATGACTCCCTGGATCACAAAGCTCTCTGTGAAATTGAAGCACTGTCAACAGCTGCGTCGCTGAGCTAAAAGGAAACTTAGCTCGTTAAGTGTGGCACATTAAGAAAAATTTACCGTGATTTACTTGGGAGAGGGAGAGCCTATAGTGGAAGAATGATCTCGCGGTAGGCTGAGAGATCTCTCGATGATCATTCAGTACAGTGGATTCATTCGTGACGTGATTTGGTGTCGTGCTAATACGAACCGAGATGTCGAAGGAGAAGAATATAATTTTTATTTCTTACTATGCTGGATTATGATAGTAATAACGAAGTATCTGGATTTTGTCGATAAAGAAAGCTTTTATTTTTGTGTTGCCAGTAGTATAACTTTTGCAGACAATAGAACATATTAATTCGTAATTTGGTTCATTAATTATTCTTCGATCAGGGTTTCAACGTTGTTCCTTAGCAATGTGAAGTACGATACTGCAGTACTCAAAATCTGGAAGATGTAGAGAAATAATTTTTCTCTTTACAGTGATATAAGTAATAATTTAGTTTTAATATTAATATCAATTTCATTCTAAAATTATTTAATTCTAATAAATCCTCGAAGATTTAGGGATCCTATTTTTATATGTGATTCGACAGATGTTCGGTAAGAATTCAATGTTTTTTAATTAATTACTATATGTAAAATTTAAAATTATATACAATAAGGTCTTTCCAGTTATTGTATAAATTGAGAAAACATAATTACTACTATCGAATAGTTGGAAGTAATCAAGGAACAAGTTAATGGTATCTGTGTGTTATAGTTACCGAAGTGTAAGTTTCCAGTGACACAGGGAAAAATCCGTTCGCAGTTAAACAACAAACTCGTCTAGACCGCATGATCACCATTATCAGATCGTTTCGAAGCTTTTTCCCAGGTCTATTCATTGGCATAATTGTCCATAACGCTGAATATGCTCCAATAGCGATGTTATCGCTGTGCTCCATCACACAATTGCAGCTGTAGGTGAACGTAAACAACAAACACATCGCACCGATTAAAAGAAAGATGAAACTGGCGCGTCTCGTAGTTGGTCCGTTTGCCTAAGAGAAACAATATTTGAAAGAAAGAACGTGTGTCTATCTAAAAATGGAGGTATTACTCTAGTGGACGCATATGGTTAACTCTGCTATAAAGCCATCCACGTATTTGGATTTTCATTTAACTTTCTCATTTATTTGTCATCGTATTTTATTAGTATATTATTACAGCAACTGATAATGTGAGTAAACAATTATATTTTTTTATTTCAGAAGTACACGAAATTTTGGTTACTGGATGTTAAAGAATCTTAAGGTTCCGCAGTAATATATATTTAAAGCATTTTTGCAAACTTTTTTAGAGATTTGGAGCGATCGAGATGGAAATGTGACACTAAAGGATTTGTAATTTTTAAATCATTTTTATACATAATTTAAAATATTATCGTATAAAATATTTTATAAAATGGCGCAAGGTAAAATATTACGCAAATCACGATTTAATTTTTAAGGCTTTTTTGGCAATAAATATGTTTACTGTGCGTGAAATACTAACCAAAAATACTTGATAACCAAACAGGCAAATTAACAAACTGAATACCAATACTTGTATAAGTATAATCATCGTGTACACTGTCTCAAGCTTATCGCAAATATTGATGAGTGCCTGATGATCTCGAATGTACTGGTTAAGTTTCTTGTAAAATCTGTGTATTCGCTTCATCAACATCGATTCTGACTCTTTGTAGCTTATCTGAGTTTCTGTGTTGCATAATGTCGTTAACCTGTACTGAAGTATACGAAACTGGCCTGCCAAATGTATAGCCATGACACAGAAAATATTATCGAAGCAAAAATAACAGATCCCGACGTAATACAAATTCATTATCTGAAAAAAGTAAAAATTATTCCCTTCCTTTTAAGCACTACAAGAAATCTAGTCAAATAAAAACAGTAATACGTATAAAGAAGTATTTGAGATACAACTATTATTTATAAGATGTACACTTTGATTCTTCTTATATAAGTTTCATGTAAATAAACGTTTCACAATAGTATAGAAATAGTTATATGCCTTCTTCGGTATAAAAATAGCAGTACGCTTTCTTAACCTTGGTTTAGATGGATAGATCGTCAACAGATCAGTATCGGTGGTACAACCGAGAAGTTGGTGATTCTACGTGAAAAAAGCAAATCGAAAATAAAGAATAAAATTTTTTCATTCGAAGTCTCATTGTCGAGAAAATCGACTTTGAATATTCATCGAGTGCGCGTGTATTTCATTAGCTATGGCGGACAGACCATAGGTAGTTCAGCGTATTAAGCCAAAGTTAAGTGCACGTGTACTCAGTGAATATCCAAAGCCGATTTTCTCGACAACGAAGCTTCGAATGAATACAAAAAATTGTATTCTTTATTTTCGATTTGTTTTTTCACGTAGAATCACCAACTTCTCGGTTGCACTACCGTTGCTGGGATACCCTGTACACTATACTACGTACGGATTGATTCTAAGCTGTAAAAATTGAGGCCAGTGATCTCCAATCTGGTTCATCTCACGTGTGAGCCAATTACTAAAATTTTATTCTAAAATATAAAAAATATATTCTATTTTTACAAATATAGCAATTAAAAAATTATTGTAATTTTGATCGATTTATGAAAAAAAAGAGATAATTATAATGGTTCTAATAATTATTCTTTTATTTAAGTATCTAGGGGAAAGAAATTGATGCTCGATTAAATAGGCAAGTATTGCAAGTTTTAAATATTCCTAGGATACATTTAAAAATTTCTGTCGAGGAATTCTGGTAGGAATAATTGATGCACTTAATTGAACTACGAACGTTTTAATTTTATGGGAATCTCAGATAACGCATTGACGCAAATCATTGTATAATAAGATTTATCATATTCAGTAAGCGACTGTCTGTACAAAAATAGGTAATTGAATTGACAATTGCTAGAAAGGCTAGGAAAATTTAGTGTACCTGAAAAATAAACATTATTTCGTAGTAAGGTGACACTGATAACGGCAATTTTAGCCACATATTGAATGGAAGCACCCTTTCAGATTCATTTCTCCTAGCATGTTCTGTAACAAAGGTATAAGATCATTTACTTTCGTCCATGGCACACTTTTCCCTTCGAATTTATAAATTATTTGCTTTTACATGTACGTTAATTATTCTATTACTTTAGTATTCTATTATTATTATTATTATTTTTATTATTATTATTATTATTATTATTATTCCATTATCGTATCCCAATTTTTTTTATTGTGTTTCCTAGATATTTTTAGAGGAATAATAATTCTCACACTCAATTCTGAAATATATCATTGGAATATATGTATCGATAATCAAGAATTTCTCAACGTAGTATCTTGCCATGTATTTACGCGTTTATTTTTATAAACGAGATTCTGATGTATTAGGAATATTCTAGACAAAAGGACCTTCACGATAAAATACAAATTGAACAGAATATTCGAACTTACCAAAGAACGGTGTTATTATGTAGCATAGCATGGCACATATGCCAATAAGAGAAACTCCGGAAACGAAAATGGTACAGATTTTCTTGCAACTGCTCAAAATTTCTCTCTCATGGAAATCGTAGTTGACATTCCAGAAATGTTGCTGCATGTACATAATCAGACCGAGAAATTCCTCTTGGTGTGCTATTATGATAAACACCTTGACAACAGACATCGTCAGGCTTAAATTGTTGCTCATAATATATAGAACATCCTGCAAAATAATTAATAACCGAATTTAGTAATGCACTATAAATTATCATACAGCGTTAAATAGCAAAATTAATGTTCAAATTTGTTTCTATCCATTTATTTTTATCTATTACTATTTATTTCATATCCCCTGCTATATTAAAATATTTCCATCGATTGCCTGCAGAATTTACTGTATTAAAGGTACCCTATTACTGAACAAATGTATAGTGTAATTTGTTGTTCAATTTCAGTAATTTTTTAATAAGAAAATCTAAGATCTTTTACACAGACAGACATAGATACCGGATACTCATCGACATACGGATTAAAATGTCAACGATGCTGCACTGAATTTTTATAATACTATTAGCTGCACTGATCTAACGCTCACAGTGTTCCCACGCGTCGTGAATGTCGAAGTTGTTTCCTTCTTAGGAACGCGTGGGGTGCTCTAGACGTTTTACGGTCGAGAGCTGTTAATTTTGTTTCGTTATCCAAATGTTAACTTATTTCATCTTTTACTCCTTTCCTCGGAGTCGCGATTCTAACACCTTGAAGGATCGAATATGACTGACTGAAAGTTTGGACTAGACTGCTTGAGAGCTGAACTAGACTGCTTGAGAGCTGGAATGTGACTGCTTGAGAGCTGGAATTTGACTGTTTGACTTTTTTTCCGCTATTCGGTTCCTCGCCTTGGCATGTCGAGGATGCACGCTGATTGGTTATTTAGAGAAATGTTAATTTCCCAATCAGCGGTATCCTAAATGTTGTGATCACCCCTTTCATGCGTCCTTGGTGCATCTTCTTTCGGTAAAGGTGAGACAATACCTGAACGGGCGTGAGGTCACGGGTTTTACCCAAGGGTTACGGTGTTCGTTCAGGTCCGATGCGTCGGTAGTTTGTTACCCTTAGCGAAACTTCAGGATGGCCCTTCAGAATTACCGAGGTTTGTAACACGTCTTTTGGCTATTGAGCGTGGACGAAATTAAGATTTGAAAGAACATTAATTTCATTGCCCCCCCCAATATACCTAGAGCCCAACTCTAAAATAGTCTATCTTTACGATCGTGTTATAAACCTTAGAAATACCGACCTCACGGCTCATTTAGCGATGCCAAGGCGGGATATTCCATCTGCACCGCGTAACACACAGAATTTCGTGCAATGTAATTTAATTTTATAATAATAATTACAATATAACTTTATAATAATTTAGTTTTATAATAATACAAGCGCGAAAGAATTTACTTACGCCATTATAGTAATACGTAAAATATAAATCTCTGCCACAGATTAAAACAGAAACAATTAAACAGAAGACCAAAAGGCTACGCAGCAGCTTTCTTCGACAGTCGTCCACTGGATCGTTATCTTCCCAAAGACCGATATTCTTTAAAAAGAAGCTTGACAAGTTTATCGATACATCGACGTAGATTTCCGTTTTCATGCTGATTGCTAACTGTCTCAAGCTTGTCCCTCATCTATTATTGTCAGCGTAGGATTCGCACAACTACAGAGGTAGCTATAATTTACCGATTCTTTTTATTTATCATTCCGTAGTGTTCCGTATCTTTCTCCCTGTCCACGTGAGAGTTTTTGTCAAAAGAAATTTTCGAATGGCGTAAAACAGGAGAGTAATTGCTACCTGTCGGTGGAGACGAGGCAAACGAGTAGAAGCTTGACTGTATACTTCATTGTTGACGGATGTCTACTGTATTATTAACAGGATATGATGGCTATCACGATCACTCTCTGAACTTGGTCACTGACTGTACACTCCGATGTCAGACGTCGTTTTAATCCTATGGGGAACTTTGTTAAATGGAGTACAAGAGATGTTGGGCTGTTGGCCGTAGAAGGAGGAAGAAGCAGAGGGTGAGTTCGAAAGTTTCGATCGGTGCGATTACTGCTTGCTAATTTGTTTCAAGGAAATATAATCGAATATGGAATTAAAGAAACGAAGACTCAGCTTACAAGAATTAGTTTTCTTCAGTTTTCACGTGACTCTAGGATTAAGAAAGACTTTCGTGAAATTTAAAAATTGTCAAAGATTATGTCGATTTGCCAAGAGGATATTAACACATCTAGTTAGACGAGATAGACCAAATACGAATTTTGCAAATTTTTATGGAGACTTGTGGTGAGAATAGGTGATGTGGTTGAAACTTGCTTCATTTATTGATAACTTGTGACCAGTACAATGGTGAACAAGTGAAGTAAATTCTGGAATATTATTGGCCATGTATTTAGCTGTCCTTGATAAGAAAATCTAGTTTATTAATTTCCTTTCTTAGAAGACTAATATATAATTTTATTCTGCAACAAAATTCCGAATACTTGAAATCCATGAGTTGGTTCGGGGTTGTTGCCATTAATTACATTTCATCCGTATCTTCCACGTGATTCTTCAACAATGTAAAGTATGACACCGATGTACTTAGAATCTGTGAAAAATTGAATGAATGTTTTTAATTTTTCCAATGATTTCCTTAAACGAACTCAGGTATAATAATAACAACTGTTGCATTCCTATTTGAAAATAACGAAACACTATACACGTACTGTGTATGTAACGAACATAGGATTGCAACATAATTTCGTGGCTCAGTGTATAAAAATGATCGGTGATTAATTATTAATCACGATTATTAACTACGGTTATCGCGTTTTTTAAACGGCGTATACAGGGTGTCCCAGTAATGGTAGTACAACCGAGGAGGCGGTGATTCTACATGGAAGAACAAATTCATGTAGAAAATAAAGAATAAAATTTGTTCATATTGCAGTAAAATAAAAAGCAGATCGAAAAGAAACTACAACTACAGGCGGGAATCGAACTTTCGGTTATCGCCGTTAGGCCACGAGGCCACTTGAAAACTATAAATAATAAAACTAAAATAAGATAGTTAACACTTGAAAATTAAAATAAATCTATATTTAAAAAAGTAATAAAGATTTAATCGCAAATATCTCAAAAACAATTGAGCAGTTGCGGCTATAGTGATATAATACTTCAACTGCATGACGAAATCTACAAACTTGCAAAGTTTCAACTAAATCGGTGACCCGAAGAACATTCATTCTCCTTGTAAGTCAAAGTTAAGTGCACGTGTACTCAGTGAATATTCAAAGTCGATTTTCTCGATAATGAAACTTCGAATTAAAAAATTTCATTCCTTATTTTCGATTTGTTTCTTCATGTAAAATTACCATTTCGGTTGTGCTGCCATTGCTAGGACAGCCTGTATACGCCCAATCTCGGAAACGAAGTAATTATTATTTAGAAGTACACATACAGAAATTAACATTGCTCACCCCTGTATAGGTCTCCAAAGACACAGAGAAGAATCCATTGGCTGTTAGGCAACACGGTGCTTGAGACCTCATGGCGACGAGTATCAAGTCCCTTCGTAACATTTTTCCATATTTGTCCATTGGTAAAATCGACCAGGAGTTTTCATAAGCGGATGTAGCCACGTTCATGCTGTCGTGTATCAAACAGTCGCAGCTGTACGTGAACATCAGCAGCTGACACATGCAACCCGTTATGTGGAACGTGAAAATAATGCGATTTGCAAGAGAGATACCTTCCTGTAACATTATAATGTAATTATAAAATGATTATTGTAGTATCGCAAGTTTTCCACTGCATGTACAAGTAGCTTTACGAAAGTCAGCGAGGGTTCGAGGGCCAGGTCAGTCGGAAAAACTCTGGGTGATGCGTCAAGCTCTTAGCACGACCATATTTGGTCATGTTGGGGAGGCATTGGAAAACGCGTGCAGGGTGTGCATAAAAGGACAAGAACGTTCTGAGTTAAGAGAGTTGTCGATTAGGGAGTTATCGAGTTGAGAGTTGTCGATGAGTGTGTTGTCAGTGAGTTGTTGTCGAAGTTAGTTGAGATAGTTATCGAAAGAGAGCTTTTGTCGAGAGCAGGGGTTGTCGAGTTGAGAGTTGTCGATTAGAGAGTTGCTAAGTCAGTGGAAAGTTGTCGAGTTGAGAGTTGTCGAAGTTGGTTGCCAGAATTGTTGTTGTTGCTAATAATTGTGAGTTGCTAACAATTGTGAGTTGTAATAGGAGAGTTGCTGCAGAAGTTTAGGTTGAGCGATGTGATAAGTTGAAATAATTCGTAACTTTATCATTACTCACATACTCTATCACTGTCAATTTAATAAATATATATGTGGGAATGGAATAAGTGTGGCTCTGGGAAATGTCGAGTGTGTCTGGACTTAGAATGAAAGTGACCATGTGTGCAAGGATGGACTGCAAGGATTATTTATGGTAGAGTGGAGCGAAAGTTTAAGGATGCGTGCAGAGTGGTTGAAGTGCCTGGCCCACCGAGGTTGCGTGAGAAAGGAGCATGACTGGGGAAGAAAGTCCGGGTATGAATGAGGAGGATGAACGGTTTAAATAAGGGTGCAGGGGCGCGGGCGAGGACAGTCCTTCACGGTCTTCAAGATAGCGTCTAACAAGTAAAAGTCGAGCGTACCCGTAGCGAGTCTTTAGTTTCGTAGTCGATAATATAAGCATAAGTTTATTGTATTTTAAGAAGCAGTAAAGCAACGTTACTTTAGCCAATCCACACACCCCGATCCTAGATATATACCACCAACAAATCGTCTCTACATTATTATTAAACTCAAGTAGCAGACAGGGAAAGAAATAGAATATTGTTTCCTGCAGCTGTATGAACCTTGTCTTGTTTCCTTTTCAATGGCAGAACTAGCAAAACAATTAAAATATTTGATTTTAGGTCTGTTTATTTTTGCAGTCATTTATATACTGACTTTTTGTATGTAGTTTCTGTTCTCTAATTATTTTCAATTATTGTTGCGTTATCTTTAGGCACACATTAGAAAATGTTATTCTTAGCGATAAAATGTAATTAGGATTGTTGTTATGCGTTGTTAACCATTTGACTGCCACGCCGAAATCACATGTTTCCCTCGGGATGCCACGGAAGTGCACTGCTAGATGTAAGATTTGTTCTAATACTTTATTGATGTTCTAATAAATATTTTTAATAGTTCAGTGGGGCATTTTTTGTTTCAAAGTATCTTCTAATTAGCGGTTATATTCAAAATGCACTAATTGTCAATTTTCATTCAATATTGTTCAATGTAGTTCAAGTAGTTCAAGCGTTCCAGTCACCAATGACTACCATGGCGTCACAGGAGAAACCGTGGCCGGTCATATATGACCAACGTGGAAATCAAAGTGTTAAAGGGAACGAAATTAATATAAAAAGGTATTAGCTGTTGAAAAGATTAAAATTTGTTGAGGTTTATATTAAAAGGTTGAAAAGATGAAATTTTTAAAAAATTTTGTTACCCAACAATGCAAGTAAAATTAATTGAGAAGATAGACATAGACAGATTTACTAACCATTAGCACCAAATATCCATCGAGGCATATTAATAAACTGAAGAGTGACACCTGTCCAAGTGCAATTATGCTAAATACACTATCGAGCTTTTTACAATATTCAATTAACGCCTGATGTTCTTGAATGCAAGTTCTAAATGCTTTATATTTCTCTATGCTGTACAATGATGTTCCTAAAGATTCATACATATTTGCAAATCTGTATTGCAAAATACGGAACTAACTAGCAGTATGCAAATTTATCAGGCATAAAAAATTGTCGAAGCTATGATAGCCTATCCCAACTTGATAAGTACACAGTACCTGTGAAAATGCAACAGACGAGAATTTTTATTTTCACGATGATTTAATTTCATTAGAAATATACTATCTTGTCCATCGATGTAAAATTTTCAATATGATTAATTAATTATGTATTAATAATTATATATATATTAATACATTCGATTTTAATTTGACAAGCAAATACCCTACGAGTTATCAAAACGAATTCAAAACTCGCTATTTTTATCTTTATTTATAGCCGAATACGTTCGATGATTAAAATGATGTTTCATACCTGTACAAAAAATACTATTTCAAAGTATGGCGATTTGTACATTGATTCATCCAACCACATATTAAACGGAAGTATCCACTCTGATGCATTCTTTCCATGATTCGCTGAAAAACATTTGAATGTACTTTCTATTTCGTTCTTATTGTTTCGATTTCATTACAAATTTTTAATGACTGCAATATTCATAAAATAATTTTCATTGCTCTTTGTTACTGTCATATTTATTTATTTTTCCAAATTCCACTTAAGATTTTTATGATTCCAAATTAAAGACACTTCGAGTCCCGCGTGATTAATAATTTCCTTCATTTTTCACAGGTGGAGTAAATGACTCACCTAGAATGGGCCTCAGCACGAAACCAGTGGTTGTTCCCTGAACGAAGAAAGTAAAGGTGCAAACGAGGAATATACAAGTACGTTTACAGTTATCCATAATCTTCTGTTCGTATGGGTCATAATTCGAGTGCCAAAAGTTAGTTTCTGGATAATTAATTAGCTTTAGTAGCTTCTCGTTTTTTACAAACAAAACTATCATCTTTACTATAACAAGGATTACAGAGAGAACGTTGCATGCTGTATAAATAGTATCCTGCAATGAGAAAATCGTCAGCACGACTACCAAGATTTGTCACTCAAAATTCGTCTACGATAATCACAAGTGAACACAAGGTAATTGCACCTTTCTTGATTGATTCTTCTGGCAGCCAGGAGTGATTGATGCGATATCGCTTCATAATTCCTGATTTGAAGTCTCCCGCGTGTATGCTACATTCAGAACAGCTGTTTATTTTAAACATCTTTGTAATTTCTGCTCTTTTGTGTGAAAGGAGACAGGGGAGGATGTGACGGGTCGATGAATTATGCTCGCTATCAGAGGGACGGTGCATGATCAGCCACAACGATGATGCTTTACTCGTGTGACAGTTCAGCGGTACTGTTGACTGGGTGTACTCGAAGAATACAGTGAAGAATTTAATCACACGATCTTGAACCTGGAAAATGGAACTTGGATAGACTACTTACGAATTGGTGCGTAAGGATGATTTCTTGTTTCAACTATGTATTTATATTTAATAGCGAATGGAGCAGTTACCTGTTGGTGAGATTGTAATGCATGCTTGTTCCTCGCGATGATTTGCAAGTCCGGAGATTTGGAATTATTAAGAAAAATGTGTATTTTATACGTTGATAATTGTTATACAGATAGTTTTAGAAGTGTCGATATTATACAGCTTATACGGTACACGTAGTACACTAGGCATAGTATACTACATGCACATTCGAAGTGAGTGGGGATTAGTATAATTTATGACACATGTGACTATTTTTAGTTTAAAGAGAATTTTGGAGTCATTTGTAAGGGGTCCTCCCACAGAGTCGTTGATGTCTTGGTGTTGTTAGAAGGGACGAAAGGAAAAGGAAGGGGTGCGTTTCGTCCTCGGGCCTGCTAGTGGACTGATCGGTAAGGCTACACTAGCAGGCCCTTAGACTGGGATACTATTGAAAGATCGGGAAGTTATATATATATAGGAATTGGAGGTTTCCTGAGGACTTGTGAGAAAATCCTCAAATATCCTTAGACCTGGAATCCATCTAACGACGAGGGTGAGAACTACCGCCACAATATTTTTACTGAAATTTGACTACTTACGAAAGAAATTAGTATTGTGACACGTCCTGTTTAAAGAATTGCATTATAAGCACTATAATAGTAGGTATACTATTTTTCAAGTGGGAAAGGTACTTAAATTTGATTAATACGTTAAGTGCCACAACGGTCTCCAGGGACTGGCGCTAGACTTTCCGTTCGGGTTTAGCTGGAACTCAGGGACCAGCCCAAACTAGGACTAAAAGGTGCTAATTTTTAGTGTGAAATTCTTCGCCATCTTTGGACCTCACGTTTGGGAATTCTTGTTATAACAATTAGTACGGTATCTCCGAGTTTTATGAACACTCCTCCCGTTGTCGGTGGCTCACTTGACGAGTTTGGGCCTAAATGAATCGACAAGCAAAATGGATTGGACACTTAACGTGTTAATAGTTAGAACAATATTTCATAATCCAGAGTAAGTCATTTTTATCACAAAGTGTATATGCAAATATACATCATGTCGTGTATGTAATTATAGTGTTCTTCGGAGCATTAAAAAAATCCTTAGGTATTATATTCATGAATATCCGTTTTTATTTATAACAACGTGGTACGAACATCACGATTATTATCTATTAAATCGTTTATTCCATTATTATTTACCGATACAACTGAAACCGAGGTTGGAACATGCAAACCTTTTATAAAAATTAATGTGACATAAAAGGTGCATAAATAATTTGACTTAAAATTGTAATAACGAAATTAAATGGAACATTGTAGAGTAAAATTCGAAAGGAAACGCGTTAATGTAAATATACATTTGTATGTATATTTGTAATATACAAATGTAATAAATATACATTTTGTTCAGAAAATAACAAATACAATGGTATGTATTATCGTATATGGATCAGTCTCATTTTTGTAATCACATCCCTGCCATAGTTATATCATCTACGCTGCTTCTATGGTATAAACTCACGTGTCAATAATTTCGTTAATACAAGTACTGTCATTGTGCGAATCTCATTCCAGGAAGCATCATTCGACACTTCCAAACCTAACGAATTCTATTATTTATACTTCCATTATTAACAACCGACGTACAACGTATAAATGTGGAATCCGTTATGCATTTTCTATTTTTACAGACGATTGTTTTAGCAGAGTAAAATACGACATTGCTGTTTTGAGAACCTGCAACGAATCAAACATTAATATTCAACGATTGTACGGAGAAAAATTTGAAAATATATGATCGAGTAAATAACTGTATTCGATTTCACAACGAAGGTATCATCGTATCGTCGTCGATAAATGCATCGTGTAATTAATTACCGCAGTGGAAGTTTCGAGGGAAACAGGGAAAAATCCAGCAGCTGTTAAGTAGCAAAATCTATTCGATCTCATGATGATAAATATTAAATTTCTCCGCATGTGAGAGCCAATTTTATTCATCGGCAAGTTTGTCCATGGCCCTGAGAATATTATACTACTGATACTGGCACTCTGGCGCATCAGATCATCGCAGCTATAGGTGAACATTACAAGTTGACATAAAGTGGCAACAAAGTTGCATATCAGACTGACTTTCCTTGAGGGATGTGCGTTGATCTGCACAGTAGGAAACGAAGAGAATAATTATAAAGAAACAAATAATTCCTGTCTTTAATTTACAGAAAAATTTAAACAAGAAAATCGTAAGGAAAATTTCGCATTGCTCTTATTCAATGTCGATATTAAATATCTCAACAGCAATGTTAGGAATTATTAACGATAATTACTAAGTCACTACAAGATAAAATTATATTAATTAATTCTTTGCACTCGACGATTTTTGGACGAAAGAAGAGTAGGAGTTCAAAGATTTTCTGCTATGAAGCTGACCATACTTTTCTCAGCAGTAAGTAAGAAATCATATAATAATTAATACGTTGGATTATTTGATTTCGATACCTTGCACACCGCTACGTTATCTTAAATTTGACATATTAATTAATGTAGGAATTGTTAGGTGGCAGCAAAACGACGGTGGTAGGTAATAAAAATATGATTTATTCTGGACTTATTAATTTAAGACTTATTCTAGACGCTATGACCTCTCACACTATCTCTCAACGAACTCTTCCCAAAGAACAAAGTATGATTTATTGTGGACTAATTTAAGACGTATTCTAGACGCTAGGACTCCTCACACTGACTATCTCTCAACGAACTCTTCCCAAAGAACAAAGTATGATTTATTGTGGACTAATTTAAGACGTATTCTAGACGCTAGGACTCCTCACACTGACTATCTCTCAACGAACTCTTCCCAAAGAACAAAGTATGATTTATTGTGGACTAATTTAAGACGTATTCTAGACGCTAGGACTCCTCACACTGACTATCTCTCAACGAACACTTCCCAAAGAACAGCACCCAAAGAACTGTTGGCTTCACGTCCTTGCACCCTTATTTCAATCTTACTCTCTATCTTCACTCGCCTAAACACTCAGACGCATTCCTAAACTTCCACTCTTCACTTGCAACCGATATTTCCATAGATACCCCAGTCATACGACTCATCTTTCCGCACACCAGATAACTCACTGAACACTCGAGCCAAACTCAAGACCACAGATTATTATCTTCTATTTTCGGGGAACGGTCCAAGCGTTCCCATGAGCTTTACAATACCTAAACAAAAGGCACCGTCACAAACGGTGACCTCATGCACCAATCACGCCACGTTCACCATTCCTACATTAATATCGTTCTTCGAAATTTTATCAAATGGCAACTGAAGGATGCCTCTCGAGTGCAAAGGGTTAATATATCGCATACCAACCACAAACAGTTGAAATCCCACGAGACATATTATTATGGCAAGAAACAGTACTTGGCCAAGAATTATTATAGTGAATATATCCTCCAGATTTTTGCAATAATCCATAAGCGTTTGGTGGTGTCTCACGCAGCTTTTCAATTTCATACTATACTCGTTCTCGTAACGCGATAATTTTGTATCCGATTCTTCATCGCCTATTTGATCCTCGATCGCACGATCCAAATACCTTAGTCTGTATTGCAATATACGAAACTGACTGGACACGTGGAGATTCAAGATGCACAACAGGTTGTCGAAACAAATGTAACACACACCGATATGGTACACGCAAATTATCTGTACAGACGAAAGTTACTTTCAACGATTTTCATATTACTGGATATTAATTTTTATCAATGTCATTTTGCCATGCGTTTCGAGACTATACATAAGTATATAGTCACGGAAAAAAATTATTTGAAAGAAACACGACCTTATGACTCGGTTCGCAATCAGACGTGAATATGAATTGTACGGAAAAACATAGAAACAGATGTAAATTATGGATCTCTATACCTCTAGAGCAAAAAGTATTTCAAAATAAGGTGACAATGATACAGGGAAATCTAGCCATAGATTGAAAGGCAATTGCCTGTCAGTTTCGTTCCTCTCCTTGTTTACTGAAAGACGAAAAGGTATTTTGTTGATATATTCTAATTATTCGAAGATATAAGAAGCAAGGATATTTCTTTGAAAAATTGACATACCCATAATAGGAGTGACCATGTAGCCAGCGCAAGTACCCTGAACACAGATGTTGATAAAGACTATGATGATGGTGCAAAATCTCTTGCAATTTGATAGGATTAGTTGCTCATGGGGGTCGTAGCTTGGACGCCAGAAGTTCTCCTGGGTGAATGTAATCAACTTAAAGAACTCGGTTTTGTGCGCGAATAAAACACTAACTTTTAAAACGACGATCATCACGTACAGATTGTTGCATGAGATGAAAATGCAGTCCTGAAATCATAAAAATACACGTAAGAAGTAAGATTGCAGATAATTCGTTCCTCTAAATAAAATTTTCATCATGGTGTTGTTGAATAACTAACGATTCATTGGCCCTTAGTCACTAGAAGGACCTGGCTGATAAACGCAGATCAATTTCAGAGTCCAAAACAATTGACTCATTCCTGAGTTCAGTCAGTTCCAGTTTCAATTTCTGTTTCGTTTTTTTCCTCTCCGCCGACTTGTATTTTTCCAACGTAGCCTTGTTGCTAGAACCCGTGTTGTACATTGAACTCCGAGTTTCAACAGTGTTTTCCAAGTCATTTTGTAAGTAGAAAATATTCCCATACTTTTATATTCAGCCATTTGCACTCGGGCATTCTTTCATTATAGAAAAATTGCAATTCGAAGACCTAGTCATTCTATAATTATTTTTATTATTGTCTACGATTCAAACGATATCTTCTTCTCGTATGGATTAGTAAAAATGGAATTTCCAAATACTCACAGCGAAATTCCCCCAAGTGTAATAAATATCTCTACAACCGATGCACACAGTGATGCAAAGCGTACCGGCTGTGTAGATCAAGGCAAAGTTTCTATAACGCTGCTGATTTCGATTATCCGCCAGCCAGAGACCTACGATTTTCATTAGAAAACTTGTCAAAATTATCGAGATATCTTTATCCTGCGTGGAACGCATGACGAGTATCGAATAACTGAGAAAAGTGCGTCGATCTGCGATTTCTTGTGAACCCTATGATAAATTTTTAACGAGATGTCAGACACGTGGTCATTAATCATAATGACACCTTCACCTGTCTGTCTGCACGGATGTCAATCACGATTGCATGCCTACCTTTTAAGTTTCTTCTTTCTCTTGTGAAACACCGTGTCACAGTGTAAACGGAAGTGCATTATTCATGATCGAAGGTAGTCCATCGGGATACCTTAGGTGATACTATAGGCGGTCGTTGTAAGATGACCGCGGCGATACAATTGCTTTCATTACTTGCCGGCGATTGACAAGTGTAGTGAATTTTATCTTCACCACAAGAGGCTTGTATCCAACGTTCTTTCAATTTGTGACATCACTGTAATTCATTGTGTCGTAAACTATACTACACCGGAAGTTTCTAATGCTTCTCCGAATTGTAGGAAAGGAAATTGGTTAGTGGGAAATTAAATTTACAAAGTAGTGATGTTAAGATGAAATAATACTTATTAACGGTACGTACTCACTGAGAGATATTAATAATCGAAGTAATAATTTGTAAAAGTTAAAATAAGCTTTAAACGAAATATTGAAAAGAAAGTTGTTGTTTGTTCATGTGTAAAGTATCCTATTTTAATCCTATTTTTAATCGTAATATATATATATATATATATTTTGCATTTAAACGAAAATAGAAAGAATGTATAAAAATTTGTAAATAATTAATTTATTTTGTATATTAACATTTATCAGAATATAGTGTACAATGGTTTATGAATATCACTTGCATTATCTGAAATATGTATTGCAATAAAAGACGAGGATAAATAAATATGTTTAGATTCTACCTCAGACCATATGACTGGGACTAATTATTTTTGCAACATAATTATAAGGGAAAATTATTTAAGTGAAGAATAATTGGGATGGGGAAAAATCAGGGTGATTAATTTTAAAGTGAGCTATTGATTTAAACAAGGGTTTGCATTAATCGTTCATAAGTTTCTGTGATCACACTTTGACTATATTATCTCTGATAACTGACAATTGAAATCAACTTGAAATTAAAGTTACACGAAATTAATGTTTAGAAGAATAAAGGATGCATTGGGTTGATTGAGTTGGTTATCAAAATACAAATATCAAAGTGCAAACATCAAGATGCCTGCATTATCCAAATTCGTGTAGGAATAGTAAATTATTCTTCCGTTATTTTCCCGGATGATCCTTTTATGAGAGTGAAATACGATACTGTTGAACTAATCAGCTGTAACAAGAAGTTTTATTATTGTTCTAAATTTCTTCACGAGATATGTGTATAATATTGTATCTTATTATCATCTTAAGTTATTTATTCGGAAATAAAACCATTTATTAAAAGATGAGCAAGCTCCTAAATACTTTTACTACTATCACTCATCACACAAATAGCATCATTCAATGGGATAGGAAGTGATATTCGCAGAACGAATAAGATTAATTACGAAACAAGTTGCATACGGCGGTACAAGTTTCCAAAGACACAGGAAAGAATCCTCCAGCGGACAAGTAGCATGGTCGCATCGACTTCATCATCATCATTTTTATATCCCTCCGTAGCATCTTGCCAGTTTCCGTCATTGGTAAAACCATCCACCAACCTGAATACGTTGCCATGCTAATATTCTCACTTTCCTCTATCAATCCGTGACAGCTGTATGTGAAGAAAAGTATGTGGACTAAGCTACCGATCATGTGGAAAACGAAAATGAGCCTCGTCGAAATAGGTACGTCTGCCTGTAGATATAACGCGTTATTGGCATGCTTACCGACGAAGTAATATTCTGATCTAAATATTGAACAATTTTGAAACGAGTACACGTTTCATTGCAGAGATTAAAATATTTTTAAAGAAAGGAATAAGTGAAGTGTCATGCGAAAGACCTGACATCCACGGTATCTAAGAAAAATTCCGTAACATATGCATTATATATCAGATTAAACTTATATCTAGATGCAAACTAGATATCAGAGAATCGTATTTTCATTTATGTAAGAAGAAATTCAGCGTCTATGTACCAAAACTATCTCGTACATGTCCAAGCACATTAACAGGCTAAAGACTACAACATGGCCGAAGATTGGCAACGTATAAACGTGTTCGAGGTTGTCGCAAAATTCGATCAACGATTGATGCTGCTGGATGCATTTTTTCAAAGCTGTATAGTAGCTGTCTGCGTAATCGATCGAATTCATTTGTTTCTCGTCGATGATCGACCACAGATTCAACAGCCTGTGCTGCAGTATGCGAAATTGGCAGATCACGTGCATGTTGAGAACACACATAAAGGTGTCGTTGCACATATAGACGGCACCGGCTTGTTGCACTGCCAGTAGCTGTGTAAATAGTAATTTTCCATAAGATCGTTGAAGTAAAATTATTATGGTACGCAGTACGTTAACGTCTGGTGCGAAGATTAACGCTTTAATCGCTCGAGACAAGTCGCCAGCGAATATAATTGAAAATGGACGTAAAGAAATTTGCTATACCTGGACTACAAACATTATTTCGTAATACGGTGTCTCACTTACAGGCAGATCGACCCATATTTTGAACGGAAGTACTCTGTCTGACTTATTCCTTCCGATGTTTGCTGAAACACAGTGTACCATTATTATTCTATTGTTAATTTATACAATTTTTTTATTATATAAATAAGGGCGAATTCGAATGATGTTTTAATCGTGTTGAACTTAGATAGTTATTTCGTAGTGTATAGAATAATACGAAGTGTCTATATTATTAATGCGGGACAACTAAATCTTCTCCGCCATTGAATCAAATATTATAGTTGAAAAAAAATTCGATAATATAATTTATTTCATTCTTTCAGAATTTTTCTAACTGAATCATGTGAGCCGTTCACTGCACAAATCAATGAACTCCACTTTTTGGAAAATCTTAAATTCAAGTGTCGAAGCATTTGGTATAGTCATAACATTTTATATTCATAATAACTTTTCCTGATTATTAAGATTAACAACATTAAACGACAAAAATTTTTTGGTCACTGAATAATAAATAATTTATATCAAATGTTACTTTGATTAACTCTGTACTCTAATGTAAATCATTGCAATAATTCAACTCAAATGCACTAGCAAGCCATGGATGATAACAATGAATTTTCTAGTGCCGCCTTATCAGAATTTAAGTAAAATTTAGTAAAATTTTAATTTATTACTTTTTTCACTTGCCAAATCGATTAACTCTTCCAGTAACATAAAAATGGTAACATTATTAACGATTATCCTTTGGTTATATTTTCCTATAAATTTTATATACCGTTAGATGAAAGTTGCATTTGTATTTATGCATTCTACGATATTTATTTCGATTTAAATTATAAAATGAATTTTAAAAAATAATATACATTATTTTATTGCATTTCTCCACTTTTTGTTTTATGGATTCAATCAATTTGTGCAGTGAACGGCTCACGTTACTCACCAGCGAGCGGTGTAATTATATAGAAAGCCAACGAGACCTGCGCGAAACTACACGCAGTTATAGCCCACAGTTTGCAAAACTGCCGGCATTTCATGAAAAGTACTTTCTCTTCGCGATCATATTTGAAATGCCAAAAATTCTGCCGCGCGAATAATATTAGATCCTTGAATGCCGTTCTGCGAATGTTTACTACTAGAAGCTTGAATAAACCCAGCAGGATACATAGTGTATTACAAATCAGGAAAATGCAACGCTGAAAAAGTAATTATCAAGCTTCAATAGTATATACATTTCATAAATCTAATATTTGATAATCATGCGCTCGTGAACAGTATGTTCCAATATCATGATCAAAATTTGTGTTTTATTCCTGACAGCGTGCTTAATTTTCATACTCACGCTGAAATCACCCTGGCTGCAATAAGCATCACCGAGATTCAGGTATAATCCATACATGTTCATGAGGACCGTGTAAGATGCAACGAGTATGCGTTGTCTTTCCTCGGAGTTGTTAGCCGTTATCCAGACACCTGTGAGTCTCAGCACAAACTGCGACAAGGTAATGGAGATATCGTTGTATTCTTCTGTATACATGACAATTATTTTCATAATCCCGATTCATAAATCAAGCGACCGTCAACCCTTCAATGGCAGGAAGTTCTGAATGGACGTTAGGTGAGTGACATCACTTTGATCTGTGGATACACTACATCATCTAACGATGGACGAGTGCCTTTACTCCAGATGAATTTTCCTTGTGAAACATGAATGGTACATGCAATGACAAATATAGAATGCCCGATCGATGTATTATACATGCTTCAAAGGGGACATAATTATCACACAGTGCTGTAATAGGAGATCCAGCAGTTTGACACGTATCGATTATTCCATCGTCTGGAGTAAAAATTTTACCATATGGTTGTCAGAACATGTGGTTCTCTCCGAACACGGAAGCGCGACATAGTTTAAATTGGAGAGTTGGGCAATGCACATGCTGTGTAATGAGTATTCGTAGATAAAAATGATAGTGTACTTAAATGCGATAAAGTTACAGTGAAAATGTTATCTTTAGAAATTGGGATTGACTTATTGTATGACATACCTAATGGTCAACAGTGACAGGAATCTTGACAGTTTCTCAGCTTACAACCCGTAAACATGCTTACTATCATTAAATATAAAAATTGTGTCGGAAGTGCATGGATATTTAAAATTAAAATTCCATTCTTTCTATAAGCAATTGAATCAGAAAAATTTGTATGTGGATTGTATCCAAATTGAGATTTAGGTTATTTATCTAACTAATACAATTAATGAGAATTTTAATGGAATTGTAACTGTCTATTAAAAACAAAATGCCATCTTTATCACTTCTTTAGTGCAAATTATAGTATTCAATTATTATACTGACAGAAAGGAAGATCCATGAAAAAGAGTGGGAAAGCATTTCGTTCATGATTTGCTAATGAGCACATCACTAAACACAGTCAATTCGATACCTTATGTACTAAGTTAATTATTGTTTTCGATTTTTATATTTGCATTCACGTTTTAAAATACAAAATAATTAATTCCACTGCTATTTTCTTAACTTTATGACATTACTGTCTTAGTCTCTATACATGCATTAAATGGTTTCTAAGTATTGGTCCACAAAGTTAATTAATCTATTGTATTATTACAGCAAATTTTCAAGTGGCAAGAAATAACTTCTGCATAATGTATTTCAAAAGAAGAAAATTAAAAATGGGAAATTTGATGAAAATGAAAATTAAACGCGAGGAGCCAGTGTCTTGTTTGAGCTAAGCTGTAGGACTATGGCGCAACTTGCGAACTCACCGTGGATAGTTGAAATCCTGCGACACACAACACTATGCTGGATATTAGCAACTGGCATATTAAAGGAAAGCAGAAGACACATTCCAGTTTGTTCACGAACGAGATGAGTAGATGATGATGAGCTATGCATTTCTTGAACTCGTGGTAAGTTTGAATTGATTTTCCCTTTGAATCATCGCGAATGAATATCGTCTCCATTTTATTTCGTAAGATTTTGAACTGGCCGCCAATGTTCATGGATAGTACATACAAGAAATTATCGAAACTGCAGAAGCAAATTCCCATATGCGTCGTTGATACTGTCTTCGAAACGAAACAGCCATTTTGACATAATGTAATTTTCTACTTTTATTTGTTTTCTAATATTGACTACTTGTTAGCGTGAAGATGGCACTTGTATTAAATACGATTGTTTCGTTATATCTTACACCTTTTACTTTATTTACATATCTCTAATATAATTTCTTCAAGAGAAGAAGATGGCTCTGTAACCAATTCACACGAAGATGAAACGTACACTGGCTGTGTAAACCAACTCAGCGTCTCTACGATGCAGTTCATTTTGACCAGCCTCCAGTTAGAAATCTACGATTTTTTTAATCAGAAAACTTGACCGAATTATCGAAACACCTTTATCTAGCGTGAAAGCCACGAAATCCTGTAATTAAATTTAATATATGAATCTCGTAATAGGTAGAATAGACAAGAATTCACAGATGATGTCTATTTTTTATACTAACTTTTGTCGGTGAGGGTGTTGTGGTTTATGAATATTACTGGAATTGACCTCAATTCTTTCAGAAAAATATATACTGCATTAGAAGATGAGAAGGAGTAAACGTATTTATATCTTACCTCAAAGCATTTGACAAGGATTAATCATTTTCGTTGAATAATTATTCGAGTCATAATTGTTTAAGAGGAGAATAATTGCGTTAGGTAAAAATCATTGGCGATTAATTTCAAATCGAGTTATTGACTTAAACAAGAATTTGCATTAATCGTTCCTAAGTATCTGTGATCACACTTTGACTATATTATCTCTGATAACTGACAATTGAAATCAATTTGAAATTAAAGTTACACGAAATTAATGTTTAGAAGAATAAAGGACGCATTGGGTTGATTGAGTTGGTTATCAAAATACAAATATCAAAGTGCAAGCATTAAGATACCTGCATTATCCAAATTCGTGTAGGAATAGTAAATTATTCTTCCGTTATTTTCCCGGATGATCCTTTTATGAGAGTGAAATACGATACTGTTGAACTAATCAGCTGTAACAAGAAGTTTTATTATTGTTCTAAATTTCTTCACGAGATATGTGTATAATATTGTATCTTATTATCATCTTAAGTTATTTATTCGGAAATAAATCCATTTATTAAAAGATGAGCAAGTTCCTAAATACTTTTACTACTATCACTCATTACTCAAATAGTATCATTCAATGCGATAGGAAGTGATATTCGCAGAACGAATAAGATTAATTACGAAACAAGTTGCATACGGCGGTACAAGTTTCCAAAGACACAGGAAAGAATCCTCCAGCGGACAAGTAGCATGGTCGCATCGACTTCATCATCATCATTTTTATATCCCTCCGTAGCATCTTGCCAGTTTCCGTCATTGGTAAAACCATCCACCAACCTGAATACGTTGCCATGCTAATATTCTCACTTTCCTCTATCAATCCGTGACAGCTGTATGTGAAGAAAAGTATGTGGACTAAGCTACCGATCATGTGGAAAACGAAAATGAGCCTCGTCGAAATAGGTACGTCTGCCTGTAGATATAACGCGTTATTGGCATGCTTACCGACGAAGTAATATTCTGATCTAAATATTGAACAATTTTGAAACGAGTACACGTTTCATTGCAGAGATTAAAATGTTTTTAAAGAAAGGAATAAGTGAAGTGTCATGCGAAAGATTTGATATCCACAGATTAAACTTATATTTAAATGCAAACTTGATATCAGAGAACCGTATTTTCATTTATGTAAGTAGAAATTCAGCGTCTATGTACCAAAACTATCTCGTAAATGTCCAAGCACAATAACAGGCTAACCACTATAACATGGCCGAAGATTGGCAACGTGTAAACGTACTCGAGGTTGTCGCAAAATTCGATCAACGATTGATGCTGCTGGATGCATTTTTTCAAAGCTGTATAGTAGCTGTCTGCGTAATCGATCGAATTCATTTGTTTCTTGTTGATGATCGACCACATATTCAGCAGCCTGTGCTGCAGTATGCGAAATTGACAGATCACGTGCATGTTGAGAACGCACATAAAGGTGTCGTTGCACATATAGACGGCACCGGCTTGTTGCACTGCCAGTAGCTGTGTAAATAGTAATTTTCCATAAGATCGTAGCATTAAAATCATTATGATACGTAATACGGTAATATCATCTGGCGCGAAAATTAGCTTTTTAATCGCTGCAGATAAGTCGCCGTCGAATATAATTGGAAATGAACGTCATTGAGGTTCATAAACGAAAATTGAAATTTGCTGTACCTGGGTTACGAATATTATTTCGTAATACGGTGTCTCGGTTACAGGTAGATCGATCCACATTTTAAACGGAAGTACTCTGTCAGTCATGTTCCTATTAATATTCGCTGAAACACAGTGAACCATGATTTTTCTACGGTTTTCTCGAACTTCATACGATATTTATTTTTATACAATTTTAGTATTTTCTATTTACAATTTAATACCAACTCTTTTCCTGAATTAGAATGAAATCGAATGATTTTTTGACCGTGTTGAACTAACGACATAATTTGTTTCATTATTTAAGAATTATTTGACTTTAAAGTCACAGTAGAATTAATTATTTCAGTGTTCAATTTTTTTACTCACCAACAAGTGGTGTAATTATATAAAAAGTCAGTGACATTTGCGTGACAGAGCACGCAATTACAGTCCACAATTTGCAAAACTGTCGGCATTTCATGAAAAGTACTTTCTCTTCGCGATCATATTTGAAATGCCAAAAATTCTGCCGCGCAAATGATATTAGATACTTGAATGTTGTTCTGCGATTGTTTACTACTAGAATCTTGAATAAACCCAACAGGATACATAGTGTATTGCAAATTAGGAAAATGCAACGCTGAAAAAGTAATTATCAAGCTTCAATAGTATATATATTTCATAAATCTAATATTTGATAATCATGCGCTCGTGAACAGTGTGTTCCAATATCATGATCAAAATTTGTGTTTTATTCCTGACAGCGTGCTTAATTTTCATACTCACGTTGAAATCACCCTGGCTGCAATAAGCATCACCGAGATTCAGGTATAATCCATACATGTTTATGAGGACCGTGTAAGACACAACGAGTATGCGTTGTCTTTCCTCGGAGTTGTTAGCCGTTATCCAGGCACCTGTGAGTCTCAGCACAAACTGCGACAATGTAAGGGAGATATCGTTGTATTCCTTTGGATACATGTCAATTGTTCCCTTGATTTCGGTTCTTGAATCACGTGGCAGTCAATCCTTCTCATAACAGGAAGATTTTAGCGAGCGTTAGCTGAGTGACATCACTTTGAACCGTGAGAACACTACATCAACTAACGATGGACGAGTGTCTTTACTCTGGTTGAATTTTCCTTGTGAAACATGAATGGTACATGCGGTGGCAAATATGGAATGACCGATCGATGTATTATGCATGCTTCAAAGGGGACATAATTATCACACAGTGCTGTAATAGGAGATCCAGCAGTTTGACACGTATCGATTATTCCATCGTCTGGAGTAAAAATTTTACCATATGGTTGTCAGAACATGTGGTTCTCTCCGAACACGGAAGCGCGACATAGTTTAAATTGGAGAGTTGGGCAATGCACATGCTGTGTAATGAGTATTCGTAGATAAAAATGATAGTGTACTTAAATGCGATAAAGTTACAGTGAAAATGTTATCTTTAGAAATTGGGATTGACTTATTGTATGACATACCTAATGGTCAACAGTGACAGGAATCCTGACTGTTTTGCAGCTTACAAATTGTGTTAGAAGTGCATGAATATGTGACTTGTAAATTTCAGAGCATACTATGAGTTAAACATCGATGTCATAGTCATAACTTGGAACAGAAATTAATATGGAGGATCGTTTATAAAATTCTGTATATTTTGTCGATATTTCTTTATTTCTGAGAAACGAGTTTGTAATTTATAATTCAATTTGTGCTATTTAAGTATCTTTGTTTATATCTGACATAATTGATTGCACGTTACACTAGCATACCAATTGATTATAGATGCACTTACAATTATTTGCAATTACTAAATATTGTTAAATGATTACTGAACTCCATGTATCATTGCTCTTCGTTGGCCATTGTACGTAGTAGGGTAAGATAAGATGCAGTGGTACTTAACACCTGCAAATGAAACGCATTTTTTATTTTTTGTTATATATTCTTCATTTCTTATTTCAAATCACCCATATTAAACAGTAATGTTCTATTCCATAAAATAGAAATTTGATCTGAGCTCTCTTAGATTTAGATATTACAGGGACAACTCGAATAGATGAACTTGCAACTTCGCAAAAATGGCATCCAACATGAAATATGTCAATGATTTTACATTCATTTGAACAGATTGAATGATACTTACATTCGTGAACGATTGAAGGGAAATTGGAAAAAATTTTGCAGCTGTAACTTTGCAAGGACATTTTGATCGTAGCATTACGGTAACCATGTCTTTCCTGAATTGATTGAATTCATCGTACGATGTTTCTGCCCAATTGGAATTGTATATCGCGTTCCCTATGGCGCCGCTTTCATCCATTATATTGTTGCAGTTCATCGTTATCAAGAATATTTGTATGAAACCACCAAAGATATAAGCCAGGAACAATACTTTCTTCATTAACACTTCATTATGCTTCGAAATAAAAATGTAAGTTTTTTTATTTTTCTCTTAGAAATTTCGTTATTTTTTTTCACATAAAAATCTTGTTATTTTCATAAATAACTGGATCAGAAAAATTTGTATGTGGATTGTATCCAAATTGAGATTTAGATTATTTATCTAACTAATACAATTAATGAGAATTTTAATGGAATTGTAATTGTCTATTAAAAACAAAATGCCATCTTTATCACTTCTTTAGTGCAAATTATAGTATTCAATTATTATACTGACAGAAAGGAAGATCCATGAAAAAGAGTGAGAAAGCATTTCGTTCATGATTTGCTAATGAGCACATCACTAAACACAGTCAATTCGATACCTTATGTACTAAGTTAATTATTGTTTTCGATTTTTATATTTGCATTCACGTTTTAAAATACAAAATAATTAATTCCACTGCTATTTTCTTAACTTTATGACATTACTGTCTTAGTCTCTATACATGCATTAAATGGTTTCTAAGTATTGGTCCACAAAGTTAATTAATCTATTGTATTATTACAGCAAATTTTCAAGTGGCAAGAAATAACTTCTGCATAATGTATTTCAAAAGAAGAAAATTAAAAATGGGAAGTTTGATGAAAATGAAAATTAAACGCGAGGAGCCAGTGTCTTGTTTGAGCTAAGCTGTAGGACTATGGCGCAACTTGCGAACTCACCGTGGATAGTTGAAATCCTGCGACACACAACACTATGCTGGATATTAGCAACTGGCATATTAAAGGAAAGCAGAAGACACATTCCAGTTTGTTCACGAACGAGATGAGTAGATGATGATGAGCTATGCATTTCTTGAACTCGTGGTAAGTTTGAATTGATTTTCCCTTTGAATCATCGCGAATGAATATCGTCTCCATTTTATTTCGTAAGATTTTGAACTGGCCGCCAATGTTCATGGATAGTACATACAAGAAATTATCGAAACTGCAGAAGCAAATTCCCATATGCGTCGTTGATACTGTCTTCGAAACGAAACAGCCATTTTGACATAATGTAATTTTCTACTTTTATTTGTTTTCTAATATTGACTACTTGTTAGCGTGAAGATGGCACTTGTATTAAATACGATTGTTTCGTTATATCTTACATCTTTTTCTTCTTCACTTACGTACCTCTAATACGAATACTACTTCATAATATGGCGTTGTCGTGGGATTTTTAAGCAATCTGAATCTTATTGGATGAATTCTGTCCTCTCCAGCCTTCCCGACACTCTCTGTTACAGAATTTTTTATTATTTTTACTTCTTGTGGAATGGAGGATCGAATTGAATTTTCAGCAAATCAGATTATCGACAATTTTCAAATTTAGTTCTATAAATTATACGTATTACTATAAACTTTGACTATTCTTTTAACACTAGAACTATTAAATTTGTTAAAATGAAACTTCTTGACTTTAAGAAAATATCATGGTCCATATCGTCCTTTATTGTCAATGGTGATATTCCTTTCAGACTATAAAATATACATATTCTATACAGGTTCTAGTATATCATTAGTGATTGTTTGGAAACTTACCAGTGATACCATACAACATGTATACAAAGCTTGTGGCATAAATCAGTAGTACGTAAAACAGTATCAGATGTGTAATTCTTTTATCAAGGTCATCCATAATCTTCCGCCCATATGTGTCATATTCCTTGTACCAAAAGTGTTTTTGGCTCTGTTCGATCAACCACATTACCTCCTTCCTTCGAATCAGGAACGTAATGGCTTTTATCGATATTACGATCAGAGGTAGAGCAGCTGCTATAGTAAATACTGCTTCCTTTGAAATTATTTCGACATGATTACATTTCGAATTCGTGATAGTGAAAATATTCGCGCGTTAATATAATCAGAAAGTGAAATGTTACTCCGAAATTAATTTAATAAATGTTTCATTCTTCAAAAAAATTATTCATTTTTCAATATATTCAGTTTCCCAGAATAGCACATTTAATTCGACGAACCCTAATACTCGATTTTATATTAATTACAAATACCGAATTAATTTTAAGAAATTTAACGAAAATTCGAGAGACTTTTCAATACTCGTGTTTTCTAAGACACTATTAACACTTTAATAATCGATTTCGTATTAATTAGACAAGTCTGAAAAATTGTAGCAAATTCATTAGAATTTCAGGAAGATATTTTTCATTTATCCGACGTTTTCTAATTGCGATATCACATCGTAACAACACGATTTTATAAAATTCCAATTTCTAATATCTTCACAAAATAAAGCACTGTTTTCTTCTTATTTAATAAAGCAGCTAATGTACATACATTTACAATTGCCCCTGTCGCAGTACAGTTAATCCTGATTTCGAGGATCATTTTCCAACGAAACTTAGTCAAATTTAAACATGAACCACGAAAATGAATGGAAGTCAGAAAATTCGTTTTATTTAATTCGAAGCAACTGGTAAGAAGCAAGAGTATACTCATTTATACGTACGGAAAGATTATGTAGACAGTAATAAAAGTCTACGGATTGGTTTGTCAAACAGATGCAAATAATACTCCACATGCATAAGTAGTTGGTCCTCAATATTAACCGTTCTTTTCTCGTACTAACGTTCCAAAAGCCTATGATTTTCATGAAGACACTCGTCAGCTTGATTGAAAGGTACTTCGTTGGTGCCGCGGACATCTTTATTCTCACATCGTAGCTCGCGTCATCGTTCGGGTGATCTTCGGATGTATTGATTAAAAGACCTATATTTAAAATTACATAGGTATCACATCACTGTGTCGCATTGTTATTTCCTTTGTATTTCTGTCCTTCAATTTCTCTGCGGACAATTATGTTTGCGACGTGGCGAGCACATAAAATAGTCAGTTGAAATCCGTCGATTGGGTCGCGAAAGCCTTCGTGTTCCGTTTGTGATGAAATTTATTCATTCTGCTAATCCTAGTCACCTATATTGATTACGTTGCGTCTACTATGTGACATTTTACGTCACTCTTCGTGCAACTGTTCATTTGTAAACGTGCTTCGAGGATTTAGATAATATGGGGCTATGGCAGACCTGTTTCCGAGATTCAAACGGAATGGGATGAAGAAGGTGCACGAGAGACATCGAGAAAACACTTGTAAGACAAATTTTGAGGAAACGATACAAGGTCAAAGTTGAGGAACGGGTTGCAACAGAAATTTTGAGCAAGAGAAGTCCTTTTGCAGATGGGTGAAATATCGGGTGAAGATTAACCCTTCAGTCACCATTTCATAAAATTTGGAAGATCGATATTAATTAATATATCAAGTTTAGTGTAATTTAACAGTGTGCCACGTATCGAAATCAAATAATTCCACAATTCTATTATTATACAATTCTTTATTTACTACTGAAAAAGGTATCGTCAGTTTTTCAATAGAGAATCTTTGAATTTCTACTCTTCTCTAGCCAAAAAATCGTCGAGTGCAAAGGGTTAAGTATAAGAAGAAAATAAATAGATAAATAAACAAATAAATTAGAAAGAATAAGGTATTAAAGTATATATATAAAGGCATATGTATATATGAGGGTGAACATGTAGTTTCTTGGTGGAATTTGGAGACTGATTATTCTGAATTTTAAAATGGTTGGAATCTTCTTATATTCTTTAATTTTGTATATTATGGAACTCGTGAAGTTGAAAAGAAATTGATATAGATAGAACGAAGGAAGAGAAAGTACTATCTTCATTGCAACATTCATGCACTTCATCGTGGTTTAATATCATTGAACAGTAAAGAAAAAACATTTTCTTCATAGATATTGTACAATGTTTGTGAAATGAAAGTGAAATAGTACTTTTTGAAATACTTCGTTGATCAGGTTGAATATGTTTGCAAATGTTGTAAATTATGTTTCATCTTTGTTTTCTATGTTGTTCATTAATAGTGAGAAATACGATACGGCGGTACTCAAAATCTGTAAAATGTAATAGAAAATTTCAATTGTCGATTAAAAAATATTTACAGCAACGTAACGTAAACATATTTTTATTGCTATTGTCATTGATTTGCTATTAAATTTTATAGTTTCTCGATAGTTAAAAACACATGAAGTATAGTAAATATAAGCTTAAAGAAATTCGAGATTTGTCATCCTTCGTTAATGTTTATTGTAATTCATTCTAATAATATTGTAATTTAATTGCAAAATTGAAGAAATATGATTATCATCAGACAATCAAAATAATGTGTAACGATACTTACTCTGCTTGTTATACTTACCGTGGTGTAAGTTTCCAGTGACACAGGGAAAAATCCGTTCGCAGTTAGACAACAAACTCGTCTAGCTCGTACGATCACCATTATCAGATCGTCCCGAAGCTTTTTCCCAGTTGTATTCATCGGCATGACTGTCCACAACGCCGAATATGCTCCTATAGCAATGTTATCGCTGTGTTCTATTATACCATTGCAGCTATAGGTGAACGTAAACAATAAAGACATCGAGCCGATTAAAAGAAAGACGAAAATGGCGCGTCTCGTGGTTGGTGCTTCTGCCTAAGAGAAAACAATTTTTAAAGAAAAATGTGTTTTACAAAAATATATTAAAATTAAAATGGTAAAATTGAAAAGAATATTTAGATCATTTTAGTTAAAATTATATTGGGATTTAAAATATTCATCCCTCTATTTTTATTAACTTGGAAATGCTGTGTTATTATTTCAATTTCCAAAACCTACTAAATTTTCTCAATCAAGTTTATTATTCTACAATTTAACGAATTATATAGGAATAATACAGGAACTTATAGAAATTATATAGGAATTATTTAATTTTGTTAATCGAATAAATATTCCACTGTGCACAATTGCTTATATGGAAAGAATTGTCGGGATAGAGACGTGAGAATAGAGAATTATGGTCTATAGTATATTTTTATATTTTAATTCAGCGCAATTAGAATTTAAATGTAAATTTCCACAGAGGATCCTACAAGATATGCATATATTTAAATATCACTGCGACGATTTTACATATTTTTCCTTTAAAATATTCCTAAAATTTCACCTCGTTCTGATTTTTATAATAGATACAAGGTGAAACATGGTAACAATACGAATTAAAGACAATTTCCATGTATCATGTATCATAAACATCGAAGTAACATTTAATTTAAATAACACTTCTTAACAACGATACCAGACAAAATGTTTCAGAAGCAACGATTCAATGTAACTTAAAAAATGTTCGTCTTTCAGGCAGTGTTCAAGCAACGAAGATGTTTGCAGCATGTCAAATACTAACCACCAACACTTGATAACCGAACAGGCAAATTAATATACTGAATACCAACACCTGTCCAAGTATGATCATCGTGTACACGTTTTCAAGTTTGTCGCAAAAGTCGATCAGTGCTTGATGTTGTCGAACATACAGCTTGAATTTCTCGTAAAACTCGTGCACTTGCTTCGCGAGTACCGATTCTGCATCTTTTTCGATTATCTGGCAGCCTAAGTCGCACATTGTCGCGAGTCTGTACCGGAGTATGCGAAACTGACCAGCCAAATGTATGGCCATGATGCAGAAAATATTGTCGAAGCAAAAATAGCTGGTACCAACGCAGTAGAGACTCCCTGCCTGTAAGAAATAAAAGTAACTTCTGCATTGAAAAGCGGCCCAATTTTAGCTAAAGATTTCAATTTCACGTGACAATTATAAATAATCGCTTTACAATATTGCTTTTAACAGTTATTCATTATTTTTACAGTTCTAAAGTATTATTTAACGAGTGCTGTTAATGAAGCTTGTTTGATAAGTGACTATTAGAAGAACAATGAAAATTTGAAATACCTCTACAATAAACATTATTTCGTAGTAAGGTGACATGGATAACGGCAAATTCAACCACACAGTGAATGGAAGTACTCTTTCGGATTCATTTCTCTCACGATTCACTGCATCAAATGTTTAATTTATGAATCAGCTTTTATAAATTTATTATAAATTTTGTAATTTTCTATTGTGCTATTCGTTTAAATATTTTTCTATGAGGATGTAAAATGGAAATGTCAGAATTGTTAGAATTAAACATTTTTTGAAAACATTTTCTTACATTTTATAAGGACATAAGGATATCCTCAATTGCATACAAATACAGATAATATTTTAATAGATGATCTATAGAATTTTTTTTATTAATATTGTAGTATCGCAAGTTTTCCACTGCATGTACATGTTGCTTTACGAAAGTCAGCGAGGGTTCGAAGACCAGGTCATTCGGAAAACCCTGGGCGATACGACAGGCCCTTAGCAAGACCATATTTGGTCATGTTGGGGAGGCATTGGAAAACGAGTGCAGGGTGTGCATGGTGGGAAGAAGAATATAAAAGGACAAGGACGTTCTGAGTTAAGAGGGTTGTCGATTAGGAGAGTGGTCGAAAGAGAGTTGTCGATTAGGGAGTTATCGAGTTGAGAGTTGTCGATGAGTGAGTTGTCAGTGAATTGTTGTCGAAGTTAGTTGAGAGAGTTATCGAAAGAGAACTGTTGTCGAGAGCAGGGGTTGTCGAGTTGAGAGTTGTCGATTAGAGAGTTGCTAAGTCAGTGGAAAGTTGTCGAGTTGAGAGTTGTCGAAGTTAGTTGCCAGAGTTGTTGTTGTTGCTAATATTTGTGAGTTGCTAACAATTGTGAGTTGTAATAGGAGAGTTGCTGCAGAAGTGTAAGTTGAACGTTGTGATAAATTGTAATAATTCGTGTCTTTATCGTTACTCGCATAGCCTATCACCGTTAATTTATTATTAAATAAATATATATACTATCACCAAGTCGCCTCTAAAATATTTTGATAACTATTCGTTGGTAATTTTTGCAAAACTATTGCACTTCTATCTTACGTATGTTACAGATGAAACAATTGTTACAATAAATTGTGGACATATAATATAGCGAAACTTACGAAATATTGGTGGTAGTACATAAGATAGCATGGCACACATGCCAATCGTGGTAACAGAGCAGACGAAAAGGGTACAGATCTTATTGCAATTCTCTAAAATTATTTTCTCTTGGAAATCGTACTTAACATTCCAAAACTTTTGTTGCATGTCTACAATTAGACTTATAAAATCTCCTCTATGCTTCAATATGACACATATCTTGATTAAACCCATTAGCACTGTTAAAGCTGTGGTGAGAGAATAGAGGACGTCCTGCAATGCGTTATTATGAAATGATTAATAGTATAGTAAATAATTCAATACTAATATAGTTAATGACATGTTATTAAATGTGTCATAAGTTCAAGTGTATTGTTTGTATTAGGCATAATAATATGAATAATTACTTAGATAAAATACTATTTGAAGTATTAAAAATATTCCAAATTTTATTATTATTTAAACATTATTAATATAGTAAATACAATTTTCAATTATTTTTTAAAATTATTTATCGAAATAAAATGTACCTTTAAAATACGTGTTATACGTGTCTTTATTAGTATTTTGTACTTGATAAACTGGAAATTTGAAATGACTAAATAATATTTTCAAGCAGTATTTTAATATTAAATATTAAATATTAAAATACACGAATAGAAGACACGTATAACACGTATTTTAAATGTACATTTTATTTCGATAAATAATTTTAAAAAATAATTGAGAATTGTACTTATTATATTTTAATACACCTTAATATTGCTAGTAGCACATCACTTAGGCTCAAAATGATCACTGTTAATAAAATGAGCAATAGATTCCTCAACTTCAAAGAGACGTATTCTTTCATAGCACAAAATTTTGTATCTAATCTAGAGCATGATGAAATTCTTTTTACAGTAATATCGAATAACAAAAGGACCAATAATCACCAATATTTGTTGAGAATATACTTCTACAAATTTCTCTTTTAAATATTTCTTGTTCTTCGAGATTTTTATTACTCGAAGAAAATACAAAATATTTCCAAAATTTGTATTAACAAATCCTTAAAGTATCGGAATTATTTATAAAACAATTCGATATTTACAGAATCCAGTCCGATATAAATATGAAATATCTAGATGTACGTACTCCGTTATACATCGAGGTAAAGTACAAATCTCTCACAGCAGTGATGAATCCCCAAACGCTGTTCCATACAGTGTACGTAAGTAATATCTTCATTCGTCGTTTCTCCGTAGGATCGTTAGTGATCCAAATGCCAATGTTCCTCAAGAAGAAGACCGTCACCTTCATCGATATGTCCCAGCGTTGTACTTGCATGCTGACCACCGAACGTCTACAACTGTTGGCCTAGTATTATATTTCGCGTGTGCCCCGAGTGTCAGAATGGTAATGACAGACGTTGCTTTCATATGTCGATTCTTTTTGTCCAACATTTTTGCAACGTTTAGTGTCTTCCTTTGCGTACACATGATGTCTTTCTGGTCACGGGGAACGCCTCGGACTGATATGAAATTGAAAGGTGATTGTTACCTTTCTTTTGGCCGGACCTCGAACTAGAAGGTAACAATTTGATTATATGTTTGTCTATTGAAGGATTTTGTTCAATTATTTATAGGAGTCGGCACATCTTTAGGTTCCTCGTTCTATGGATGCCAAGGGATCATTTTTGATCGGGGCCTATAGAGTCTGGTCTAGAACATCGTTCAGAGAGTATCGGTTATGGAATATAGTTGGAGTGGCAGGTAAACGTGCATGGTGAGTTGAGAAGCATCGATTGGTGTTATGTGATTTTAGTTAATGTGGAGATAATTGGATATTTTCATTGTTGATACGGTGAAATATAAGTTTCCGTTAATTACTTACACGTTTTATGTTCAGTTAATTACTACTTGCATTGGGAAAATATTTCTATTCAAAGATTCTGAATATATTATATAATGGTCACTGATTACACGTTTGATATTCATAAAATGCATCGAATACACTAATTCGTTGAATTCAAAGTTATCTACAATTTTATATTTATACACGTCATACCACTGGCACCAAAGTTTGTTTTCTAACATTACAATTCATCTATTACATAAATTTGTATTCGTATAGTGAATTATTCATTCGCTATTCCCATGGATGATTCCCTCATGAGAGTGATGTACGACATAGTGGAACTTAGAAGCTGCAACAGAAGGTTTCACTACTATCGTTATAATTCTTCACAAAATTTGTATATTGGTATTAAAATCTTACTATCGCTTCCAATTATTCGTTAAAAAATAAAATCATTTTGTAAACAATGAGCAAGTGCCCAGACACTTTCGACCTACGTGGTACATATAATTATATGCTATATAATATGCTATATAATTTATTATATTATATGAAATATAATTACATAATTATATGCTATAGGAAGCGATATTTACTGGAAAAATTAGATTAAATACGAAACAATTTGCATACAGTAGTAGCCGTTTCCAAAGACACAGGAAAGAATCCTCCAGCGGACAAGTAGCATGGTCGCATCGACTTCATCATCATCATTTTTATATCCCTCCGTAGCATCTTGCCAGTTTCCGTCATTGGTAAAACCATCCACCAACCTGAATACGTTGCCATGCTAATATTCTCACTTTCCTCTATCAATCCGTGACAGCTGTATGTGAAGAAAAGTATGTGGACTAAGCTACCGATCATGTGGAAAACGAAAATGAGCCTCGTCGAAATAACTCCGTGGCAGCTATATGTGAAGAAAAATAAGTGCATCCAGCTACCGATCATGTGGAAAACGAAAATGAGCCTCATCGAAGTAGTTATGTCTGCCTGTATATACAACATATCGATACAAATAGAATCTTATTGGTGCCTGTAGCGAAAATTGATCTATTTACTGATCATTCTAGAATTGCTATAGAATTTAGATGATCAGTGAATAGACTATTGAATTAATTCATTGATAATGGATAATGCACTGTACAGATGGCTGTATACGGTTGCTTTATTCACTGCTGATAGAATCTTGGTACCTGTAGCGAAAATTGATCTATTCATTGATCCTTTTAGAATTGCTATAGAATTTAGATGATCAGAGAATAAGCCATTGAATTAATTCATTGGTTAATTCTAGACCAATGGGCGTTTCGTTTTGAAGATGAGAAAATTCTTAAAAAGGAAAAGATGCAAGGTATCATTAACCCTCTGCCCTACGATTTAAGATTCAACAGCGTGGTCCAAAAGTGGGGGTCTCGAGCATGCATTAGTAGAATATCAGTGTGGGGTCTCAAGAGACCCCGTTACCGCTTCGCGAGGGACCGTGCTCCGAGGGTTAACTGTTCAAGGATCGAAGTGACATCGGTATGCAAAAATGAAAGTATAGCGTTTCAATTGATTTAAGGAAGAATCCACTTACCAAGACTGTTCATACTTACCAGGATTATCTCGTACGCGTCTAAGCACATCAGTAGACTGAAGACCACAACATGAGCGAAAATTGGCAACGTGTAAACGTACTCGAGCTTGTCGCAGAATTTGATCAACGATTGGTGTTGTCGGATACAAATTTTGAAAGTTGTGTAGCAACTGTCCGTGTAACCGTTGAAATCTGTTTGTTCTTCGATGGCCGACCACAGTTTCAACAGCCTGTGCTGCAATATTTGAAATTGGCAAATCACGTGCATGTTCAGCACGCACATAAAGCCGTCGTTGCTTAAATAGGCGGCACCGATTTGTTGCACGTCTAGTATCTGCGAAAATGGTAGATTCCATAAGATCATCGAGGTAAAATCATCATGGCGCATAATTAGTTAACGTTCTAGTCGCTTGAAATTAATCGACATCGCGAAAACGTAAATTGAAATTCACTGTACCAGGGTTACGAAAATTATTTCGTAGTACGGTGTTTCGTTTACAGGCAGATTGATCCATATTTGGAACGGAAGTACCCTCTCTGATTCGTTCTTTCCGATGTTTGCTGAAACACAGTAGACCATGACATTTTATCACCTTCTCGGGTTTCACACGTTATTTACTTTTCTGCATTTTCAGTATTCGTTGCAACGGCAATAACGAAGGCTAGATGTGCATTAGCTCATCTACAGACTGCGGACAACCCTAACCTACAACCAGACTCAACAGATGGGACGCACGTGTGACTGACCTACCGAGCAATATATCACCGCGCTCGCACCAGCACCTACTCATAATGGCAGTTAAAAGGATTTTCGCAATAAAAGTAAAACTTGTTAAGAATATAATGAACTGATGTAGATGAGATGCTCACAAAAGGGATCAAACGTGATCTGTGGCATATGAAGAATAATCAGCAACTAGTAATGGAAAAAAAGTCAGCTAGCGGATTATTCCGCGCTCGGTGATAGGCGACAGTCGTAGCTCGCGGAATATTCCGCGGTCGGTGATAAATGACTGTCGTGGCTCGCGGAATATTCCGCGCTTGGATGCAAATGGGTTAAGACTTAGCTGACAATAGGCCTGTGGTCTGCACGTGATCCGCATACGTTAGAAGCCTGAGGCCCTAGCAAGGGGGCATAAACGGCAGATGGGGACACCAGCGCGCGAGTGGACTCCGCGTACCACACCTTGAAGGAGAGGGTGCCCCCTCCACCACCGTCTTCGTTTGGGAGGATCTTCCCTTCCTCCAAAGTGATCTTTGAGGTTTCGTTTCGAAATGTCTTCCTCGATTTTTCTAAGATCGGGGTTAGGAAGAATCGAGAACTCTCCAAATATTATTGGCTAATTGGACCAAAGGCGTCCCCTTAGTCTGCAAATCGGTCAGCTTGAAGGAAGGAAAGGTCCTCCAAGATGAAGACAGAGGTGGAGAGCACCTTTTCCTTTAAGGTGAGGTACGCAGAGACCATACGCGTGCTGGTGATCCCATGGCTGTTGGAAGATCGCAACGATGTCTTCCTTGTTCCATGATAGAATATCATATAAGACGTAAACTAGTAGTCGAAGACAATACCGGGAGATATATAGAAGTAAACCAAAAGTCAGACAGCAGTCAATCACAACGCATATACGTCATATTCAAAATTGCAACTATCAGTGCAATAAAGTGTATACAAAACGAAACTGCTCTTCATTGCACACCCAAGTGCTCAGTATCTTGATGAGTATGACATACTGAGATAAGGCATACAGCAAAACAAACCTTGGCTGCCTTCGTGGAACAGTATTTACTATCAATTATTCCAACTCGAATGATTCTTTGACCGTGCTGAACTTAAATAATTATTCCGGAATATGGAGAAAAACGCGACGTACCTTTATCATTATTTAAAACTTTTAAATTTTCTCCAGCTTCGAATTAAATATTATAAATGAAGAAAAATTGGAATTTACGACGTTATAATACAATTTACTTGATTCTTTTAGAATTATTTTAACGCGGGATGGTGTTACTCACAAATGATAGGTGAAATTACATAGAACGCCAGTGACGTTTGCGTGACAAAGTATGAAGTTATGGTCCATAGTTTGCAAAACCTTCGGCAGTTCGTGAAAAGTATTTTCTCATCGTGATCGTACTCGAAATGCCAGAAATTCTTTTGTGCAAATAATATTAGATTCTTGAATTCCGCTTTGCGAATGCTTATTATTAGAATCTTGAACATCACCAGTGTGATACATATTAAATTATAAAACAGAAAGGTACAATGCTGAAAAAATAAATATCGAGAATTAATAACACGTTAATCCAATTTCAAATATTTGCTAGATGTATCAATTAAATAGTTATTAAATAGTTTCACAATTAAATAGTTATTACAATTAAATAATTATCCCCATTTTGGTTCCTGTGCATTCTAAATATCACCAGATCTTGCTTATATCCTCTAGAACCAAGTATTAAGTAATTCCCAGTAAACAATTTCTTGTATTATATTTTTCAAAAATCATGATTTAGCTGTCATCAAATATTGTCTCCAATATTAAAACAGAATTGAAACGATGAGATATTTTTGGTCACAATCCAAATGTCCAACCAATGTTGGACAGTGGCCAATTATTAAATCAATTCTGATCAATATTGAAATATTAAATTCAGTTTAACTATCAAAATCTCAAATTCATTTTAAACATCACCCAAATGTTAAATCAACTTTCAATATTACCCAAGTATTAAACTAACGTTCAACTCTATTTGTTGAAACATAGATCCAATTTCAGACATAGGTAGAAATTTTCATGAACACAAGTATCAACAACTGTTACCTAGATGATCTCACATAATGATGCTACCAGGATTTAAGAACAGTGTCACTGATCTACATACTCACGCCAAAGTCACCCCAGGTGTAGTAAGCATCACTTAGATTCAGATATATCGCATAGATGGCCATGAGTATAGTGTAAAACGTAGCGAGCCTCCTTTGTCGTTTCTCGGAGTCGTTAGTCCTTATCCAGACACCGGTGAGCTTCAGCAGAAACTGCGAGAATCTAAGAGATATATCGTTATATTGTGTCTCACGCATGGCGGACCTTTTCCTCGATCCTGATGCTAATTATGCGGTAACTACTAAACTCAGTGACAAAATGTTCTCGCTGAATGTTTTGTCTGATCAATCGATTGTTGCTTACTGGATACATATTTTTCCCTCGAGCTGATTTTTTTAGAGAAAAACGCGTGTGGTACATGTGCGTGGTCACACGTTTGAAGTGACGTCCTATTTATAATGCACACTGCAAAGGGAGCAGGATTATTACACCTTACAATGTAGGTGTATACATTTCGTAGTTCATCGTGTATCGATTATACGTTCGAGATAGAAATTCTGCCACATGGTTATCAGTGTACGATCGCTCGCCAAAGAAGCAGGGATGAAAAGTACGCATGGTTCTCTGAAATCACATATAGCTTATATTTTCCAGTGTATATTGATATGAAGGTTAGTGTATTTGGAAGTAATTCAGTTACGTGTTAGCGAATGTTAGTACTACTTGTGGTGAAGAACTATACGTGAAGATACTAGGTACTGATAATTTTTGTTAGTATTGGAGGAGGAGGAATACTTCCAAGCGGTTGTCAACCTACACTTGTAAGATAGTTCTGAAGACAGGTTGTTAAGGTTTATGATGGTGATGATGGCCAGTTTAAAGTCGCGAATGTTTACTGCACACATGTAGTACACTCTTCCTAATAGAATCTGAGTTGCAAGTCCGGAACGTGAGAATATCAGGCCTTGAGGACGTCATCATCCTGACTAGAGAGAAGGACGAATAGGATTGTGGATCGACTGTCAGGTTAAGTCTACATGATTTTTGTTATCTGTGCAGTTTCAGAAACTAGTTGAAATTTCTTGTGTGTGCGTGACTGATTATCACCACTGATCTAGGGTAATTCGCAGGGGTAGGTCTCTGACTAGTACCAGCGAAGAAGCTTGTAATTAATTAAGTTACGGGGGTCAAAGTAGCGGGTGTCATCCCCCACGTTGTTGAAGTCAGCTGGCTGGTCGCAGGGTATCTTTGTGTGGCGGCGATGCTAGAAGGGACGAAAGGAGAAGGAAGGGACGAGTATAGTGTCCCGTTGTCTGGGATGCAATTGGAAGATTTGGAAGTTATATATATACGAAGCGGAGGTTCTCCGAGAACTTGCGAGAAAGTCCTCGAACCTCCTTGAAGCCGGAATCCGTCTAGCGGCGAGAGTGAGAATGACGGTCGCTACAGTCCTTATGATAGAGTAAGTTGATAATCTCAATCAAGGTATTTGCTATATATTATAACTGCTTTTATTTGCTTTTATTAGAAAAAAAAGTCGAGAATATAGTTGTTTAGAGTTGTTTGGTATTGGTTTATATTTTTACATTTAATTAACGAACAACAACGATTAACCAATATAACTAACCGCTTCCTTTATTCACCCTTATTTAAATTTTACTCTATTATTAATTAATTATTAGACACTGTATTCTTAATTAATTATTAGATGTATTTATTAATTATGCTATTAACAATTTCTATCATTATTTATGATTCGTCTGCGTTTTCTAAGTTATGCATTAAAAGCGTGAAATATGACATAGCAGTACTCAAAATCTGCAAAATGAAAATAAATAATTTTAATTTCCGGCGAAAAAAATTATATTTACATTTATCAACATAATGTACCAATACTTATTCCGTGAGTCATACTTGCCGTGGAATAAGTTTCCAATGATACAGGGAAAAATCCGTTCGCAGTCAGACAACAAACTCGTCTAGCCCGCACGATCACCATTATCAGATCGTTTCGAAGCTTTTTCCCAGTTGTATTCATCGGCATGACTGTCCATAACGCTGAATATGCTCCTATAGCAATGTTATCAGTGTGTTCTATCACACCGTTGCAGCTGTAGGTGATCATAAACAATAAAGACATCGAGCCGATTAAAAGAAAGACGAAAATGGCACGTCTCGTGGTTGGTGCTTCTGCCTGATAGAAAACAATTTTTAAAGAAAAATGTGTTTTATAAAAATGTATTAAAATTAAAATGGTAAAGTTTAAAAGAATATTTAGATCATTTTAGTTAAAATTATACTGGAATTTAAAATATTCATCGTTCTATTTTTATTAACTTCTTGGAAATGCTGTGTTATTATTGAAACGATATTTGAAGGGAAACGTGTTTTTATCTAAATTTATTATAATAATTATTTATCATTATTATTATTTATCTATCTAATTGACATACCATTACACGAAGAACACGAGACTCTGTATCTATATAATTAACAACATTTAATTCGAAAAACACATTTTAAGAGTTATTTCAAATAATTTCTAAATTCTTTTCTGCTATCGCATTTTATACAATGGTAAAAAGTAAAAGATAGAGAAAGTTGTGATTCGATATGATTTTCAAAATTCTTTCCATCGTAATTATATAAATGATATTTAGGTATCCGATATAATTTGGGATAATGACTTTTGCAGCGAGTTAAATACTGACCAACAATACTTGATAACCAAACAGGCAGATCAACAAACTGAATACCACCATTTGCCCAAGTGTAATCATCGTGTACACGTTTTCAAGCTTGTCGCAATAGGCGATCAGTGACTGATGCTGTCGGATGTATTTCTTCAGTTTCTCGTAAAATTTGTGCACCTGATTCAGCAACATGGATTCCGTATTCTTCTCGCGAATCTGGTGATCGATGTCACAGAGATTCACAAGTCTATATCGAAGTATGCGAAACTGACCAGACAAATGTATGGCCATGATGCAGAAAATGTTATCGAAGCAAAAGTAGCAGATCCCAACCCAACACATACTTATCGTCTGTAAAGAATCAAAATTACTGCCATTTTGATTGTTGCACATTCAGTGCAATATTTTACAATTTCATTATAATGAATTATAATTGTTAATCCTGGAAGTACAGTTTTGGCGATATTATTACTCGCATTAGGAAATACTATATACTATATATATACTATATACTATACCCCATACCCTAGGTAAAACACGATGGCACATTGACGCTTGGGCACCATATACGTTAAGTACATGGAGTATAGGGCATTATAATTCAGTTTGTTTTTCTGTTTGAAACCCCTACAGTAAACACAGTAAACACGAGATAGTCAAACAGGACTAACTACCGTACAAAGTTATCAGCTCTAGACCATAAGACTTTTAGAGTACCCTACGTGTTCCAAAGGAGGAAATCAATTGATTCACAAGAAGAAATATACAGTCCACTAATTATTCGAAGATACACAAAATTTCCTTAACACTAGAACTACCAACCCAGTGAAAATGACTGGTCCCAGAATTTTCCTTTTTGCATTCACCGAACACATACACCTGCTTTAAGAATAAAATTGGTATCAACCCATATTAAGAAAGAACTGTAATCAATATATTCACTCATATTCATCATACCGATCGAAATTACTATAATCTGTGCACGTTATAGTTAGGTACTCATTAAAGATCGGTAGTTCTAGTGTTAAAGAGCCATCTGTCACTAATCGTTGCCAACCAATATCAACCTAGTCACGATATACAATATTGACAGATTTCTAATTGACCGAATAGCATATTGCACTGTGAGAAGTTTGTTCTTTGAATATAAATGAATTTCTAAATTACTAGTTAAATGTTCGTACTTATATGCTTTGTCAGCTATTATTAGTTTGGGAAGCAATCTGTTTATTTAATTCCAAAGAAATCATTGAAATTTGAAACTTTTCTTGAGGCATTTGAAATATTTGAAACATTATTATTTCATATCAGTGGTACTAATGAAAGGTATTTCAAATAACTTGATTATATGAATAATGGTTCAAATTATTTTATAGTGTCTATAGTGAAAAGACGTTGTGAACTGATTGTAAGTGCTCCGGATTCACAGGAGAACTTTCATATGACATATTCATGTAGGCCATCGTGTATTAAGGTTCATTTCGTGAGTAGTAAAATATAGACATGTAATGAAACGAATAATCGTTACATAAAGTATGAAAATATAATATATACCTGTACAACGAAAATTATTTCGTAGTAGGGTGTCACTGATACGGGCAATTTTATCCACAAATTGAAAGGGTGCTTTCTTTCAGCTCCTTTATTCTGCATATTTTCTATAACAGACCCGCAAATAATTATTTTCATATTAAACTTTATATAAAAATTTTTAATTTTATGTTAAATATTAAATATTAAATATTATCAATTCATATGAAATTATTTTTCATGTAACTTTCACTATATTTAAACGATTGAATTTCTAAGATCACGAAATTTTCAATCGTTGAATACTTTATTAGATAAATTAGTCAGTAATAAATTTGTCAATATGGTAAATTAGAAATTACTCGTTATTTTGTACAAACACGATATTTGTGTATGAGGAATATTATAAATAAGAAAATTTGAGCAATATACTGAAAACAAATACCATAATTTAACTTACCCATTAATGGTGTTATTATGAAGGACACCATAGCACAAATCCCAATGGTGGTAACAGAGCAAACGAAGAAGGTGCAAACTCTTTTACAATTGTTTAAAATTTCTTTCTCCTGAAAATCGTACTTGACATTCCAGAAATTCTGTTGCATGTATAAAATTAGGCTCGCAAAATCACCTCTGTGCTTCATTATGATACATATCTTGAATAAACTCATAATTACCGTTAGTGTGGTAGTAATAGAATAAAGAATATCCTGAAACGTGTTATCATTGAATAATTAGTAGTGTGGAAAATAATTCAATATTAATATTGCTAATAATATCTAATTAAAAGAAATATCAAATGCATTGTTTGTATTAGATACAATTATATGGAAAACAATACAGATAAAGTACCATTTGGATTATTAGAGTATACTCAAAAATATTATTTACACATTTGCAATATATCAAACAATTTTTTTATTAAGTACAAACCAATAATGAAAACACACATTAAAATACTTCTAATGTTTACTTTATTTCGCTAAACAATTTAAAAATGATTGAAAATTATAATTAGTACTTTACACCTTAGTGTAGACCTTAGACAACTTAATACTGCTACTAGCACTTGATGTCCGTCCACGTGAAAATGATCACTATTCAAAAAATCAGCAACAGATTTCTCAGCTTCTAAACGATGTATTCTTCCAAAGAAAAAATGGCGTAATTAATCTAGACGAGAGTAAATTGTTTTCATCGCAATATAAGTAAAGCAAATAACAAATACATTAATAATCATCCAAATTCAATCCAAATTCCAAATACGATAATATTCTCCCAAGTATTTCCCATTAATATTTTCCTTATTTATTGAAATTTTATTACTTCAGAAAAATACAAAAATTTCCTGTAGAATAATTTCCAAAATTTGTATTAACCCTTTGACTGCCACGCAGAAATCATATGTTTCGCTCAGGACGCCACGGAAGTGCACTACTAGATGCGAGACTTGTTCTAATATTTTTTGATGTTCTAATAAAAATTTTTAATCGTTCAATAGGGCACTTTTTATTTCAAAGTATCTTCTAATTAGTGGTTATATTCAAACCGCACTAATTATTAATTTTCATCCAATGTTGTTCAATGTAGTGTCAGTAGTTCAAGCGCTCCGGTCACCAATGACCACCCCATGGCGCCACAGGAGAAACCGTGGCCGGTCATATATGACCAACGTGGCAGTCAAAGTGTTAATAGATAACTATTAATAAATAAATTAAGAATAACGCCATAATTTTTAGAATAATTCAGCTTTTACAAAATATAATACAGTATAAATATAATGTGTACAGACATACGTACTCCATTGTACAACGTGGTGAAGTACAAATCTCGGAGGATGGTTATCAGCCCTAACAACGTGTTCCACACTGTATAGATGAGCAGTATCTTCATTCGACGTCTTGTCGCGGGATCGTCACTTTCCCATATGCCGATGTTCCTCAAGAAGAAGATAGACACCTTCATCGATATGTCTGAAAGTTGTCCTGCTTGCATGCTGACTGCCGAACGTCTAAGGCTGTTGGCCACTTGTATCGTGAACTGCATGGATCCCGGGTGTCTAAATCGTGGTAATGATAGACGTTGTTGTCATTTGTCGATTCCCTTTGTCCCACATTCTTCCAACATTCCGTGTCCTTTTTCGTGTGCACGTAACGTTTCTCTCGTCACGATGACACCATCGATTGACATGGAATAGAAGGATGATTGCTACTTTTCTTTTGGTCAGATTTCGAAAGAGAAGGTAACAATTTGATTGCATGTTCGGCTGTTGATGGATCATGTTATATTATTTAGAGGGGTCGGCGCATTTCTAGTCTTCTCGTCCTATGGATTCCAAGTGATCACTTTTTGATCGTGGTCTATACCCTCAGGAGTAGGAGGTTGTTCGGATACTATGGGTATATTTGTGACGGAGTATGTTTCGAGTGACAGGAAGGAATGTATGGTGAATCGAGAAGCATCGATTGCTGTTACTTGATTGCGTTATGTAATAACATAAGAAAGGACCAGCATAATCGAGTCGCATTGACAAATGAAGAGAGTAAGTACATGACAGTATTTAATATCAAAAGGTGAAACACGAATTAATAACTTTACACGAACTATTAAATGATATGACACACAAAGGAATTTGTTATTTAAAGTATTCTTATAATGCTTCGTGATGTGTGCATGCTTGGTTAATTATTCGTTCGAGCTTCTCATTGAGGACTCCCTCATGAGAGTGAAATATGACAACGTAGAACTCATAAGCTGTAACAACAAGATTTGGTATGGTTATAAATTTCTGTATAAAATTTCATTGAATATTATAGCGAATTATAATTATCACATTTTAAACGTGTATTTACATACACACGTATAATATATGTATTAAGTGGATATTAATACTATACTGATATAATATTGATATCCATGATATAACATAATATTAACGTTAATGTGATTAATTAGTTTTAATATTAATTATAATTAACAATATTAATGTAGCATAAGTCATATATTATACAGGGTGTCCCAGCAATGGTAGTACAATCGGAAAGGGGGTGATTCTATATACAGAAACGAATAAAGAAAAAGAATAAAATTTTTTCATTTGAAGCTTCGTTGTCAAGAAAATCGACTTTGAATCGATCCATCGAATGCACTGATTTACTGGTCCATCTGTCTTAGAATAGAATAGGATAGAAAATGAAGCTTCCAATAAAAAAATTTTATTTTGTACTACTATTGCTGAGACACCCTGTATAATTTTATATTATATGATACGTTTCCTACTGACATAAAACAAAAGAAACAGATCAATTTATATGAATCATTAATACGTAACAAAATTATTTAAGGAAAGGGACAGGTTACATTACTGTTCATAAGTATCCTGACACTTTCATTAATTTCCAGTAACCATTTCTAGTAATCATAATTTGCAATTTAAAAGAAAATAAAGAAAACAGGTAAAATTACACGAAACATAAATACGTAATGAAATTATTAACTAAGTAATTATTAATCATTAATTAATTTAAGGAAAAGAAGAAGTTCCATTAATTTTCATACGTATCTTGACGCATTCGTTAATTGCTAGTTACCATTTCTAGAAATCATAATTTGCAATCCAATACCAAATTATCGATTAAAATCAAGAACACTCAAATTTTAATAAATTGGAAAATTTTATAAATTACCAGGGAATGAAAACGTTTACCGAGAACAAAGAAAAATTGAAAACTACAATATTTAAGAAAAAGAGGATTAGGCAGAAAAAGGGTAACATACGGCAGTAGATGTCTCCAAAGATACAGGAAAGAATCCTCCAGCGGACAAGTAACATGGTCGCAACGATTTCATTATTATCATCCTCACATCCTTTCGTAGGTTCCTGCCAGATTCTGTCATTGGCAACACTTCCCACCAGCCGGAATACGTTGCCATGCCGATATTTGCGCTTTCTTCTATCAAATTGTGGCAAACGTATGTGAAGATAAATATGTAGGAGAAGTTACCGGCTATGTGGCAAATGGAAATGACGCGCGTCAAAATAGCCACTTCTGCCTGTGTACATAACACATGGTTAACGTAGTTGCGCTTAAATGATATAATATCCCGGAATAAAAAAATTTCGCAAACGTGTGTTTGTGAAATTTTGAGGAATATTATTTGGAATATCTTCGAGGAGGTAATTTGAAGAAATAATTTACGTGAAACTTATACTTTCTCGAATGACTATAGTCCTATGGTACGATAGCTTATAGGAACAACGGATACTTCGTTCACACGTACCACAACAATCTCGTACGTGTTAAGGCACATTAGTATGCTGAAGATGACAACATCGCCGAGGATTGGTAGCATGTAAACGTACTTGACCTTTTCACAGAATTCGATCAGCATTTGATGCTGCCTGATGCACTCCTTCAAGGCTGTATAACAATTATTGGTGTGATCGATGGAATTCGTTTCTTTGTCGGAGCCTTGCCACAGGTTCGATAGCTTGCGTTGCATCATGCGAAATTGGTAGGTCACGTGCATGTTTAGGACGCATAAGAGATTGTCATGGCAGATATATGTGGCGCCAATGTGTTGCAGAGTTAGTATCTGTCAGATTGGTAATTTATAGGTAAGTAACTATTAACTCGTAGCAGTTTGTCTCTATATTATCGTCATCTCCGGTGAATATTAGCGATTTAATTAATCGTTATATAATGTATTTGCAAATGAACAGGTTTCGAGGAGGCAAATTAAGATTTGGGCTACCTGCGTGGCGAATACTATTTCGTAATACGGTGTCTCGTTTAGGGGCAGATCTAACCATATTTTCACCGGATGTGTCCTTTCTGACTTGTTCCCTCCGATGTTTGCTGGAACAGTGTGGATGGTTTGTAAAGTATTTCGAGTCTTATGGATTAGTAATTTTTATATAACGTTGATATTCCTTAGTAATTAATTTCTGAACGGGGTTTCAATTGTTTATTTCAGATAACTGGTTCATAGTAACGAAATAAAAAATTTGTAATTTAATTTTTCACTAAGGATAAATAGGAATTACTATCATTTGAAGAGTATATTTTGGTTTTGGATTGCCTGAAAAATCGATATGTCGTAGTGTTATCAGAATTGCATTATAAATAGTTCCAAGTGGGATCATGCCAATTTTTTCATGAAGTCTAGGAATATATTTATTATTAATTATTATTACCCAATAGTGCTTAGAATTAATACTATTATTATTCTATATTATCATGGCAATTGTTATTACCGTCATTGCCATTATTACCATTATTATTACATACATTTGTTATTAATAATTATTATTAAGGAGTATACTTTTATTTTCATGCTACAAATATGTTCATTTCAGAAATATAGGTCATACCTGTTCCAAAAATATCGTATATTGATTCTACAAATGATCATCCTTTCCATCATTTTATCAAGGATTGACTTACTCACCATAGATCGGTACAATTATATAAAAAGCCGAGGCGACTTGTGCAATGCAGCATATACATATGGTCCACAAGTTGCAAAATTCTCGACACTTCCTCAACAGTATTTGATCCTCGTGATCATACTTGACATGCCAAAAATTCTGTTGTGCAAGTTTTATTATATCGTTTAAAACCGTATAGCGCATTCTGACTGTTACAGTCTTAAATAGTGACAGGCTAGTGCACAGTACATTAGACATGGCGTAGCAGCAGCGCTGAAAAATTGAATTCAAAAATTTATTTCAATGCTACACGACATATTGTAGGCCTCAAAGATATTTGGAAACCTATGTAATTTGAATTTCATATTCCGTACTTTAAATAAAAATTTCAGAATTTCTTATATTGTAATTATTACTTGATTATACAGTTTAACAGTTACTGATGGAAAAATGACATTGGAGAGAGATTTTAATCCACGCGCTTCCAAATATTTCTATGGTTGATCTTACATGTTTTTAAATCTTACATTTTTGTCTTTAATTATGTTTCTTATTACGCTCTATAAATTTTTGATATTAGAATAATACGGTGTCGAAATATTCCCGAAATAATTAATAATTAACGTATTTAATATGACTTTTGCCTAATTAACATATATCAAATATCATATGATTATATACATACTGTACCATTTTAAATATCACTAAACTTTAAACATTTCTTTAAACGAAAAATTTTGCTATATTCGCATTCGCGAATGTTTCGTTAAAATCAGAAAGTCTTGTATTAAAAAATGATCATCCAACTTACGTTCAAGTCACCCCATGTGTAGTACATGTCAGTTGAACTGAGATATAGAGCGAAAATGTGCACCACAATTGTGTACGTCATGGCGAATCTTCTTCGACTTTCCTCGGTATTGCTCTCGTTCATCCACGTTCCCGTGAGTCTCAGCAGAAACTGCGACGTTTTAATCGACATATCAGTGTATTGCAGCGAATGCATGGCAATTCTTTATCGAGATCTCAATTTTTAAGTCACTCGTCAACCGACAGATTTGTAGGAAAAATGTTCCAAACGAATGAAGCTTGACGTGACATTGCTTTGATCAATATGAGACACTCAGTTAATGATCATTTCTTGACGGTCAATTTCTATGTCTTTTCATCAAACGAACTGTCACGATTCGCACGTCACACGACTGCAGGTGTACATCCAGTAATTTGTCACGTATCGATTATTGTATCGTCAAAAACGAGTACTATAGTGCATGGTCACTCGGGAAAGAAACGTGATGTGATCAGGAAAGTATATATGATTGTTTGCATATAGTGAGAAATCATGACACGGTATGCGTAGTATATTTCAGGATCGATTGGATCATGTGTGTGCATGTGTGATGTGAAACGATGATATAAATTAGTGTATTCAAAAGTTGTATAATTTAACAAAGAATGAGGATTACTCCTCTGATGACTGACGATGTATAAAGATGTTCTTAGTAATCGTTCGAACTGGGTGCTACAGTAATTGGGCACTACAATTGAAAGTGCACATTACAGTACTTACATTTATTAATGATATGAAGAATGACATGATTTCGTTCAGTCTCGTGATAGATTCATTCCTGAAATGTTTCGGTCACTCAACTTGTCAAACAGTAAGAACTACTGAAACGTAGTTCAAGTCAGTTATAGTTGTATATTACTCATTTCGCAGACAAAGATTTTGTTCCTTCCTTTATGGATACAATTGTTCTACTGTGTGTATTTTATTCCTTCGAAAAATAAATGATTTTTACTACCTCGATACTTATTTTAATATGTATAAAATCACATTTCTAGATATTTATTCACAGATTGTCAATGAAAATTTCCTCATGCTCTTGTGGAGATGATTGGAGGAAATTTTTTAACAAAAAATATATCACTTTTATTTGAAACTAAATTTATCTGAGCATTTTAAATTCATTGTTCTATCCGACATTGGTATTATTAGTTATGTTTCACGTTCGTCTACGGCATGGCCTCTCAGAAAAGTAAAATATGATACTGCGGTGCCCAAAATCTATAAGAAGAAAATGAACAATTTATACGTTCGTAATAGCATCATACAATCTTAAAAACGTTCGACATGATAACAATAGCTATCGTAATTAACAGATTATAAATGCAAGAAAACACAGTCTAGTACTTCCCTGGTTCAGAGCGACAAAAAAATTTGTCATACTAAATTAAACTGGGTAATTAAATTATCTTTAATTACCAGTAGTTTTCATTTATATATTAAAATCGGATATTCTGCATACCTATTATAGAAAATAATTCCTTTAAATAATTATAACTCGAAAATATTTAATTCCGAAAAACAATATCATAAAGTACGTACAACGTATGCAAACGACGTTTTTTTAGTTTGAAGTTTGCCCTCATGGAAGAAACGCTTACCCCAGTGAACGTTTCCAGCGAAACAGCGAAGAATCCATTGGCAGTGAGGCAGCAGAGTGTTTGAGATCTCATGACAACCAATACCAAGTCTTTCCGCAACATTTTTCCATACTTGTCCATTGACAAAATCGGCCATATGCTTTTATAAGCAGAAGTAGCCGCATCCATGCTGCTCTGCATCAAACAGGCGCAACTATACGTGAACATCAGCAGCTGACTTATGCAGCTCATTATATGAAACGCGAATACAAGGCGTCTCGTAATGGTAGCTTCTTCCTATAGAAATCGCATTACGAACATTTTTACACGATGGCAAAGTGAATATTATTCAACTGAAGCAATTGTACAAGGTAAGAACTAAAATGTTATTTTTAATTACCGCGGTCTTGACTGATTTTCTTTTTTAACACTAGACCTATTAAATTAGACAGAATTATCGATTTTGGACTTTTTATTCCTCCAGTTGCTGTCAGAACGTTATCTATTAGGCATTTCCTAATGTTTTTTAATTTATAACACTGATCTATTTTCCCAGGAATTAAGAATGTTATATCACAAAAATATATTTGCAATATTTGTGGTACAAATTACCAAAAATAACGGAGTTACTGTATATGTACTGTATTAAATATGCATTGGATTATTGGACGGTGGTTCTAGTGTTAAAAGACGATTTTATTATAAAAGAAGAATCATTACGATGAATTAACAGTGAGAAAATAAGCATTACTAACCATAAGCAACAAGTACCCATCGAAACAGATTAATAAGCTAAATAGTGTCACTTGTCCAAGTGCAATTAAACCGAATACATCCTCGAGTCTCTTACAATATTCAAGTAACGCTTGATGCTGCTGAACGTAAGTCTTGAAAGTCATGTATTTATCTACATTACACGATTCTTTCGAAGCTTCGTACGACTTTCCGTATTCATTTATGTTACACACATTCGTGAATCCATATTGCAAGATACGGAATTGGCAAGCAGTGTGTAAATTTATAATGCACAAAAAATTATCGAAGCACAGGTAAGACACGCCAACGTGATATAAAGCCAGAATCTATGAGGATATAAAACTACAATTTTTATTATGCATGACTTCGTACTATATATAATAAAATATTGAATTTATATTTATAGGTATACTGGAGCACATGAGAACTATATTTGAATATACAGAATATCCGATCTTAATTCATAAATATAAATAATTCTTGAACTACATTTAAATGCTTTTTAGAAGGATTTGAGACATATATGGCCGTCAATTTCACTTTTTTAAATGTAATTATACAAATTTTTAATGCATCTCATTATTACATTATATTATATTATTACTACACATTAGTAATAATATATTTATGACAAATATCATACTCCTTTTTACATGTTTAATAGAAATATTTATGTACGAAATGTGTAAAATTATTAAATATATTGATGTATGTAAATATAATATATATGTTTATATATTATGGTTATTATTACATGCACATATGAATGTAATAATTGTATTGATCATTTATGGATATTCTGTATATTGTTCTCCATACTCCTAGGGTAGTTTCATGTATGTTTCAAAGAACGTAACATCGAATCATTTTTAATTGCTTCAATTCAGTTTTAAAGAATATAATAATTGAATTTTTGATACCTGTAACATAAACAACATTTCGAAGTATGGTGTCTGGTTCAGTGCGTCATTGACCCCCATATTAAACGGAAGTATCCTATCCGTAGCATTTTTCCCTATGTTTGCTGAAAAATATTTTATATTATATATATATAATATGAAATATATGAAATATAAAAATGATGTAAAATAATGACATTATAAAATAATTTTTTGTAGAATTTCGTTACAAATTCTGAAGAATATGTTTTGCATAATGTATTATTATATTCGTTAGGTTTATTATTTTATTACTTAGCATACTATTTTGAGATTTAGAATCAGATTATTAAATTTATTATTAAAAAATTCGTATTTTTGTAATTTTTCCACGTTTTATCGATATACAGAAACCTCACCTAGTACGGGTACTATCACATACGAAATAACTGTTCCCTGAGCGAAGAAAGTGAAGATGAATATCAGCAGTGCACAGATACGACTACAAGTATGCATGATCCTTCGTTCACATGAGTCATAATTCGTGTGCCAGAAGTTTGTATTAGCATACTGAATTAAGGTGAGTAGCTTCTTTCTATGCACAAACGAAATCAAAATCTTGCAAAAAACTATCAGAGATAAAACGTTGCACGCCATATAAACAGTATCCTGTAATCAAAGATTAAAAGGTAGAAATTGCAGGCTACTTTTATGCATTATTAGTTCCTATTGTTAGTGTCTAGAAATTTGTCTATGACAGTAATTGAGGAATCAAGGGTGAAAGTATACTATTGTTATACTATTAAAATATATATGCTAATATTATATTATTATATAGAAAATAAATATTAATCTTAACCCTTCATTACCAAGAAGAAGTCATTCACGTGTAATCTGACGAAGTTGGATTAGCACAAATTTGATTAATCTGATTTTTTATTTTCATAATAGTTTTCGATAATTAAAAAATTCTTCGAACTGGAGGATTATGGAAGATCTCAAAATTGGCTACCATATTTGATCACACTTCGTTTAACTATTTTCAATAAAAATATACACAAAGTTCTCTTGTATCGAATTTTGGGGATTCCGGGTTTTAAAAGCAAGCAAATAATTTACAAAATAATTTCCACAATTTCGGAATTCTGGGAATTGGACAATTTTTGAGAACCTCACAGTTAATTTCCAAATTTGATCTTGTTTCTCTCAACTATTTTTCAATAAACTATGTACATAATTCTGTTCCATTCACGAAACCTCGGTTCTTGGAATAAAACAATTTTTCTTACGTAACAAAACCACCACTCGATTAGAGAAATTATAAATAATTAATTAAAATTAGAGAATTTTGGAAGATTTCAAAATGAGAATTTCCAAAACACCAATCGATTGTCATATTTTAAGAACATTTCACTTGTCAATCACGCCGAAGCGTCCCCTAGAGAAGTACATATCCCTGGTCTCGATCATCAAGGCGATGATGATCGTACAGAATGTATAAAATATACAGATCTTCCTTCGACGTTCCTCGTCATAATTAGACGCAAGCCAAAAGCCAACGATTCTCATGTAAATGGACGTGATGCTGATCGATAGGTCTCTGACATCCTTCAATCCCATGCTGAGCTTCCAATGATAGAATACTCCAATCTCTAATTCCTTCTGGAGCCTCCACTTCGTGTGAAGTTTCATTAATACAGGGTTCTTCTACTGCAATTACCATGATTGGCTCGTTGTCCTCTTCGTTTCTTTTACTTCAAGTAAGTACTTGACAACTGGTTATTTCGAACATCATCATAATTGCTGTTCCATGGTGTGAAAATGAAAGGGGAACGATGCCTCGGATCGATGAATTATACACGGTAGTAGGGGTGTGGTGGATGATGGTAGAGGGGAGTGCAAGTTTAACAGTTCAGCAGTTATGTTGTCTGAGATCCTCGAAAGATATAATGCAGTGTAATTGGATCACATGGTTGTTGTCCATCTTGGATAAGAAGATGAAATTTGGGAAAATTAATTGTAAGAATCATTTTTGGTTACACTCTCCTTGTTATACTTTGTGCTGTTTTTCGGTCAAAGGAATTTCGATTTCATCAAAATTTTGATCAAAGGAATTCTACTCTTTGATTATTTTCACATTTTAGCGCCAAAATATTCATGCTTAAATTTTTGTATTCAAAATAAGCTTACGTGTTTTGTTTTGTGGAGTTAAGGAATATGGCAAGTGAATAATTTATTTATTGATAATGACATGCCTGTTTTGAACTTTATATATCGTGTGATTATTGTTTACTTTTTATGAAATTTGGAAACAGGAAAGGAAAATTTGGAAGTAGGAAGGTAGCTGAAATTGTCTGAAATTATTATAAAAGAGAAAGGGAAAGGTCGAGAATGTATGTACATTAATATGTGTTGTGTTAATTGCATGGGTAAATAGAATTTTTGAAATTATTTATACCGCACAAGAAATTATTTTTATTTTTCATTTATTATTATTATTTAAATTAATTTTTTATGAAATTATTTATACCGTTCAAGATGGTTGTCAATCCGTTAATCTTGAAACAAGTGGTAAAGATCAATATTTTACGTAACTTTTGTTATTCAGTGTTTCAATATGCAATTGCACAGAGTAAATTTATTATTATTTTCTAAGTATAATAATAACAATTGTAGTGTGGACAAATTTATGGATGCATGGGTGTTTCATTGACTTTGATCTTGGAACAAGTGGTAAAGATCAATATTTTAAGTGACATTTGTTATTCAGTGTTTCAATATGCAATTGCACAGAGAAAATTTATTATTCACTTTGTGCAACTTTCACATTGTTGTCATTCAACTGTCAGTAAATTTTAATTTGAAATTGTAAATAAAGCATAGGACAGAATGAAATCCTTAAATCGCGTGATCCAAAAATACATTGTCTGTGGTCATACTTCGTATATAATATAAGCAACTATCATTGTACAAAATCTCGTTCCAAGAAAGATATATTTGAAGTTTGATCTATCACCTACATTACGAAGAGCAATGGTGACGCACCTAGTCATTCGACATTTTCAAAGCTAAAAAATGTTATTGTTTATATTTCCATTACTAATAACAAACGTACAACATATATAGAAAAATTACGTTAGTCGCTTTCTATTTTCACAGACGACTGTTTTAGCAGGGTAAAATACGACATTGCTGTGCTGAGGGCCTGTAACAAATAAAATATCAAAATTTGATAATGTAGGGTTGAGGGGGAGGGGTCATACAACATACAGGTTTGAATAGCTATATATATTCTCTCAACATTTCTATATAAAATGAAACTGTAATAATTACCGCAGTGCAAGTTTCGAGAGAAACAGGGAAAAATCCACCAGCTGTTAGGAAGCAAACCCTGTTTGCTCTTACGATGATAAATATCAGATTCTTCCGCACTTCGATACCAACTTTATCCATTGGTAAGTTCGCCCATGGTCCTGCGAATATTGCGTCACCGACGTCGAGACTCTGCTGTATCAGATCATCGCAGCTATATGTGAACATTAGAAGCTGGCACAAAGTGCCAACGAAGTTGAGTACCAAACTGAATTTTCTCGAAGGATGTGTGTCCACCTGTGATATAATTAGTATAATTAATATCTGTTATTATAATAATTTTAAGAAGTCAATGAAATGATTGTGAAGCAGGAAATTACTTCCTTTTTTGGCTTAAGGGATGACACAGAGATTTTTCTATCTTTGTGGATTAAACTATACGTAAATGCAAGTTGAAACATATGCATACCATTATTGAACCAAAACTAAAATCGTTCATTGGAGGGAACAAATGAATTTAACTATAATAGCCAAACTATTTTCAAATGTGTACATTTCACGATAAGTAGGAGAGCAATAATTATTGTTGGAAATTAGCTACGCCTATGCAACGATGGTGACAGATCTGTTTGAGGTTGCGGGCCAATACCGACCTTTGAATCTCAAGATACTATGCAGGCATCAAGGGGTCGGTTTTTGGGGTTTAAAAGGGCCTGCTGTCCCTCACTGCTCTCACTCTCAAATCCGGAACAGTGCAGATAGCTTACATATTGTGACCCACAGTGGTGTGAAAAAGACTCTCGTGTTTTATTTGTATATTCGCATAAAGTGTATACATTTCACTTATATCAAACTTTATACATCCAATTGCTGTACAACTGAATACGGTTACTTCCCTGTACGCTAATCATTTGGACTTCCTTCCCGAAATTCCCAATAATTATCAACACAGAAAATGTCACAGAACTCATAATATTGACCAAACACAGAATTCATAATATTGAGCAAAAAGTCACTATTTCCTAACAATATTAAAATTAAAATATCTCCTAAACTAATGACTTTTTAACATAAATGGGTTAATACTTTTTCATAAAGAACACGAAGGAGCATCAGTTGATGTAATAAAATGTACGTAGGATACCATTTCCAAAGAAATCGCGAATCGGCTAGTGCCAACAAAAACAAATTATAAATCGATCAATATTTTCTAGAAGCAAATGGAAAAGATATTTTAGGTAACAAAATTAAGTTGCGTGGCTCCTACTAGATGGCAATATGTGGTGACCCGCCCTGTATATCAGAATTCGTTATTAGTAAATCTGCTAGTAATGATTTAATAAATAATTTAGTACAAAAACGAAGTTCACAGATGATAACTATGGAAGATCGTCCAAACTATATCTGAAGAATTTTAAAAATTCATTAGTAGTTTAGATAACCGTGAAACGTAAATTACGACAATGAAAAATCATTTGGGATCATTCTGTTTTCAAATAGCAATACGTCAAGAATAATTAGCAAATAATTAGCAAATAATTAGCAAATAATTAGCAAAGGAAATATTAGACAGTATTGAAGCAAGAAATATTATACTATATAGACTATTATAGAATATTATACAATATAGAAATATGATACGACAGAAATATTAGACGATATTATTGTTGAAAATACAATTACACTAACCAGGAACAATTGAAATCCCACGAGGCATATTACCGCGGCGAAGAACAGTATCTGTCCAAGCACCATCATTGTGAATATATTATCCAAGTTCTTGCAATAATTAGTAAGCGTTTGGTGGTGTCTCACGCAACCTTTCAACTTCATATTGCACTCGATCGCGTAACCCGATAATTTCGCATCCTTTCTGTCGATCATTTGATCCTTAACCGCATCGTCTAAATACCTCAGTCTGTGTTGCAATATTCGAAACTGACTGGCCACGTGAAGGTTCAAGATGCACAACAGATTGTCGAAACAAATGTAACACACACCGACATGGTACACACAAAGTATCTGAACAAAAGAAAGTTACTTTCAACGATTTTTATATTACCCGATATTAATTTTTATCAATGTCATTCTGCCATGTGTTTCGAGACTATACATAAGTATACAGTCACGAAAAAAATTATTTGAAAGAAACACGATCTCATGACTCGGTTCGCAATTATACGAGAATGTGAATTGATCGTAAAATCATAGAAACAGATATAAATTATAGATCTCCGTACCTGTATAATAAAAATTACTTCGAAGTAGGGTGACAATGATACAGGGAGATCTACCCACAAATTGAAAGGCAATATCCTATCAGATTCATTCTTTCCCATATTTTCTGAAAGGTAAAGTAGGTGAGAGTAAAATAAAATATCTAAGTCTTAGTTATGAATAAAATAAAATAAAAATAAATAAATAAAATAAAGTATCTTAGTCATTATATCTTAGTCGAAGTTATGGTAGAGAAAGAATATTTTTTAAAAAGCTGACGTACCTAGAATAGGAGTCACCATGTAACCAGTGCAAGTGCCCTGAACACAGATGTTGATGATGATAATGAGGATAATGCATAATCTCTTGCACTTTTCTACGATTAGTTGCTCATGGGGATCGCAGCTTGGACACCAGAAGTTCTTCTGGGTGAATTTAATCAACTTATAGAACTCGGTTCTGTGCGCGTACAAAACACTAACTTTTAAAACGACGATCATCAGGTACAGGTTGTTGCATGAGATGTAAACGCTGTCCTGAAATCATAAAAATACCTGTTAAAAGTGAAACTGTAGATAATTCATTCCAAATAAAATTCAGTTAAGAAATTCATTCAAATTAAATTTTGGTCATGGTGTTTTCCAAGTCATCGAAGTTGAAAATATTCTCATATTTCCATATTCAATTTTTCACAATATTTTATCAAAAATTGTTAGAATTTTTCCAAAAGATAGTAAAATATTTATATTATTAATTTCAGGCAACTATATTTGTTAAATACAATTCCAAAAACACGTTTTCCCTATTCTGCATCTTCTTCGAGAGCCTTATATTTCTATTTCTGTTTTCAATTAATTGTTACTTATTCTTTTCTGTTGTTATGTAATTATTTTTATTATTCCTTATTGTCGACGAATAGGAAAAGCATTTTATGACAGCGTGGATTAGTAAAAGCTTGCGAATACATACGACGAAATTTCCCCAGGTGAAGTAGATATCTCTGCAACCAATGCAGACGATGGTGAAAAGCGCGCCGGCTGTGTAAACCAACGCAAAGTCTCTCCGACGCTGTTCATTTTGATCAGCCGCCAGCCAGAGACCCACGGATTTCATCAGAAGACTTGTCCAAATTATCGAGATATCTTTATCCTGCTGTTGATGCATGGCGAGTGTCGTATTGCTTTCGAAGACGCAAAACGATCTGCGATTTCATGCGAACTTTTTCCAATTAATTTTCTACGAGGCATCAGATGCTATGGTCTTTAATCAGCGTGACATGTCATTCGTCCGTCTGTTACGGATTGCATGTCCACTTCTTAAGTTTCCTTGCTTCGTACAGAACGTGTAGGTGCCACAATGGAATTGTTAGTGCATTATTCATGACCTGAGGTAAGCCGTCGGGATATGCTGGGTGATATATTCGTTTCAGTGTGAGATGGCCACAGCTATTCAATTGCTTTCAATAATAACTTGATAGGTGTAGTAACTACTCTGCAGCTCGATTGATTTCTTAACTTCAGTCAACATGGCTGGATCATATTTCAGGTTACTATATTTTCAGAGCAGTTATACTTCAGTGTACTTCTTTCTACTTTTTATAATAGTGTGTCTCAATGAGGATATATTTAAACATTTGGAAGATTAGGTTGCAGGGAACGTTTCTAATGCTGCTTCAATGTGGAAAGATGAGTATTGATCGGATAATTGGAAATTGAATCTACCAAGTGGTGACTTTGAGACATTTAATTGATAATACATACATATATTCTTGTAGTGGAGAACGTCTCCTTCTTCCTCGAGGTTGACACAGATTTACGGGCCACAGCATACACTTTGTTCGACAAACTGCCAATCAGGCGGCTCATCTTTTGATGCAGCTCGTGACCACGTTTTGGCTTCGAAAGGTCGTTCTCTGGTTGTGTTCAAATATCGGTTATAAACCGATGTGATTTTTTGGATTATCTGTGCAATTTTAGCGACTAGTTGAGGTCCTTAAAAAAAGTCTGCGTCGTGACTGACTATCACACCACCACTGATCTAGGGTAATTCGCAGGGGTAGGTCTCTGACTAATACCAGCGAAGAAGCTTGTAAATTAAGTTAAGGGGGTCAAAAGTAGCGGGTGTCATCCCCATGTTGTTGAAGTCAGCTGGCTGGTTGCAGGGTATCTTTGTGTGGCGGCGATGCTAAAAGGGACGAAAGGAGAAGGAAGGGGACGAGTATAGTGTCCCGTTGTCTACTAGTGGACTCATCAGTAAAGCTTTCTAGTAGTCCCTTAGACTGGGATACAATTGGAAGATTTGGAAGTTATATATATACGAAGCGGAGGTTCTCCGAGAACTTGCGAGAAAGTCCTCGAACCTCCTTGAAGCCGGAATCCGTCTAGCGGCGAGAGTGAGAATGACGGTCGCTACAGTTCTTATGATAATCTCAATCAAGGTATTTACTATACATTACAACTGCTTTTATTTGCGTATTGAAATTTAAGTTTCACTGTCAGTCGAACACAATGTATATGATATTATATAATTGTTGTCTTTAGATATTGTGATTGATTGTTATTTTATATTATTCTTGACGGATGATTGCTACAGGAATCTTGACTGATCTCCAACTCACACCTAGTAAATTTGTGATTTGTAGAATTGAAAGTTCTTTGGCTGATGGAATCATTAATGAAATCCTTTGGTGGGTCTAATAGTTCAAGCATCTACTGGGGGATGGAACGTCTGGTGGCGATTTTCATTTTCTGAACAGGTACTAATTAAAGTCACGATGAAAGTATTAAATTGTTACGATAATATTTATGTGATTTTTATTCATTTTATCGCGTAAAAATAATATTTAAAGACATTCAATATAATTTTTAAGTCATATATCTTGCATTTTTAGATAATGGAACTTATTATTATTCTTCTGAAATTTATTTTATAATAGATGCAATGCGCCGATTGCTGTTATTTGACCCTGTTATGAAATAACCGCGAGAAAGAAAGTATTAGTATAATCGGGTTGCAATGATAAGTGCAAGGAGTACAAACATTGAACGATTTATTACAAATAATTTATAATTGCGATGTAGTTTGCAGGAAACATTCATTTTATTTAAAGTATTCACATAATATTTTGCGATGGTTGCATGCTTGGTTAATTATTCTTTCGAATTTCTCATTGAGGATTCCCTCATAAGCGTGAAGTACGATAGTGTAGAACTTATAAGCTGTAACATGAAGTATCGGTATCGTTATAAATGTCTTATAAAATTTGTAGAATTTTGAATATTACTGTGAATTATAATTAATACACTTTAAACGTGTATTTAAATATTCATGTATAATATATGTATTAATATAATAACAATACCATAATGATACGATGTAAATAATTAAAACATAACATTATTGTATGATAGTTTTAGGAAATAGACATAAAGTACAGAAAGACCCCTTACGGTCTTTTAATAATCAAATCTTAAATACCGAGCAGTACGTGTCCTGATGTTTGTTTCTTTATGTGTTTACTGTATATTCTAGTCGAATTTCTATGTTTCCTAGAGTCACCGGACACGAGGCATCGTTGAAAAGACTATTTAGGCTATTAGGCCTCGACACTTAGGATTTGGCCGTAAAATGGGCCGTAGGAGGTCGGGCCTAGGCTAAGTACGATACGTTGCCTCGCGTAACCCCGGCTTTCCCCGGCATAACCCTTCGGAGGAGCTAACTCAGAGGGAGGAGTCTTCTCCACCCTTGACTTTGGTGGAGGCAGTATCTCCTCCTTCGGGGAGGCGCTTGCCTTCTAGACGGGATTTAAAAAGGCCCGTCCTGGAAGACAGAGGATTTAGTTGTCAGTCAGCTGTCAAATCGGTCAATTAGTTAGTAGTCGGGTTAATTAAAAGTTAGTTAAGAGTTAGTCAGTGAGTTAGTTAGTGGTTGTTAGTTAGTCAGTAGTCGGTTAAGAGTCAGTTAAGGGTTTGTCAGTGAGTTAGTTAGTGGTTGTTAGTTAGTCAGTAGTCGGTTAAGAGTCAGTTAAGAGTTAGTTAGTGCGAGGATTAGGCAGAAGAAGGGTAACATACAGCAGTAGATGTCTGCAAAGTCACAGGAAAGAATCCTCCAGCAGACAAGTAACATGGTTGCAACGACTTCATTATCATAATCCTCATATCCTTTCGTAGCTTCCTGCCAGATTCTGTCATTGGCAACACTTCCCACCAGACGGAATACGTTGCCATGCCGATATTTGTACTTTCTTCCATCAAACCGTGACAAACGTACGTGAAGAAAATTATATAGGTGAAGTTACCGGCTATGTGGAAGATGGAAATGAAGCGCGTCAAAATAGACACGTCTGCCTGTGTACATAACACATGATTAAGACAGTTGTGCTTAACACTTGTGCTAACTGACTGCCACGTTGGTCATATATGACCGGCCACGGTCTCTCCTGTGACGCCATAGTGGTCATTGGTGACCAGAGCACTTGAACTAATCACAATTGTAAAAATTGAATGAAAATTGACAGTTTGTCGACTGTCAACCGTTACCAAGGCGCCACCGGTGGTCACCCGTGACTACCAATAACATAAACGCTTCATTGGGTACGAATGTTGTCTTATATCACCAATTTATTATCATTTTGCCATTATACGCTTTCGATAATAAAAATACTCCCAAAAAGCGAAACAAGTGATTTCAGCGTGGCAGTCAACGGGTTAAACAATATAATATTCTGATATAAAATGTTGACAATGTGTTTGTGAAAGTCTTGAGGAATATTATTTGGAATATTTTCGAGAAAGTAATTTGAATGACTAATTTACTTGAAATTTATACTTTTTTCAGATAAATGAGCCATTCACTGCACACATTGATTTACTCCATAAAACAAAAAGTGGAGAAAAGCAATGAAATAATGTACAATGTTTTTTAAAATTCATTTTATAATTTAAATCGAAATAAATATCGTAGAATGCATAAATACAAATGCAACTTTCATCTAACGGTATATAAAATTGATAAGAAGAAATAGCCAAAAGGTAATCGTTAGTAATGTTACCATTTTTATGTTACTGGAAGAGTTAATCGATTTGGCGAGTGAAAAAAGTAATAAATTTTAATTTTACTAAATTTTGCTTAAATTCTGATAAGACGGCACTAAAAAATTCACCGTTATCATTCCTGGCTATCTAGTGCATTTGAGTTGCATTATTGCAACGATTTACATTAGAGTACGGAGTTAATAAAAATGACCTCTGAAATAAATTATTTATTATTCAGTGGCCAACAAATTTTTGTCGTTTAATGGTGTTAATCTTAATTATCAGGAAAAGTTATTATAAATATAAAAAGTTATGACTATACCAAGTGCGTTGACACTTAAATTTAAGATTTTTCAAAAAGTGGAGTTAATCGAATTGTGCAGTGAGCGGCACACAAATATGGCTCCACGGTACTTTAACTAATGAGAAAAATGAATACTTTGTTCGCACGTACCAAAAGTATCTCGTATGTGTGGAGGCACATTAGTATGCTGAAGGCGACAACGTCACTGAGGATCGGCAGCATGTAAACGAACTTGAGCTTTTCACAGAATTCGATCAGCAGTTGATGCTGCTTGATGCACTCCTTCAAGGCTATATAGCAATTTTCGGTGAAGTCGATAGAATTCGTTTGTTCGCCGAAATCCTTCCACAGGTTTGACAGCTTGCGTTGCAGCACGCGGAATTGGTAGATAACGTGCATATTCATGACGCATAAGAAATTGTCGTGGCAGACATAGGTGGCGCCAATTTGTTGCAGAGTTAGTGACTGTAGGATTGGTACAGTAAATATGAAATCATAGCAGTATGTCGGTATATTATCGTCTTCTCAGGTGAATATTAGGTATTTAATTAGCCTATCACTGGTCGCTATGAAATATATTTGCAAGTGAACAGATTTCACGGATGTAAATGAAGATTTAGGATACCTGAAGTGCAAATATTAGTTCGTAATACGGAGTTTCGCTTAGAGGCAGATCGATCCACATTTTCACCGGATGTGTCCTGTCTGACTTATTCCTTCCGATGTTTTCTGGAACATTGTGGACGATTTGTGTAGCATTTTAATTTTCATGGACTACGAATTTTTATATATATTTCTTTCTATTAATTACTTTTTATTAATTAGTTTTTGGACAAGATTTCAATTGTCTATTTCAGATAATTGGTTCATAGTGACAAAATTAATATTTTTAATTTAATTTCTAATTAAGGGCAAATAGGAATTACTGCCCTTTATAGAGTATACCCTGCTATTGGATTACCTGAAAAATCGATATCTCGTAGAGTTATTAGGATCACATTATAAATAGTTGCTGATGGGATCGTACCAACTTTTTATGAAGTTAAGGAATATATTATTACCTAATGGTAATTTTGTAATTATTAAATAATGGTTATAATTAATATTATTATTCTTCTATTTTATTATACTAATTATTATTACCGTTATTACCATTGTTACCATTATTATTTCACTCATTTATTATTAATTAGTATTACCAAGAAATATACTTTTACTTTTATTTTACAAATACGTTCATTTCAGAAATATAATAGTTTCGAAAATATATCATATACCAATTCCAAAAGTATCGTATATAGTCTTTCCAAATGATCATCTTTTTTTCATAACTTTATCAAGGATTGACTTACTCACCATAGATCGGTACAATAATATAAAAAGCCCAAGTGGCTTGCGCTATACAGCATATACTTATTGTCCACAAGTTGCAAAATTCTCGACACTTTTTCAACAGCATTCGTTCCTCGTGGTTATACTTGAAATGCCAGAAATTCTGTCGCGCAAGTATTATTATATCGTTTAAAACTGTACAACGAATTCTGATCGCAATTGTCTTAAATAATGCCAGGCTAATGCATAGTACATTAGTCATAGCGTAGCACCAATGCTGAAAAAATTGAATTCCAAAATTTATTTCAATATCTATACAACATATAGTCAGTTTCAAAAATAATTGAAAACATATGCAATTTGATTCTCATCTTCGGTACCTTAAATAAAAATTTCAGAACTTCGTATGATTTAAGTTACTAAACACTTTTCTCAAAATACGGTCGTTGTACTCACGTTCAAGTCTCCCCAAGTGTAGTACACGTCAGTTAAATTGATATACATAGCATAAACATGCAATAGAATGGTGTACGACATGGCAAACCTTCTTCGACTTTCCTTGGTGTTGCTCTCGTTCATCCACGTTCCCGTGAGTCTCAGCAGAAACTGTGAAGTCTTAATCGATATATCGGTATATTGCATCGAATGCATGGCGATTCTTTATCGAGATCTCATATTTTAAATTACTCGACAACCGTCAGACTTGAAGGCAAAATGTCCCAGTCTATCGAAGCTTGATGTGACATTGCTTTGATCAATTTGAGACATTCATTTGATGATCGTTTGATGACGATTATTTCTATGTTACTCCCTCCAACAATCTATTTCTCGTACGATGCAATGGGAATAGGGTTATGGACAGATGGAAGATTATCGTTGAATTATGTATGCAAAAAGAGAGTCACAATTTTCACGCTCTACGACTGCAGATGTACGACCAGTAATTTGTTGCGTATCGATTATTATACCGTCAAAAGCATGTACTATAGCGCATGATCTCTCGGGAAAGAAATATGATGTGATCGGGGAAATACGTTTGATTCTTTGCACGTAGTGAGAAGTCATGAGATAGCCTACGTAATATATTTCAAGATCAGTTGGATAATGTGTATATACGTGTGATATGAATCAATGACATAAATTGGTGTATTTAAAAGTGCTATTGAAGAGATACCGTGGGTATTGAAGAACGAAGACACTATTTCGTGTTAATACAAGCTTCATTACTCGAAGGGGGCTGGTGCAGAGGACACGGAAAGCTCTTCGAAAAGCTCTGTCCCGCACTCTAATCGCGAAGGAACTGGCTTTTCCAAGGTCCAGCCTAAACGTTCGAGATGGTCTGCGCGTCTGCGAGTAATGGAAGGCTGGGCGAAAAGACATAATCCAGGCGCTCATTGACTCGGGGCCCACGATGTCTCCAGAAGTGGAAATAATATCTAGGCTTTCCTTTTCCGCATCGACGGATGCATTCCTACACTATAATTTAACACGTTGAGTGCTACGTCAGTCCCTAGGGACTGACAGTGAACTTTCCGTTCACTTTCCGTGACAGAAGACTTTTCGTTTGGACGGTGTGGATTCTAGGGACTGACAGCGAATTTTTCGTTTGATCATCATCGGTGCGTAAGACTGGCATTGTCAAGGGTTAAATTATCAATGACAATTAATATATTGTAAAAATTTAATTCCCTCTGCTAAAGTAAATCTTTACACTTCCGTCGCTTTTTTCGACTGATTGTTTCTTGGTGATCGCCTTTTTGCCTTTCTGGCATTCTCCACCCCATTGTCTTCTGATTATAATTTGTATATTTGTGCATTGGCTGTACCATTCTCACAGCCCAAACGACAAAGTGAAACAAAGTAATCTTCTGCTCATACCCTTCAGTATACTTGAGAGCTCGGCATCAAGTGCTTGCTAGCTGCCGCCTGAGCGGAAAGTATAGCAAAATCGGCGCCGCACTCAACGTGTTAACGAAGGATGAGGATTACTCCTCTGTTCATTGAGGACTGAAAATGGATAAGGATTTGCTCAGTGATCGTTGTAAATGTACATTACAGTACATGTATTACAATTGTAGAATATTTTTAGTCTCAAGGCTCGTGATTGTATATATGAAAGCTAACTGAGTACGTTCCTCGAAAAAGGGCGACACTGAACAACGTCTTGGGTTCGACTCGAGCGAGTGACCAAATGCAAGAATTGTGTGGGCAGAATTAATTATGCGTTATGAAATAACTGACAGAAAGGAAGGATTGGTACGATCGAGTCGCAATTATAAACGGAAAGAGTAAGTACATGACAATCCATAATAAATGTGAAGCACGCATTAATAACTTTACATGATTCACTGAATGGTTTATTATACGTTATTATTAGTATTGACGTAAATATTAAGTAATATTTATTTTATTTAATGTATTATTTACATCAATGTGTATTAAAACAAAGATTAACATTTCGAGAAGCATTTTAACTTAAGAATAACTAAAAAATTTGCTTTTTAGAAGAAATAGAAGGTTTATCAAGCGATGTTTATTAATTAATAAAATAAACTTGAAACAGGGTTGTAAGGCTCGGCTCCCACCATCACTAGACGTCGGTTGTGGCAGGTATCCTCGGTGGTAGGTAGCTAGAAGGGATGGTTGGAAAAGGAAGGGATGCGTTTCGTCCCGGGCCTGCTAGCGGACTCATCAGTAAGGCTTGCTTAGCAGGCCCTGCCTTAAACACTGGGGATACTATTGGAAAGACGGGAAGTTATATATATAGGAAACTGGGAGTTTCCCGAGGACTTGCGGGAAAGTCCTTGAAGGCGGAATCCATCTAGTGGCGAGGGCGAGAATGATGGTCGCTACAGGGTAATAATCGTAATTCCCCTATTTTGTCAATCGACTTTTGTGTATAGTATTAAAGCTTCAATTGGAGATTCGACTGGTGGTTATGTTTCCTGGAGTAGTTATATTCATTTCTGAGCATTAAAACACTGATAATAAAAATTGCATTACCGATACTACACTAATTTACACTACCACATAAATGAATGCATCCTAGGGTAATTACTCGTTTGCCATCTTGATTGAGAACTCCCTCATGAGTGTAAAGTATGATAGTGTCGAACTCATAAGCTGTAACAAGCAGTTTCTGGTATCATCATAAATTTCTGCATGACAGTTTTATCTAATACTATAACGAGTTATAATTATCGCATTTGAAATGTGCATTTAAATATACACATGTAATATACGCATTGATAAAATACATGTAACTTATATAACGTATATGTCTATAATATTAATACTAACACAATTAATTAGTATAGCATTAATATCAGATTTATTCTACATTGTACAATTAATATTATATGCCATAGTTACTATTGACATAAAACAAAATTAAAAAGCAGGTATATTCGCATAAAAAGTTACTAAAAGATTAAAGTATTTAAGGACAAGAACAATTTTCAATACTGTCCATGAGTATCTCGAAATTTTCATTAATATCTAGTAACCATCACTAGTTACAAAAACTTGCAAGTCAATAATTAAAATCAACTCTGGTGCACCATTTGCCATTTGTATAAATGGCAAATCGCAAACTTTAATTAATTACCAAGAAATGAACTTATTATCGTAATAATTAGTATCGTCTAAGGACACTAAACGATACTAATCTACTGAAGAAGGAGGGCCATAATAGAGGAAGCTAGTGAAAGTGAGTGGACAAGACGAAAACCAGACCGATAGGAAAAACGTTCGAAATACCTTCGGCGACCGAATTGGTAAGGGAAGTTTCAGGAAAAATTTGAAAAAGCGAGGACCAAAATTATTTACCAAAAATGCAAAAGAAAAATAATATAAAAAATGTGAAGGACTAAGCACAAAACGAGATACATACAGTACTAGATGTCTGCAAAGACACAGGAAAGAATCCGCCAGCGGACAAGTAACACGGTCGCAACGACTTCATTATCATAATCCTTATATCCTTTCGTAGCTTTCTGCCAGGTTCTGTCATTGGCAAGACAGACCACCAGCCGGAATACGTTGCCATGCCGATATTTGAGCTTTCTTCTATCAAACCGTGGCAAACATGTGTGAAGAAAATTATGTAGGAAAAATTTCCGGCTATATGGCAAACGGAAATGAAGCGCGTCAAAATAGACACGTCTGCCTGTGTACATAACACGTGGTTAACGTAGTTGCGCTTAAACGATATAATATCCCGGAATACAGAAATTTCGCAAACGTGTGTTTGTGAAATTTTGAGGAATATTATTTGGAATATCTTCGCGAAGGTAATTTCAAGAAATAATTTGCGTGAAACTTATACTTTCTCGATTGACTATAGTCCTACGGCACGATAGCTTATAGGAACAACGGATACTTTGTAGTAATAATCGTAATTCCCCTATTTTGTCAATCGACTTTTGTGTATAGTATTAAAGCTTCAATTGGAGATTCGACTGGTGGTTATGTTTCCTGGAGTAGTTATATTCATTTCTGAGCATTAAAACACTGATAATAAAAATTGCATTACCGATACTACACTAATTTACACTACCACATAAATGAATGCATCCTAGGGTAATTACTCGTTTGCCATCTTGATTGAGAACTCCCTCATGAGTGTAAAGTATGATAGTGTCGAACTCATAAGCTGTAACAAGCAGTTTCTGGTATCATCATAAATTTCTGCATGACAGTTTTATCTAATACTATAACGAGTTATAATTATCGCATTTGAAATGTGCATTTAAATATACACATGTAATATACGCATTGATAAAATACATGTAACTTATATAACGTATATGTCTATAATATTAATACTAACACAATTAATTAGTATAGCATTAATATCAGATTTATTCTACATTGTACAATTAATATTATATGCCATAGTTACTATTGACATAAAACAAAATTAAAAAGCAGGTATATTCGCATAAAAAGTTACTAAAAGATTAAAGTATTTAAGGACAAGAACAATTTTCAATACTGTCCATGAGTATCTCGAAATTTTCATTAATATCTAGTAACCATCACTAGTTACAAAAACTTGCAAGTCAATAATTAAAATCAACTCTGGTGCACCATTTGCCATTTGTATAAATGGCAAATCGCAAACTTTAATTAATTACCAAGAAATGAACTTATTATCGTAATAATTAGTATCGTCTAAGGACACTAAACGATACTAATCTACTGAAGAAGGAGGGCCATAATAGAGGAAGCTAGTGAAAGTGAGTGGACAAGACGAAAACCAGACCGATAGGAAAAACGTTCGAAATACCTTCGGCGACCGAATTGGTAAGGGAAGTTTCAGGAAAAATTTGAAAAAGCGAGGACCAAAATTATTTACCAAAAATGCAAAAGAAAAATAATATAAAAAATGTGAAGGACTAAGCACAAAACGAGATACATACAGTACTAGATGTCTGCAAAGACACAGGAAAGAATCCGCCAGCGGACAAGTAACACGGTCGCAACGACTTCATTATCATAATCCTTATATCCTTTCGTAGCTTTCTGCCAGGTTCTGTCATTGGCAAGACAGACCACCAGCCGGAATACGTTGCCATGCCGATATTTGAGCTTTCTTCTATCAAACCGTGGCAAACATGTGTGAAGAAAATTATGTAGGAAAAATTTCCGGCTATATGGCAAACGGAAATGAAGCGCGTCAAAATAGACACGTCTGCCTGTGTACATAACACGTGGTTAACGTAGTTGCGCTTAAACGATATAATATCCCGGAATACAGAAATTTCGCAAACGTGTGTTTGTGAAATTTTGAGGAATATTATTTGGAATATCTTCGCGAAGGTAATTTCAAGAAATAATTTGCGTGAAACTTATACTTTCTCGATTGACTATAGTCCTACGGCACGATAGCTTCTAGGAACAACGGATACTTTGTTCACACGTACCAAAAGAATCTCGTACGTGTTGAGGCACATTAGTATACTGAAGACGACAACGTCACTGAGGATCGGTAGCATGTAAACGTACTTGAGCTTTTCACAGAATTTGATCAGCAGTTGATGCCGCCTGATGCACTCCTTCAAGGCTGTATAGCAATTATTGGTGTAATCGATAGAATTCGTTTCTTTGTCGAAGTCCTTCCACAGGCTCGACAGCTTGCGTTGCAGCATGCGAAATTGGTAGATCGCGTGCATGTTTAGGACGCATGAGAAATTGTAATGGCAGACATAGGTGGCGCCAATTTGTTGCAAAGCAATTACCTGTGGGATTGACACACCATTGGTATCCTATAGCGCAGTAAATATGAAATTATAGTATTGTTTCATTATATTATCTTCTTATCAGGTGTAACTTAGTAGTTTGATTAGCCGGTCACTGGTCGTTATGAAATATATTTGGAAATAGATATGTTTCACTGATGCTAATGTAGATTCAGGATACCTGAGTGGCAAATACTATTTCGAAATATGGTGTCTCGCTTAGGGGCAGGTCGAACCACATTTTGATAGGATGTACCCGGTCTGACTTGTTCCTTCCGATGTTTGCTAAAACATTGTGGATGATTTTTGGTGGTCAACTAATTTCTATATACTGTTGGTATTCTCTATTAATTAATTCTTTAATTAGTCCTTAATTGCCTATTTCAAGTCATTAGTCCGTAGTTACAAAATTGACAGTTTTAAATTTAATTGGAATTAAATTCGAACAGGAATTACTCTTCCTTGTGGACTACATACTGCGTTGGTATTGCCTCAAAAATGAATATATTGCAGAATAATTAGGGTTGTGTTATAAATGTTTTTTAATGGGAATATGCCAATTTTCGCATGAAATCAAGAAACATATTTATTATTAATTATTATTACCGAAAAATATGCTTCAACTTTTATTTCAGAAATACTTTCATTTCAAACATACACTATTTTCCAAAATACACTTTATTCCTATCCTAAAAACATCGTGTATTGATTTTATATATGATCATGTTTCTATTTATTTTACCAAGAATTATCTTACCATAGATCGGTACAACTACGTAAAATGTCACAGCGGCTTGCGCGAAACAACATATACTTATAGTCCACAATTTGCAAAATTCACAACACTTCCTCAATAGTATTTGGTCCTCGTGGTCGTACTCAAAGTGCCAAAAGTTCTGTCGTGCGAGTATTATTATATCGTTTAGAACCGTACAACGCATTCTGATCGCGATAGTCTTAAATAGTGACAGGCTAATGCACAGTATATTTGACATCTCGTAGCAGCAATGCTGGAACAATTGAATCCCAAAATTTATTTCAGTGTCTGTAAGACATATAGTCGATGACAAATCTATTTGAAAACATATGTAACATGAAATTCATATTTTGTACTTCAAATAAAAATTTCGGAACGTCTTATAGCTTAATTATTAATTGACAGCCAGTGTCACAATGTTCTACAGGATAGAGAATTCACAGATGAATATAGCGTTTAAGATTTACTGATAATAGAGTGAAAGATTACAGAAAATGGAATCCACTTGTAATCAAACATTTTTATAATTTACCTTCTATATTTTTCAAATTTACATCCTTTTATATGGTTCTTAATCACGTTTCTTGATACGGTTCTAAATTTTGGATGCTACGAGGCTGTATTATCGAAATATGCGTGAATTAATTTTCAATTAACCTATCTAATATTAATTTTACCATTATACAGACCTTATACCATTCTAAATATAAATAAATTTTAATTTATATCATATGAAAATTAGGTTTCCCAATCTTTCTAACAATAAGAATATAACAGAGTTTTGAAAATTAATTGTTTCTTCAAACAAAATATTTTGCTATATCCACATTTACAATATATAATTCATTCAATAGAATTTCTGCACATAATGGGCTATGGTCTACGCGATCATGAAAGTTTCATTAAGATTGAAAAACACTTTCCTGCAAATATGATTATCGTACTCACGTTCATGTCACCCCAAGTGTAGTATATATCAGTTAAATTAATATACAGGGCATAAATGTGCAACGCAATAGTGTAGGTCATGGCGAATGTTCTTCGACTTTCTTTTGTGTTGCTTTCCTTCATCCACATTCCCGTGAGTCTCAGCAAAAACTGCGACGTCTTAATCGACATATCAGTGTATTGCAGCGTATGCATGGCGATTCTTTATCGAGATCCCAATTTTTAAGTCACTCGTCAACCGACAGAATTGTAGGAAAAATGTTCCAAACGAACGAAGCTTGACGTGACATTGCTTTGATCAATATGAGACACTCAGTTGATGATCATTTCATGACGGTCAATTTCTATGTCTTCCCATCAAACGAACTGTCACGATTCGCACGTCACACGACTGCAGGTGTACATCCAGTAATTTGTCGCGTATCGATTATTGTATCGTCAAAAACGAGTACTATAGTGAATGGTCACTCGGGAAAGAAACGTGATGTGATCAGGAAAGTATGTCTGATTGTTTGCATATAGTGAGAAATCATGACACGGTATGCGTAGTATATTTCAAGATCGATTGGATCATGTGTGTGCATGTGTGATGTGAAGCGATGACATAAATTAGTGTATTCAAAAGTTCTATAATTTAACAAAGAATGAGGATTACTCCTCTGATGACTGACGATGTATAAAGATGTTCTTAGAACGATGACATAAATTAGTGTATTCAAAAGTTGTATAATTTAACAAAGAATGAGGATTACTCTTCTGCTCACTGAGGACTGAAGATGAATAAATAAAGAATTTCCGCTGTCAATGAAAAACATATTTGCAGTAATGTAATATAAACATATCTTTACTACCATTGTCATTAATGTACTATAAAATTGTATAGTTCCTCGATACTTACAGAAGAATGAACTATATGGAAAGTCTAATCTTTACTTACCGATTGTAAGGATAGACAAAATATGATTGACATTAGCTAATAAATTTAGTATATTTATTATACTCTATATAATTTGTTTTACTAAATTATTACTACACTATGCTTGACATTAGAGGGATTCCTCTGCATTATTTACAGCATTGGAGCATACCATATTTCTTCTTCACATTTTCAGGATTCGAGATGTGGTCTCCAATCGTGGTGTATACACTTGGTCGTACTACGTCGTGCGTATTCCATGGGTACCTGGTGCTACTAGAGGGTCCCATTAAGTGATTTCGTTGACATGCAGGAAGAAAGCAGAAGTGAGTTTACCAGATTTTCTTCTTGATACTGAATCCTGACTATCAAGGAATATGCGAACATCCAATGAGACGTTGATTTTGTTCCTTTTGTCCGTGTCGTAGTGACACATAAATTACTTAAAGCAGCATCATTTACGTTAGTATTGTTTCTGAAGACACAATAAAGAATCTTTTAGCAGTCAAAAAACACGGTGTTTAAGACTTCATGCCAACGAGAATCAAGTCCCTTTTTAACATTTTTCCATACTTGCTCATGCAACAGGATATGTAAAATTAGATGTTCTCGTTTTGGAAAGAAATGAATTGTCAAAATTAAGTCAAAAATTAAATTCCAGGAAAGCATTGGGATTTAAGATTCACTAAAAATGTTTCTATTGCGAAATAAATAGAAGATATGTGATTAATGATGGTGATTAATGAATCAAATCAGCTTGAAATGGGACAATAAACGTAATTCACCTATTTTGGGAATAGACATTCGTGTATAGTATAAAGGCTTCAACTGAAGGTTTGATTGGGGGTTTTTATGGCACATAGAATCGTTATATTGGTTTTATTTCCATGAGTATTAAAACACACATAACAAAAATTGCATTACTGGTATTATAGTACTCTTATATGTTCATATAAATGGGTGCATGGTTGGTCAATTATTCGCTCGCCATTCTCATTGAGGACTCCCTCATCAGAGTGAAGTATGATAGTGTAGAACTCATAAGCTGTAACAAGTAGTTTAAGAATCATTATAAATATCTGCAAAACAGTTTTATCAAATGTTATAATGGAATATAATTATCACAATTGGAATGTGGTAATTAATGTATATATATTAGTACAATATAATAATAATATGTCGATGGTAGAATGTAAATATGCATAACATAACATAATATTAATATTAATGCAATTAATTAATATTAATATTAATTATAACTAACATCATTAATATAATATTTATTCTACATTATATAATTAATAATATATAGCATGATTCCTATTGACATAAAACAACATTAAGAAAACAGGTAAATATACACAAAAAATTAGTACACAATTAAATTATTTAAGGAACACTAGTTACATTATTGTCTATAAGTATCCTGACACTTTCATTGATTTCTAGTAACAATTTCTAGCTATCAAAATTTACAAACCAATAACAAATCAATAAATAAAATTATCACTCATCATCTTTTTATAATAATGGAAAATTGCAAACTTTAATTAATTATCAAGCAATGAAATTACAATAGTATTGTTGTATTAAGGCCCCTAATTGGAGAAGGGCTATAAAAATGGATGGTAGTGAAAGTGAGTGTGCAAAATGAAAACCAGTCCCATCGAAAAAACATTCGACGACGAACAATCTACCAATGGGTATGCAATCTTTTCGGCGACCGAAGTGGTAGGGGTAGTTTTAAAGAAAATTAGAAGCAGCGAAGAACAAAATTATTTACCAAAAATGCAAAAGAAAAGCAATTTAAAAAATGTGGAGAATTAGGCACAAAACGAGATACATACAGCAGTAGTTGTCTCCAAAGACACAGGAAAGAATCCGCCAGCGGACAAGTAACACGGTCGCAACGACTTCATTATCATAATCCTCATATCCTTTCGTAGCTTTCTGCCAGGTTCTGTCATTGGCAAGACAGACCACCAGCCGGAATACGTTGCTATGCCGATATTTGAGCTTTCTTCTATCAAACCGTGGCAAGCACGTGTGAAGAAAATTATGTAGAAGAAGTTGCCGGCTATATGGCAAACGGAAATGAAGCGCGTCAAAATAGACACGTCTGCCTGTGTACATAACACGTGGTTAACGTAGTTGCGCTTAAACGATATAATATCCCGGAATACAGAAATTTCGCAAACGTGTGTTTGTGAAATTTTGAGGAATATTATTTGGAATATCTTCGCGAAGGTAATTTCAAGAAATAATTTGCGTGAAACTTATACTTTCTCGATTGACTATAGTCCTACGGTACGATAGCTTATAGGAACAACGGATACTTTGTTCACACGTACCAAAAGAATCTCGTACGTGTTGAGGCACATTAGTATACTGAAGACGACAACGTCACTGAGGATCGGTAGCATGTAAACGTACTTGAGCTTTTCACAGAATTTGATCAGCAGTTGATGCCGCCTGATGCACTCCTTCAAGGCTGTATAGCAATTATTGGTGTAATCGATAGAATTCGTTTCTTTGTCGAAGTCCTTCCACAGGCTCGACAGCTTGCGTTGCAGCATGCGAAATTGGTAGATCGCGTGCATGTTTAGGACGCATAAGAAATTGCAATGGCAGGCATAGGTGGCGCCAATTTGTTGCAAAGCAATTACCTGTGGGATTGATGCAACATTGATATTCCATAGCGCAGTAAATATGAAATTATAGCATTGTGTTACTATATTCTCGTCTTATTAGATCAAAATTAGTGGTTTAATTAGCCAATCACTGTTTGTTATGGAATACATTTGGAAATGGATATGTTTCACGGATGTGAATGAAGATTTAGGATACCTGGGTGGCAAATGCAATTTCATAATACGGTGTCACGCTTAGAGGCAGATCGACCCATACTTTGAACGGAAGTGCCCTGTCAGACTTGTTCTTTCCGATATTTGCTGAAACATTGTGGATGATTTTCATGCTTAACTAATATTTATATACTGTTGTTATATTCTATTAATTAATTTTTGGATGAATTTTTAATTGCCAATTTTAGATAATAATTAATTCCTAGTGTCAAAATTAAAAGTTTTAAATTTAATTCGAATTAAATTCAAACAGCAATTAATCTACTTTGTGGACTATACTCTGAGTTAGGATTGCCTCAAAAATGGATATATTGCAGAATAATTAGGGTCGTGTTACAATGTTTTTTAATGGGAATATGTCAATTTTCGCATGAAATCTAGGAACGTACTAATTATTAATTATTATTGCTGAAAAATATATTTCGACTTCTATTTCAGGAATACTTTCGTTTCAGAAATATACTATTTTCCAAAATACACTTTATTCTTACTCTAAAAATACCGTGTATTGATTTCACATATGATCATGCTTTTCATCCTTTTATCAAGAATTAACTTACTCACCATAAATCGGTATAACAACATAAAAGACCGAAGCGGCTTGCGCAATACAACATATACTTATAGTCCACAATTTACAAAACTCTCCACACTTCTTCAATAATATTTGATCCTCCTGATCGTACTTGAAATGCCAAAAATTCTGTTGTGCGAGTATTATAATATCGTTTAGAACCGTATAACGCATTCTGATCGCAATTGTCTTAAATAGTGACAAGCTAATGCATAGTACATTAGACATCTCGTAGAAGCAGTGCTGAAACAATTCAATTGCAAAATTTATTTCAATTTCTATACGACACATAGTCGGTCACAAAAATATTTGAAAATATATGCAATTTGACTCCTATCTTCTCTACTTTAAATAAAAATTTCGGAACTTCTCACGTTTTAATTATTAATTGACAGTCATTGACTCATATCGTAGAATGGGGAATTCTTAGATGAATATAGAGAAGATGAATATTTACTGTTGATAGAATAAGAGTGCAGAGGTAATGAAATATGTATATAGCGTATTTTACTTTCTTTATACTTCTTTTGTACTATCTTTATATTTCTAACTTTGATTTTTGGTTATGATATTTTAATTTTCGGTATCATAAACTTGCTGTATCAAAATATAGTATATAGCAAAAATCAATTTTTAATCATCGAATCTAATATCACTTTCACATAATTAAAATGTATTAAATATTTCATCATTATAAGTCATTCTGAATATTATTAAACCTTAATCTGCATCACGTTAAAATTGAGTTTCTTAATTTTTTTTAACTACTGAATATTAAAAATTTCAAGCACCATTACAAAGTTATCCGAGGAAATTGTGGTCTCGACATAATCCTATTAAAAATGGCTCAATAAAGTATTCCACTAATAAAGGTTTCGTCAAATGTAAAAAAGACTTATCTTAAAATCTGATCATCATACTCACGTTCAAATCATCCAAAGTGTAGTACATATCAGTTAAATTAATATACAGAGAATAAATATGCAACGCAATGGTGAAGGACATGGCGAACCTTCTTCGACTCTCCTCGGTATTGCTCTCGTTCATCCACGTTCCCGTGAGTCTCAGCAGAAACTGCGACGTTTTAATCGACATATCAGTGTATTGCAGCGAATGCATGGCAATTCTTTATCGAGATCTCAATTTTTAAGTCACTCGTCAACCGACAGAATTGTAGGAAAAATGTTCCAAACGAATGAAGCTTGACGTGACATTGCTTTGATCAATATGAGACACTCAGTTGATGATCATTTCATGACGGTCAATTTCTATGTCTTCCCATCAAACGAACTGTCACGATTCGCACGTCACACGACTGCAGGTGTACATCCAGTAATTTGTCGCGTATCGATTATTGTATCGTCAAAAACGAGTACTATAGTGAATGGTCACTCGGGAAAGAAACGTGATGTGATCAGGAAAGTATGTCTGATTGTTTGCATATAGTGAGAAATCATGACACGGTATGCGTAGTATATTTCAAGATCGATTGGATCATGTGTGTGCATGTGTGATGTGAAGCGATGACATAAATTAGTGTATTCAAAAGTTCTATAATTTAACAAAGAATGAGGATTACTCCTCTGATGACTGACGATGTATAAAGATGTTCTTAGTAATCGTTCGAACTGGGTGCTACAGTAATTGGGCACTACAATTGAAAGTGTACATTACAGTACTTATATTTATTAATGATATGAACAATGACCTGATTTCGTTCAGTCTCGTGATAGATTCATTCCTGAAATGTTTTGGGGACTTAATAGGTCCAATATGCGTAACATAGTTCAATGCAGTTACAGCAGAATATTGCATATTCTTCATTTTGCAGCCAAAAATTTTGTTTTTGCGTTTATGGATTCAATTGCTCTATTGCGTGTATTTTAATTCATTGAAAAATAAAAGATATTTATGTAAAATTCGAACGAGTGCTGTCCTGGAAGATTGTTAAGAGTGTTTGGCACATAGGACGAAAGTGACCACGTGCAAGGGATATTTATGACAGCAGAGTTTAGGAATGCATCCTGAGTGTTTGATGTATCTGGTCCACTGTGGGAAATGCGTGAATGGGGAAGAAAGCCTGAGTATGAAAGAAGGCAAAGTGCAAGGTTAAATAAGAGTACAAGAATACGAGCGAGTCAGTTTAAGATCAAAAATATTATAAATCAGATCGAAGTCAGTAGTTTTAAATCAGGAGTCTTAGAAGTCTGTTGTAGGGAAGTTGTTAGAGCGTTCCATAGTTACCATTGTATTACATCAATCCTTTATTCTATTAATGAATTTTATTTTTGTTCTATTAAGTGCCAAAATACTATTCTAGCCGGACCTGCCTAAATAGCGATCCAAAATTTATTTATTCCAGTAAATAATTTTAATACATACATTGTATTAAATGTATGTATTGTATACTTGTTTTCTTGATTTATGGTGCAATTTACGTTTCGTCCGCTTCTTATATGTGGTTCATTAGGAGTGTGAAATATGACATGGCAGTACTCAAAATCTGTAAAATGTAAATAAAAGATTGCCCATCAAAACAATATTTACTATAATGTAATATGAACATACGTCCTCTGCATTGTCACTAACCCTTTGAACACGAGAGGCGGCTCTCAGTCGCCATTTAATCAGATTCTAAAGATCGTTATTAATTAATATCTCGAATTTAAAATTAATAATTCTGTGTCTTATTGTAAATTTCTATTTCATATTTACCGTTTTGAAAATATCTTCGACTTTATCGCAGAAAGTTTTCGAATTACTATGTTTCTGTAAAAGAATGAAAAGATCGCCGAGTGCAAAGGGTTAATTTACTATTGAACCTTATAGTTCCTCAATATTTAAAGAAGATAATGAAAATAGTAAAATCCAGGTTTAAAGAAGTTCAAGATTTTTCCTATTTTGAACAGACTTCATTCGAATATTTATTTATTAAATACGATCCTGATCAATTGATCAATATAATGTACCGATATTTACAAGGGGACCCTACGTTCGTGGACATCGCTTTTGAAACAGTAATAGCTATAAGTTATCGTATATACCTAGTATTGGAAAACCATGATGGATTTCTTCATACTGGTCCTTTGTTTTCGAAATAATTTTCGAAGAAATCCATTAGGGATTTTCCAGTACTAGGTATGTATTATGATTTATACCAATTATTGTTCCAAAAGCGATGTCCACGAACGTAGGATCCCCTTGTTAGTCTGTATATTATACTCACCGTGGTGTAAGTTTCCAGTGACACAGGGAAAAATCCGTTCGCAGTCAGACAACACACTCGTCTAGCCCGTACGATCACCATTATCAAATCGTCTCGAAGCTTTTTCCCAGGTGTATTCATCGGAATAACTGTCCATAACGATGAATATGCTCCTATAGCAATGTCATCACTGTGTTCTATCACACCATTGCAGCTGTAGGTGAACATAAATAACAAAGACATCGAGCCGATTAAAAGAAAGACGAAAACGATGCGTCTCGTAGGAGGAGCATTAGCCTAAGAGAAAACAGGATTTAAAAAGAAACGTGTTTGTATCTAAAGTATGAAATACCATTACACCGAGAATACGGGACTATATATGTATATAATTAACAATGTTTAATTCAAATGATATATTTCAGGAATTGTGCCAAATAATTTTTGAATTCTTTCGTTCAATTGTATTCTAATATAGTACGAGGTAGTACTACAGCAATATAGTACGATAGTAATCTATACACAGAGACAAAAAGAACGGAAAAAGCTATGATTCGATAAAATTTGCTAAATTCCTTCTTTCGTAATTATCTAAATGACTCTCAGGTACAGGATAACATTTTGTGCTAACGATGTTTGCAGTGAGTTAAATACTAACCAATAATACTTGATAACCAAACAAGCAGATTAACATACTGAATACCAACACTTGTCCAAGTATGATCATCGTGTACACGGTTTCAAGCTGGTTGCAAAAGTTGATCAGTGACTGATGAAGTCGAATGCATGTTTTCAGTTTCTCGTAGAATTTGTGCACCTGCTTCATCAACATCGCTTCCGTATTCTTCTCACATATCTGGTGTTCAGTGTCACACAGTTTCGCAAACCTGTATCGAAGTATGCGAAACTGGCCACCCAAATGTATGGCCATGATGCAGAAAATATTGTCGAAGCAAAAGTAGCAGATCCCGATACAGCACATGCTTATCGTCTGTGAAGAATAACAATTATTTCCATTTTTATTGTTAGTCCAAGAAATCTATGATATTGTAAAATCAATTGGGACCTAGGTGTTTATATCACGATCATAGTCCTGTAGATAATCGAGGATCGTGTTTCACAAGGTTTCATTTAGGATTTAATAAAAATTTAGGTCTCTGTTTCTTATTTTATGTCAGTCACGATAGTCTACATCTTAAAATAAATATTCCAGATGATTATAGTTTAAAAAGGAGAGTGTAAGTATTTCGAGTCATTGATTTAGATGAAACTTTGCAGGTTTGTAGATTTAGTCATGCTGTTCAGGAAAATGTATTATAAGGGCAACTATTCGATAGTTTTTGAGATATTTATGTAGGAATAGTAAGTGTGAGAGTTAGTGCAAAGGAACACTCGGGCCTATCTACTGGTGACGGGCAATAGACAGCAACCTAGGGTTCAGACTGAATGTTTGGAGTGACATCTGAAGTGTTCGTGGAAGGACGAGTGATCGCATGCAAGGATCGGATGAAAGGGATATTTATGACTGTATGAAATGCAAGTGAAGAGCGAAAGGCGCCTGAATGTTTAGGGTACGTCACTCACCAAGAGCGAGGCTATGAGAAATGCGTGACTGAGGAAGAAAGCTTGAGTATGAAAGAAGACAGAGTGCAAGGTTTAAATGAAAAGAGAGTCGAGTCGGTGACAGTTCGAAGAGTTGACATGCGAGTGTGAATTGCGTAATTAGTCTAATCTTTTAGTTTGTATTTTATTCTTAAGTCTCCATAGCTCATAAATAAAATATATTGGAATTAAATAACATATTTATTCCTTGTATTTCGCCAATCAAAATATATCCCTACATTCATGATTAAAGCTTTATTATTCTTAACTAGAGATTTCTTCCGAATAGTTATATAAATATTTCATAATTATTTCATAACGAAGTGTTCGTAATCACAGGGCAGTTTGGGTACAAAGGAATTTTTAAGTTACCTGTATAACAAATGTTATTTCATAGTAGGGCGTCACCGATAGTGGTAAATTTATCCACAAATTGAATGGATGTTTTCTTTCTGCTTCCTTGTCTTTCATATGCTCTGTAATGAATGCACAAATGATTTATTTTCGTCTACATAAAATATATTAAATTTTTCTGCAATTTGCTTTTATATCTGTATTATTAAATTTCCAAATATTTTATTCTAGTATTAATTAGTATAATTGATTTTACAATTTTGCAATAAAATCATACGACGAAGTATTTCTTAACTAGCTGTTTTGACAGCTACCTGTTCACTTTTACAGATATGATAGTCACGACTTGAAGGAACATTTGCAACGAATGGAATAAGAATAATTTCCCAAATCAGGCAATTTAAATTACCAATTATCGGTGTTATTACATACGCCACCATTGCACAGAAACCAATAATGGTAACAGAGCAGACGAAGAAAGCACATGTTCTCCTGCAATTGCTTAAAATTTCTTTCTCTTGAAAATCGTATCTGACATTCCAGAAATTTGCCTGCATATACATAATCAAGCCTAGAAATTCCTCTTTATGCTTCATTATGATACATATCTTGATGAAACCCATAAACACTGTTAAAAGATTGGACATCACGTAAAGAATATCCTGAAATGTGTTTTCAAATAATTACTAGCATAAAATAATTGGTATTCTAGGAATTATTACGTGCACAGTGTCGTAGGTAACAAGTGATTAAGAATATTAGCATACACTAGAAGCAAATAGACAATGGAAATATATAATAAAAAAATTAAATCAATTATTTATTTAATTTTTACATTAATTTTAGGAATTATATTTTTATCAATTCGATTATTTAAATATTATCAAGTTGAAATGTATTTCAATTTTCTCTTTTAGATAATTCAGAAATAATTCCTAATTTATTAATGACGAAAATTTTAATCAATATTCTTTAACACACCTTAATGTTACTAATTTCATTTCGTCATACATATACGTAAATAATATTTTCCCACATAAAAAGGAAAAGGAGAGGAATGTCGTATTTACTATACAGAGTAACGAAGTTCTTCGTATAATAAAAATTAAAAAAAATTTTCAAATTTTCATTAATCAAAATTAGTACGAAGATTTTATATTTTAAGCTTCCGAAACTGATGTACATAAATCGACTTTTGAAATACAGGTAGCCCTCCTACAACACGGCATCCTATAACACGGTTTCGCTCTAACACAATAAGGAAATTGCGAAATCCTTTGTACAGCACTGTACTTCTACATGAGGAGTGACGACGAAGAAATTTATTAAATTAAAGTTGCATTAAATTAAAATAATATTTTTGTTCTTTCCTTCGTTTTGTGTTGTACATACATTTATATTTTTAATAAAAATTAAGTTATTTATATAGAATTAAAAAAAAATTAATTTTCAGTAAATTTTCGGAACGTAACTCCCCTTTCTGTACTGGCTCTGGCTCTCATACAACACGGTTTCATACAACACGGCATTTTCTGGGAACCTATCTACCGTGTTATAGGAGGGTTACCTGTACCATCATTATTTGCGGATAATTAGATATTTATACAACCAAGTCGAACATAAATTCAAAATACGCAGATATACTTACACCTTTGTATAACAGGGTGAAGTATAAATCTCTGAGAATGGTGACCATCCCTAACAACGTGTTCCACACAGTGTAAGTGAGTAATATCTTCATTTTACGTTTTGTTGCAGGATCGTCGGTCATCCATATGCCTATGTTCTTCAGGAAGATGATCGATAGATTCATCGATATATCCAAGTACCGTTCTTCTTGCATGGTGATTACCTAATGTCTAAAGTCGTCGCTCGAGTATCATTTCTTCCCTTATGCCACTGGGTGTCACAGTAATAACAGGTGCTGCTTTGATCGGTCGTTTCCTATTATCAGCGTTCTGGCAGCACTTCGTGTCCTCTTCTGCACGACAATGTTACCTTTCTATCACAAAATTGTAACACGAATCATATGAGAGAGATAGTTGATTGTCACCTTTCGACTGTTACTCGAACGTGTTTCTAGAGACTTGAATGTATGTTTAACTATTGATGAATTTCTCTGTATTATTTACAGCATCGGCGTATACCGCATTTCTCGTTCACATTTTCCGGACTCGAAATACGGTATTCGGTTTATACACTTGATCGTAGTACGTCGTGCGTATTCCATGGGTACCTGGTGCTACTAGAGGGTCCTATTAAAGTGACTTCGTTGACGTGCAGGAAGAGAGCAGAAGTGAGTTTACCAGTTTCTCTTGGTGCCGTTGAATCCTGACTATCGAGGAATACGCGAACATCGAGTAAGACGTTGATTTTGTTCCTTTTGTTTGTGTCGTAGTGAAGTTAAGAGCAAGAGACGTTGAAGGTGTCGCACGTGGATGCTAAATACGTAATGCATTTTGGAAACACCAAGGATATATGTTACCACGAGAAATGGTGGGACGTGTGATAAGAATAAATATGAAACTGTGAAACTTTAATTTCCGTGAACGAATCTTATAGAATTGCATCAATTTACAGTTGGTGCTGATGCAGTTGCACAACGTGACCTGAAATGTTATACGGTGAAGATGATATTTTCATACTAATTGTAAATACCTGTAGAGTATTATATTTTCAACATTCGTTGATTATTTGCATATTCGTATATTCATTTCGTTAAGTATAGAAACGTGTATGGTGAAAATGATTATGGTAAATAGTGGCTGTACGTTGGTGTGGTGACACAGAAGAGACTCTCGGTAATATACGAGATTTAGAAACAGAAGTCGTATTTCGTCTGTACTTACAAATATATTCAAATATACAGACAATTATGTGTAAAGTGATTAATGCATAATTTCGAAAATGCAATTTATATGCAATTTTTAAGTGCGTGGTATTTTATGATTCTTTGAATCCTCTTGATTAGTATGTTGCAATATGAGGTCTTTTAAAAGTATATACAACTCTAATTGTAAGGTGGATTATGTCAAACCGATACACTTTTCAGTTCTTAGATCTCAATGTTTAAAATTTATATTCAATTCGAGTTTCCTTCTATTTGTCTGTTAAAGATGAAAATGTGAAAGGGTATGATGCAAATAAAGAGAAGATTGATGAATAAACGAAGAAAATATTACTTGGGTGAAAGTAGGAGATATGAATTTATTTGGTTATAGGACAAGTTGACATATTTGTAATGCTTAAATAAAATCTATTTTATTAATCAAAATGTACTATTTCTATATTGTTACAATTTTAATATTTTAGAGAATTTTATGAGATTTCTATGCGACTACATTTTCTAGAAGCAAATGATAAAAGAAGTATGCTATTTTTATATTATTACAATTATAATATTTTACAGGATTCTATGAGATTTCTACGAGAGTACATTTCCTAGAATGAAATGGTAAAAGAAAATCTAGTTGCAAAATTCTTGTAAAATAACATTTTCTAATCTGACTGGCACTTAGTGCACGTCCATGTAAATTTATTTATCATTGTACCTAGATTTCAAGAATAGTCTGAGACAATCTGTGCCGATCGTGCTTTCACTTTTCGATTCTATCTTTATCATTTATGGGGTAATTACGTACATATTTATGTACATTATGGAAACTGAAATGTAATTTTCTATGGCTTGTCTTAATAGTAAAAAGTGTAACACAGCGATACTCAATACCAGCAACAAACGAAACGAGTAATAGAGTAAATACTAAATATTATGATATTTATTATATATTCTATATATTAAATAATAAATAGTATCTTTAGTAATGTAACGTCACTGGTTACATACTATTACAATTTATGTTATATTTAATCAATTTTTATCACAGTATCAATTTTTAACAGAGTATCAAAGGGTGCAATTTGTAACTATTATTGCACAACTATCACTGTAACTATTATTCTTATTATAATTATTATTTACTTCATAATTACTGTATCAATTCCTAAACTAACTAACTGCTATATTAATTACAAAAATTGGGATACATAAATTGAATACTATGATAAAATTCACACATTCTAATGGTCTTCTTCTATTTTCTGTCATAGTATTTACCAATATCTGGAAAGTTATATAGTTATTCTTTATTTTTTATTTCTTTCTCTCACCCATAACTCAGTTGTTTCACAAATGCTGAGATTATATAATATACTAAATTTTACTACTTTCAGAATATTTTACTGTATAGTCTACTATAGAATTTAGTCACTTAACAACATAATATAATATTTACTGTGAAAAATGGTTACATAAAATTTCGTTTACTCCTGCAAACGTTTCCAAAGACACGACGAAGAATTCATAGGCTGTCAAGCAAGAAGGTACATCAGGTCTCAGGATAACGGGTGTCAAATCCTTTCACATCGTTTTCCCACCTCCGGTAATAATGCTCATGGTCCTTCAAAACACTCAAAAAATCAAAACACTTTGTTATCACGTTGTCAATACGATGTCACAACTGTAGGAGAACATTAATAATCTACCGAGACATGTCAAATGGAAGCTGAAAATCCACCGCATTCTGGTGAGTGCATCCGGCTGTGAAATTATTACCATTACTATTACACTGTAATTTTTCATTAATTCTCGTGGTTCGTACCTTTGTTTCCACAGAAATAAGATTTTAGACAGGAAATGGACGTATAAAACAGTATGACATATGATTAACATGAAAGAAGTTGACAGTGTTTTGCACAATGTGTTCCTAGTATTAGGATTGATGTATAATTTGGGTTTAAACCCTCGTCGTGATCATCATTGTAAGTATAACACGCATTCCTAATAATGCACAGTAGACATTACATTGATAAATAAGTTGTCGTTCTCGAAAAGAGATATCGCACTGCCAATAATCTTACTGTTGCGACAGAATATTAAGCTTGTACACTCTGTCTGCATCCATTATTGCAACTTATCGATGACAATCTAAGTCTTGATTTCGATGTGAACTATCGGCATCCTCTATACACCGATCGATCAGTTTGTAGTCTAATTGTAAGCGATATTTAGAATAGACAGGCCGAGTCTCCGACTGCTTACCACGTACATTTCACACCAACCAATCAGTAGACATACAAAACTTATAAAACCACGGAGACAGCAGTCACGAGAGAGTTCTCCTAAAAATCTCACGAAGACATGACAAGCATCACGACCAGACCATCAGTCAAGACCCACGACGATCAACTCAGTGCGAGAAATAGTAACACATCGGAACTCTTTAGTTCAACCCTAATCAGGTCTAGCAGTATTAATTTAGAATAGGCCGCATCCCAGCAACTTTGTCGCGTCCGCGTAAACGGGCCTTACAACCCCGCGAAACTCCCACCGTGCGAGTTGCAGTGTTCGGGACGCAACACCTGGATCACGAAATTTTTCGTGAAATTGAAGTTCAATCGACATTTGTGTCGCTTCGCCAAAGAGGAACTTAGCTAGTAAAATTATGGTATGCGTGTTAAGAAGGTAGCTTGTAATATGCTTTCTAAATACTTAGGTGATTTAACCCTTTCGGTACTAGTGCCACCCATTGGCGTCGGCTATGAAACGTTCTCTGGGTACCACCGTCGCCTATTGGCGGCAGCCAAGAAACGTTCTTTGGGTGCTACCGTCGCCTATTGGTGGCATCTACGAGACGTCACCGATGACTATCGCGGTCCGAATGAAAAGTTTAGTGTCAATCACGCTTGAGATTTCTATGAATACCGCAGAACACGTTTTCGCGGCTTACGCTGCCGTACAGTGCAACCACTCTTGTGGAAAACTTTCTCGTACCACGAATCTATAACCGCGGCCAGCTCCTCTGCACCGAAAGGGTTAAAGCGGAAGAATAACTGCGCAGTATGCTTCTGGAGCTGCATGGTGTGATGAAGTAGCGAGATGATGTGATTTGGTGTTGTTGGGAAGGGAACTGGATATTCCTTGGTAATTCGTGGTTTACTCGTTGAGAAAGTGGAATCATTACTGATTTTCAAAGAATTATGACATTTTATTGCTAATATATCTATGATATAATCGTCCATGTATACGTGTACCAAGATTCCCTGAAAAAAAATTTATTTTCGTCTTTGTTTAATAGATAGGTGTATGGCAATTCCTCGACACTATATATTCTATTGGAAAATAAACCGTATTCTTTAAGAATAATAGCTTATTCAAATTTAGGGTCATTAATAACTTTTTGTTATACCATAATGATGTAGAGTATGATTTGGTGTGTTATTTTACTTCCTGATTATTTCTGACGCTTTGTACGATGGGTAAGTAAATTCTCGAAGTTAAGAGAGTAAAAAAATTTCGATAAGTTAATATTTTTGCTATTGTATATATCTATATATGTATATATACTTAGGTTGTTTAATAAGAAGTCTTCTTTCTTTCATCTACTTTTCCCAACAGACGGAAATATAAATGTCATCTAAAACTATGTTCCTCTGAAAATTTATCATTTTATCTAAGAATTGATATTGCTAGTTATACTTGAGCTATGTATTGTTCGTGTTATCTCTCAACAATGTGAAGTATGATACAGATGTACTCAGAATCTGTAAAAGGAAAATGAACAATCCAAATATTCATCATGACTTCTATATTCCTTTTCTTTGACTAAAAAATCAATTTCTACAAAACCTCTCTTCTATAAAATAATTAAATTCCTGTGCCATATTAATTATGTACTTCGCGAACGTAATTAGTTACAAATAATCCCAATTTCAATAGATGCATTTATCACAAAAGTAAATAAAAGTAACGAAATAATAGTAAATTAACAAAAGAAATCACACACTATTCTATGAAAAATTTTTTAAATATTGGTATTCATACCGTTACTTTTTTCTTTGTATTCAATTTACAAAATTGATCAGTATAGTATGCATACTGTATAATTAATTGAACAAATCGACTAAATCTTTATATGGATTTTTTGATATTATTAAAAATATCCTCGATATTAATAGAAGTATGTAATAATTAAATTATGAAATGTAGCATAACTTACGTTAGTATATGTTTCCAAAGATACAACGAAGAATCCATTAGCTGTCAAACAACACGGTATTTGAGACCTCATAGCAACGAGTGTCAAGTCCCTTCTTAACATTTTTCCATACTTGTCCATTGGTAACATGAACCACGCACTTTCATACGCGGCGTTGGACACGTCCATACTGTCCCTTATCAAACAGTCGCAGCTATATGTGAACATTAGCAATTGACACATGCATCCTGATATGTGAAATGCGAAAATAATGCGTCTTGAACGTGGAGCGCCTTCCTAAAAGAGATTACATAACACACATTATTACATAACCGTGAAATAATTGGAAAATTGCCGAATTGAATTCAAGTGAAAGTAAATAAATTATCGTTTCCCACTGTAGGATTCCTGTATTATTTCACAAAAAAAAGAATAGAACGAGAAAAAGAATGAAAAATTATTATAAGAAGGAATAAAATGAATATGAGGAACTCATTATTATGGACAAAGTAATTCACATTTTGTAAAAAGAGAATTTTATTACTTCATTATGACACCTGTACAATAATTAAAAATAAATAGAGCATAATGTCAAAATCAGTGCTATTGCATTCGTGGAACTGAAGTTACTACAAAAAGTTATTAGGTATTAAAAAGGAAATTAATATTTCGTAAAAGGGCAATATTATTAAGCAAAATTGATTTTATAGCATTAATGAAATATCGGTAAACGTAGTGACAAATATGAAAAATTAGTATTTTCTTCTCTTTTATTTCTTTTTTGGAAGTTGGATTGAATTAAAAGTATCTTAGTCATTATGATTAGAAATGGTTATTACGGAAGGAATTATTTTATAAAAAAAATATTAGTAAAATGAAGTGAAAATGTAAAACGCAAGTATTACTCACCATAAGCAACAAGTATCCATCGAGGCAGATTAACAAACTGAAGAGTAATACCTGTCCCAGCACAATTGAACTGAATACATCCTCGAGTCTTTTGCAAAATTCAATTAACGATTGATGTTGTTGTATATAATCTCTGAGTTTCATATACTTATTCGTAGTGCATGATGGTTTCCCTGAAGCTTCGTTGCATTTCTCGTTATCGTTACAAATATTCGCGAATCTGTGTTGCAAGATGCGAAATTGAACAGCAGTGTGCAGATTGATAACGCATAAAAGATTGTCGAAGCAATAGTAGCATACGCCAATGTGAAGCGAAAACAATATCTATGGAAAGATAATTCGTAATAACTTCTATTGCGTATAATTAAAAAAAATTCTTTTACGACATTCAACGTTATATTTGAACTCTGTTTCGCATTAATAATCAGAAGTATAGAATTATTCGATGAACGACCTGAATTTTTTGAGGCACGAATGTAGCGTCCTACGGTATCGAATCTCTTCGATCTCCCAGAACGCTTATCACGCGCCAAATTAATATTGCGTGACTAGTTGTGATAATAAGGATCCAGAATGTGTGTGGTCAAAAGAGAGTGTTTATTTACAGAAAAGTGTAGAATAGTTATAATGTAGACGTTAACGGAGTACCGTTTCGAACACGCGTTTGTATGTGTAATTGAGTTGTTTTAAGGGTCGGTGCCGAAGACGAACTGCTTCTCGATTTTCCTCTATGTCCTGTCTCGTCGTGTTCGGTCCGGTGTTTTCTCTAGTTTAGTTCTGATTGGGTAAAATAGATGTTGGTGGTGGAAAGGTAAAGAGTTTTAATTGGACAGAGGGTGTGACATAAGGACCTTTGGCTAAGGAGTAGGAAACTGTCAAGGAGCCGATTTCTGATGGTCAATGACGTGATTTATAAGTGCCGTCCGTCCGTCGCTTGTTGGGTCTGTCACAAGTGGGTCCCATCTGTCGCGTCTGGTACTAGTAAAATTCCTAATTTTGCTTTACCTTTATAAGCTTAATCCGCTAGAACGGCGTTGAGGCACATCGAACCTCCGGAATTGCAGTCGCGGTATAAAATATAAAATCATAATCTAAACACGCTCTTCGGGACGGAACAACGAATATGACGTTCATTGCACAAAATTTATATTTATAATGGTGTTATATTTGTATAGTGTTATAAATATTAGCATGATATAGATATACATATACGTATATAATAATTACTGCTTTTTGATTATTAATTTATAAAACAAAATAAAATCGGAAAGCAAATAAAAATAAATATGTATAGTACATTTATTAATATTTTATATTAAATTATTAACTAACGAAAGGAGTATTATTGGAAAGTGACTGAAAATAAATTACAGATTTTAAATTTTTATTCGAGACTCAAAAACTATTATATACGCGAAAATATCGTTCCATGTTAATCTTAGTTTCGAATTCATGGTAGATGTATAGTAGTGTATTAAAATGAAATGAAATGAAATTTTAAAGCAATCTTAATACACATTTTCTTCTGCTACTCGTGCAACAAATTCAAAAACGAATGCCCCTGATTACTTTCAGTCAAATTTAATTTATAATTAAATTAAACTAAATTAATTTATTTAATTTATAAAAAGGAAAATTATGTATACCTGTACTACAAACATTATTTCGAAATACGGTGTTACATTTAATGGCAACTCGAGCCACATATTAAAAGGAAGTATCCTCTCTGAATCATTCTTTGCATGGTTCGCTGAAAAGTTATATCAATATACATCTTTCTCTCAAATTTCCATCCAATTATTATTATGAATAATTACTATTTCATAATAATGAATATTAATATGAATATTTATTATAATAAAATTATGAATAATTTTTTTTTATTATGAATAATTATAATTATGAATAATATGAAATATATCTATATGAATACAATTACATAAAAATTTGATTTATATGAATGTTCGTATATTCATTCTTATTATATCAATTAATTATTCATATTCGACTTGATCATATTCGAATCAACATGATAACGTGTTGAAACGTCCACGTATCATAACTCGAAAAAGAAAGAAGAAAAAATAAATGATTAGAAACGTTCACCAGTTGTCTAATATCCAGATTTTCATCACTGCTTTATAAAAATTCGTATTTCGCTAACTCACGTCATTCATTTTGTAAATCGATTATCTCGTCATCTCACCTAGAACTGGCGTTATCACAAAAGAGAAGGCTGTTCCTTGAGCAAAGAAAATGAAGGTGCACACGAAAATTATACAGGTACGTTTACAATTATCAATCATACTCTGCTCGTATGCGTCATAATTTGAGTGCCAAAAGTTCTTGTTAGCGTAATTGATCAGATCGTGAAGCTCCTCGATATATATGAACAAGTCCAAGAGCTTCACTGTAACTAGAACGACAGTTACGATGTTGCACATGACGTAAATACTATCCTGTAATTCAAAAATCGTTCAATACTCATGAAATTTTTAAATAACTTTTGGTTATACAAAATGTTTATGCCAATAGATTTCCGAAGAAATTGCTATATACGATCGAATATTACTAGATTGAAATTACTACATATTACTAGAAATTGCTACATATTACTAGAAATTGCTAAATATTACCAGAAAGTGCTACGTACAGATAAATATTACTAGATAGATTAATCTAAATTACTAATATAATTACAAGAGATTACTAGACAGACTACTCAAGTTTACTTTGAGTAAACTTGAGTTAATCGACTATTAACATCTACTCTATCTACTATAATATTATTATACTGATAAATTATTTTATCACGCGGACACGACAACAGAATCGTCAAAATCAATACACAATAGAACGTATTCAAAGTTGAAAAGTGTACCATTTCCAATTTCGTGGATTCATGCTAAATAAATCAGACGGAGATGACCTAATGTCGAATTAACTTATAGAAACAATTTTCCTCTCCATGTGGAGGTGTTGATTACCTTAAATACTATCAAAATTATCCCAATTCACTTACATTCATATCTCCCCAACTGAAGTACAATGCTCTCATCTCGTTCGACATGGAGAACAGGGTAGTGAAGAGCGTATAGCTCATGGCGATGTTCCTCCTTTGTTTTTCGACATAATTAGTCGCCAGCCAATAACCCACGAATTTCATGTAGAAACTCGTCACGCTCACCGATAGATCACGAACTTTTCTCGTACTCATACCGAGACTTTAATGACAGATTTCTCCGATCTCCTAGTCCCCCATACCAAGAGCATCTAGGTCGTATACGTGTCGCTTTAATTCCTGGCCGAACTGTTCCCATCGTTTCGCGTATATCACTTTGCGGACAGCTGGTCATTTCAAACGTCATCGTAATTGTTGTTCTACAGAGTGAAACGGAGAAAGGGAAAATGTCTCGTATCGATCAATTATGCATGATTCTAAGGTGACAATAGTTGTTCAGAACTCGTCCAACCGTGTAGCAGTTGCATAGCTCGAGGTTCAAGAAGGATGAAGTGCATCGAAGTCCGACCACGAGCTTGTTGTTCTTGGACAAGAGAAAGGGAATTGAGATTACTATTCGTAAATTGTCTAGTGCAGATTGCATATGTTTTCTTACCTGTTGTTTCATCGGTATCGCGCACAGGGTGAAGCATATTTGTAATTTGTACCGAATTGGAAATATGAAGAGAAAATTTCGAGGTTAGTGGAATTAGATTCTGGAATAATTGTTTAAGAATATGATGAAATACAAAAGGGAATGAAAAGAAAGGTATGTTTCGCATGTATATGTTGCATGTACTATCGGTGGAAAATTGACGCGTGACTTCTGTCATGTTTTGCGTGAGAATTTAGTCACGATTTAGTTAATTGGAACGAAGATTCGTCATACCTGGACGATTGTTTTTAATTTGCATTCTAAGTACTTAAGTGGTCTGTAGAGGAAGAATAATGATGCTCAGCTCTTTTGGAGTTGTATGACGTGCTACAGGGTTGAAATCATGTGATTCGGTTCTCATTGGGTAGGGTTCTGTCGAGTTCTTTGGTAATTCGCGAGTTGTTTGGTCGAGTAGGTGAATTCTTTCTGGTTTTTAAGGAATTTTGAAATTTTATTATCAGTATATTTGTGATATTATCGTGTTATACCGTCACTTGGCCGATCTTACTTGGCGATGGTTAGTGACGTGACGAATCCGAAAGGATATTGAGTGTTTCTTGCTGCGTGGAGTGGACTATATATTTGAGTGATGTGAATGATAGACGATGCTTCGAGATTGAGGGAGTGTATAGGGTGCTCAAGAGTTGATTCGATACTATGAGTCTTCTACGAGAGTTGACACGATATTGTGTGTTATTTGCCTCGTGTTTCTCCCGAGAATGGTTAGGTTAGGTTAGTTAAAGTCTAGAGTTCAATCGAATTCTTTGTTGACCAAAGTACTTTGCTGTTTCTTAATAAAACTGTGGGAATTGGAGATTCTGAGGTGGAAGAGTAGAACTCGCAAACAGTTTTCAAGAAAGCCAGAGAAATTGCTACTCCATGTAGCAGGTATATACTTGTCACATATGGTGTCCAAATGGTCGATGTCCCATCGTGCTTATCTAGGGTTCGGGTTCTGAATACGGTACTATTTAATCGCCGAAATGGCACTTGGAGGCTTTACAGTCATCTATGCAGACGTGTATCTAGGTTCTCTTAAAAAAATTAATACTTATTTTTATTTCATAGTTAAGCAGATGGCTGTTCTTTGAAAGCATATACTCTTCTGGAAAATAAGCAATATTCTTCAAGATGCATAGCTTATACAATGTTAGCTCATTAATTACGTTTGTGTTATTCGTTAGCGATATAAAATAGGATTGTTGGTGTTTAGTAGGGAATAGTTCCTTTATTTACCTTCCTGGTAATTTCTAATACGTACTATGATGGGTACGTGAATTCTCGAATATGGGAAAAGAAAGAAATTTCGAGAAGTTAATTTTGCTGTAATCTATATAAGCATATGAACACGTGGTGTTCAAAAACTGTCTATTTGCTTTTATTTCTATTTTTTAGTACTCAAATGTATCTAAAACTACATTTCCCTGAAAATTCATCATTTTATCCAAAAATTGATATTGATAGTCATGCTGGAGTTATGTGACCTCTGTGCTGTTCCTCAGCAACGTAAAGTATGATACCGCGGTACTCAGAATCTGTAAAAGGGAAACGAACAGCCATAATCTTCATCATGATTTTTACATTCTTTTTTCTTTTGCTTTTAAAAAATGAATTTCTACAAAATCTCTTTTCTATAAAATAATTAAATTCCTGTTTCATATTAATTGTGAATTTCGCGAACGTCATTAGTTGCAAATAATCTCAATTTCTATTAATCTATTTATCAGAAAAATAATTAATTGAAGAAAGATAATAGCAGGTAATAAATAATATGAAATTAATAACAGAAGTGGTTCCAAAATCCAGGATAAATTTCGATAGAATATTAATTATATTGTCACCTTCTGTTATTGGTAAATCTATAAAATTGTACTATACAGATTATGTTCTATATAATGAATTAAATAAATGAACTAAATCTATATATTTTATTATTATTAAAAATACCGTTTGTATCAATAGGAGTGGCTATGGTATTCATACAAAAATGTAGCGTGTAATAAATAAATTATGAAAAGTAGCATAACTTACATTAGTATATGTTTCCAAAGATACTATGAAGAATCCATTAGCCGTCAAACAACACGGTGTCTGAGACCTCATGGCAACGAGTATCAAGTCTCCTCTTAACATTTTTCCATACTTGTCCATTGGTAACAGGGACCACGCACTTTTATACACGGCGTTGGACACGTCCATACTGTCCCTTATCAAACAGTTGCAGCTGTATGTGAACATTAGCAATTGACACATGCAAACGGATATGTGAAATGAGAAACTAATGCGTCTTGAACGTGGATCAGTTTCCTATAGATATTACATTTCGGATATCGTTACATAATACAATTACACAAAACTGTCTTTCCTTTAAAAATCTTTTATATCCACGTCTTGTGTATTAAACTTTTCTATTCAAATTGTACTATTATTAGTACTTTATTATTATTACATAATCCAAATTTTACTATTATTACATTACTATATCCAAATCAACATGTCAATGAGACGAAACGTTCACATACTCAAGAAAGAAAAAAGAAGAAATAATAAATTATTAGAAATGTTCACCAGTGATTTAAAATCCGGATTTCTATCAGTGCTACTTCAAAATTCGTATTTCGATAACACATTCCATTCATTTCGAAAATCGATTATCTAGACACCTCACCTACGAGTGGTCCTAACGGATAAGAAATCGCTGTTCCCTGAGCAAAGAAAGTGAAGGTGCACACGAACACGAAGGTACGTTTACAATTATTTACGATATTCTGCTCGTATGAGTCATAATTTCCTTGCCAAAAGTTCTTTTGCGCGTAATTGATCAGATCGTGCAGCTCCTCGATATACACTAATAAAGCCAAGAGTTTCACTGTCACTAGACCGACAGTTCCGATGTTGCACATGACGTACATTCTGTCCTGTAATCCAAAAATAGTACAATACTTAAGCTACCTTATAAATAATTTTTAGTTATCCAAAATATATTCGCTTATGTATAAATTATTAACCAAATTGCTAAATACAGACATATATTGCCAGAGACATTAATCTAAATTATTAATATAATTACTATTACTTATTACTATTAGTAATTATATTAATATAATTACTATTACTTATTACTATTAGTAATTATATTAATATAATTACTATTACTATTATTAATATTCTATTACTTATACTGTTAATAATATACTAATAGTAATTAGCATAATTATTATTATATATAATAATATAAT